CAACCAATTTTGGCATATAGCATATATGGGTAAAGAAGAACAAAAATTGTGAATTTCATGGTCCCTGCCCCCCTGGGGCCTGGGGGGGGGGCATAACCACTAAAATTAGTGCAATCTTTAAAGTCTTTTTCTTTACTCCTGGACATCAAGCATTCAAACTGTTGGTATGATTGTAATCAGCAATAAGTGCTCTACAAAAATTGTGAAATTCATGGCCCCAGGGTCAGGGGTTCTAGTGTTAGGGCGGGGCTCTATTGCTTATATAGTGAAAATGTATTATTTCTTTAAAAATCTTCTTCTCTGCTCCTGAGTATCAAATAAACTAACGAAGTACATAGTTATGATGAGCAAGAGTGCCACATCCAAAATTGTGAATTTTATGGCCCCGGGGTCAGAGGTTCTGGTGTTAGGGCGGGGCTCTATTGAATATATTGTGAAAATGCATTAATTCTTTGAAAATCTTCTTCTCTACTCCTGAGTATTGAATAAACTAATTAAGTACATAGTTATGATGAGCAAGAGTGTCTATACCAAATTGTGAATTTTATGGCCCCAGGGTCAGGGGTTCTGGTGTTAGGGCAGGGCTCTATTGAATATATATAGTGAAAATGCATTATTTCTTTTAAAATCTTCTTCTTTACTCCTGGGTAATAAATAAACTAATTAAGTATATAGTTATGATGAGCAAGAGTGCCTCTTCCAAAATTGTGAAATTTGTGGCCCCAGGGTCAGGGGTTCTGGTGTTAGGGCGGGGCTCTATTGAATATATAGTGAAAATGCATTAATTCGTTGAAAATTTTCTTCTCTGCTCCTGGGTATTAAATAAACTAACTAAGTACATAGTTATGATGAGCAAGAGTGCCTCTCCAAAATTGTGAATTTTATGGCCCCAGGGTCAGGGGTTCTGGTGTTAGGGTGGGACTCTATTGAATATATAGTGAAAATGCATTAATTCTTTGAAAATCTTCTTCTTTGCTCCTGAGTAATAAACTAATTTAGTATAAAGTTATAATGTCTCAACCAAATTTGTGAATTTCATGGACCCTGTGTCAGGGATTTTGTCATGCAGTGTAAGGGGTGGGGGTGGGGGGAATGAATGAGTAAAAATGAAAATACATAAATTCTTTGAAAATCTGTTCCTTTGCTCCTGGGTATTATGCTAACGATCCAAGTATATATATTTATGAGGAAGGAAGGTGCATCTAGCAAAATGTTTAATTTCATGCCCCCTGGTCAGGTGTATCGGAGGGGGGGGGGGTACATAATCTGAAAATTAATATATGCTCTGAAATCTGCTCTTTGGTATTAATCAACCATTTATGATGAAATAGAATCTTTGATAAAATTTCCAACATTTTGTGGCTCCAGGGTCAGTGCTTCCTTTTGGGTGGGGTGCACAACTGGTTATAAAGTGGAAGTGCATTTTCTCTTTGTTACTCTGATCTACCTCTGGGTATTAAGTAAATAGAGAAAGCATGTTAAGTTTATAATTATGATAAGTAATGGTGTCCCTTTTAAAATTGTGAATTTCTTGGCCTCTGGTTTAAAACACGAACCAAATTCAATTGTTGGAAAGTTGTTACATGATACTCAGGTGACCTATAAGGCCCGTGGGCCTCTTGTTTTTTACCTGAAGTGTTTTGGTGTACTTATTTTTCTGTATTTTTTTTTATATGCCTCAAAATTGCATCCAGGTAAGGAAAAAAAAAAAAAAAAAAAAAAAAAATATATATATATATATATATATATATATATATATATATATATATATATATATATATATATATATATATATATATACAAAATTCTTGATATTCTATAATCCATACTAGAACGAATTTTAAGGGTAACTTGTCACTGAAGACCTACAGCTGTGTCAAGATCTTTTACTAGGTCAATATTCAATGGTCAAGGTCACAGACAATGAGATATTAATATTGTTTTTGAGCTATTTCCCTTGATGGAATGAATTTCAATATGAGTCTGTTTTTGCTGAGGAAATAAATTCGTCTTCAACTTGAATCTTAATCATAGCTCAGTTGTGTGCAAACCGAAAAAATGTATCTACAGTACTGGTATTTTAAGACTTGATTCAATCAGTACACAAAATTAAACTGACAAATTGTTTGTCAGGAAAATATTTCCCTTTCCTATTTCACAGGAACCCTGATTCATCAATTACCGGTAAATTTTCACTTTTCAAATGCACCCATATTCATACCGAACACCACTGAATGCCCCCTCATTCTTTGATGTCCACCATGAAATGTAAAATCACAGGGGCTTGTGTAGAGAAAATAAATCAGATAACAAAATTCAGTACCTCGGAGAAAAACATTTCTCCGAGGTACTAACTTTTTTAACTGATTTATTTTCTCTACACAAGCCCCTGTGGTAAAATGTTACATGCCACATTACATGTGGTCATAGCCTTAGATTTAACTAATTTCAAACTAGTAAACAATGTTTTTGATTAGAACAAGAGGCCCATGGGCCACATCGCTCACCTGAGAAGCTTTGACCATTCTGTTCTTTACCAGATTTCACCCTTGTTATACATAATGCATCCCCACCCTACCCCACTGATCATAATTTAGACATTTTGAAATCTACACTACCCCATGATCCTTCCATGGGCACATATGTTTCAGCTTTTTTGGCCCAGTGGTTCCTGAGAAGATTTTCAAAGATTTTTTCCTATATATTTCTATGTAAAACTTTGATTCCCTATAATGGCCCCGCCCTTCCCCCGGGGGTCATGATTCCTACAATTTAGAATTTACACTACCCCAGAATGCTTCCACATAAGCTTCACTTTTTCTGGCCCAGTGGTTCTTGAGAAGAAAATTTTCAAAGATTTTTCCTATATATTTCTATATAAAACTTTGATACCCCATTGTGGCCCCGCCCTTCCCCTGGGGTTCATGATTTGAACAATTTAAAATCTACACTATACCAGGATGCTTCCACATAAGTTTCAGCTTTTCTGGCCCAGTGGTTCTTGAGAAGAAGATTTTCAAAGATTTTTCCTAGATATTTCTATATAAAACTTTGATTCCCCATTGTGGCCCCACCCATCCCCCGGGGGTCATTATTTGAACAATTTAGAACCTACATTATACCAGGATGCTTCCACATAAGTTTCAGCTTTTCTGGCCCAGTGGTTCTTGAGAAGAAGATTTTCAAAGATTTTTCCTATATATTTCTATGTAAAACTTTGATTCCCCATTGTGGCCCCGCCCTTCCCCCGGGGGTCATGATTTGAACAATTTAGAATCTACACTACACCAGGATGCTTCCATATAAGTTTCAGCTTTTCTGGCCCAGTGGTTCTTGAGAAGAAGATTTTCAAAGATTTTTCCTAGATATTTCTATATAAAACTTTGATTCCCCATTGTGGCCCCGCCCTTCCCCCGGGGGTCATTATTTGAACAATTTAGAACCTACATTATACCAGGATGCTTCCACATAAGTTTCAGCTTTTCTGGCCCAGTGGTTCTTGAGAAGAAGATTTTCAAAGATTTTTCCTATATATTTCTATGTAAAACTTTGATTCCCCATTGTGGCCCCGCCCTTCCCCCGGGGGTCATGATTTGAACAATTTAGAATCTACACTATACCAGGATGCTTCCATATAAGTTTCAGCTTTTCTGGCCCAGTGGTTCTTAAGAAGAAGATTTTCAAAGATTTTTCCTATATATTTCTATATAAAACTTTGATTCCCCATTGTGGCCCCGCCCTTCCCCCGGGTGTCATGATTTGAACAATTTAGAATCTACTCTACCCCAGGATGCTTCCACATAAGTTTCAGCTTTACTGGCCCAGTGGTTCTTGAGAAGAAGATTTTTTAATGACCCAACCCTATTTTGATTATCTCCCCTTGCGAGGGGATATGTCCCTTCATTTTAACAATTTAAATTCCCCTTTACCCAAAGATGCTTTGTACCAAGTTTGGTCAAAATTGGCCCAGTGGTTCTTGAGAAGAAGTCGAAAATGTGAAAAGTTTACAGACGGACAGACGGACGGACGACGGACAAAATGTGATCAGAAAAGCTCACTTGAGCCTTCGGCTCAGGTGAGCTAAAAAGTGAGTTTTGAATAAAATAGATTTTTTTATACCTCTTTTGAGAATACTCGAATTTGATTGGCTGGTAAGAAAAGTTTAAAACACAACAATGACTCCAAATGGTATTGTTTACAGCAATAATGACCTAGGAATCATTGCATGTGGGATATAATGACACGGTCAATATTATTAATGACCACTAAATAATGACCTCTTAATCAAAAATTCCTTTTTGAGTGAAGTTAATGCATAAAATAATTATTCGAGAAAAACATCATGTTTTTAAAATTGTGCATGGTCTGTTTTGCATTCCCATACAGAATATGGTAAAATTTTATCGATAACTTAAACGGTTTACTCATTTCAAAATATCGTTACAATTCAGTTAGTGGCTCTTTAAAGAGCTGAATTCTGTGTTAGATTTTGACAGTGTAGAGGAAAAGTAATCGCTAGTTTTAACAATGCATGTCGTTTTAATCAGTAAATCATGATGCAATAACTTACACGACTTGCAGACGTCAATGTAAACAACTTCACTACACAGAGTGTAGCGAATCCCAATCCCGATCAAAGAAAGAATTGATAACGGTTATAGAGATTCATACTTTTCAATATATATATCGGTATAATAAAACAATTGATTACCCCTTGTGAGTTCAACATGGTGAAATAAGGACCCTCGACCTGGCCCACTCGATGACCTGCCCTGACTTCGGCCGCTACGCGGCCTCGGTCAGGTCAGGTCTCCTCGTGGGCCAGGTCTCGGGTCCTTATTTCATCATGTTGACCCCAAAAGGGGTAATTAATTGTATATTAATTATGATGCTGAATTTTAAGTTTTCCAGCTATGTATGAAATTGATTTTTGTTTGTTATTCTGGAGTCATCTGGATTTCTCATTGTAATTCAGAATAGTAAAATACTTGATAACGAAATGTACATAAAATTTCATTTATTGAAAAAGTGTGCATGTATCAGAAACAAATATATAAATAACACAGTATTAAGGTCTCTACTTCTGCTCCTGTTCCTTCAGACTGGCAAAATATTCCTCGTATTCTGGAAGGTTCTTCTTTCTGTGACCTTGTTCCACTGCCCAGAAGCAATACTCTTGCCACTTGTAGTATGCATAAAATGCTGAAAAATAAACATGACTGTGTCATTTTCATTTTTCATACTTGGCCAAGTCAAGTCATGGTTCATTGTTAATAAAAAAAAATCAGTTAAATCAGTTCCGATGAGTGTCTTTAAGCTGTCATATCAATAATAAATTGTCCATTCTATGAGTTATCCTTCTATGAGTTGTTGCATTTATGCCTTTTTTTGATATTTAACTTTGTTGAGGTGTCATAGTTATAAATAACTCAGATTCAAGTCATTTGTGTGTTAAGAACCCTCTCTACACCACAGGCACCTGAAGTATGGATAATACCCCCCTTTTTTTATTAAAAAACAATGTAAGAGTGTATAATACCTCAAAAATATAAAATTTCCCCGTCAAACACATCTACATGTCGTTATATGCAAGCAGATTGTACTTTTTCTCACGTTTAAAGAATGGCCCTATTCGGTATAATAAAAATACACAAGGTAAGAAACAAAAGTTGTAAACAAACGGGGGGACCCCTGCTTCGAGACAAATTACCAAGGTAATAATTAGTGTTACCTATCATAATTTTGTAAGCACTCTGTCAGGGGAGATGTTTTTCTACAAAACTATTTAACCTAAACCCCGCCATTGATGTCTAATATGCTGTAATCGGACGATTTATTAATCGGATACATAAATTTTCTCCATTGACAGCTTTGGAGGAGGTTTTGGGGTTGCTTTTCTGTTTCGCCTTATCTGATTGGTTAATTGTAATACAGTTTAAATATCTAACCAATCAGATAAGTTTAGGTTAAATAGTTTTGTAGAAAAACATCTCCCTGACAGAGTGCTTGCAAAAGTATGATGTTATTACCTTGGAAATCTGTTTCGAAGCGGGGAACCCCCGTTTGTTTACAACTTTTGTTTCTTACCTTGTGTATTTCTATCATACCGAATAAGGCCAGTCTTTAAACGTGAACTTTGTTTTAATAATTGTAATCATAAAGTAATCAAAAAGTAATCTGATTACAGGACTTTTTTCTGAGTAATCGATTAAATTACGATTACTTGTAATCAGAAAAATGGGTGATTACTGATTACTCATGATTACTTGGCAAACTGTAATCGATTACAGCTGATTATGATTACTGATTACGATTATCCCATCCCTGACTACTGGTTTGTATATAAAACAAAGGAAAAGTAGCATTTGCAATAAACTGGTCCCTAATTAAGTCAAAAACTGTTGCAGGAGAAGCCTTTTGAAAAGTTTTCTAAGAAATGTCTATTTTTAGTAACCATTGCAACATCTTTCAACAAAATAAAAAAATGATGCACTAAGTTATGAATCTCATTTTGTGGCAAATTATATTAATGAAAGATCAAAACTTTAGGAGTAGCATTTTGAAGGAATTTCACAGAAATTCATATATATATATATATTTTTTGGGATTAAACCATGGCAATACAGTTCATCAAAATCAAAAACCAGTGCAATAAATAATGTATCGTTGTACATACCAAGTGTCAAGTTAAAGTGAAATCACACCAAAACTGTAGGAGGAGTAAAATTTTGAAAAATTGTTTACTGACTGGTGCCAGGTCTGAGGTGGACAGTCATAGAGCTAAACATACAGAAACCCTACTATCGCATAAGCTCTTCTGGTCTCAAACCAGTAGGGATAATCAAAGGCCTGAAGGGCCTGCGAGTTGACTCGCTCGAGTCAATTGCACTTTTTCATACATCTGGGCACCATACCTTAATATATTCAGTTTATTTTGCATCTTAATAGATTGAATATTATTATTATGTCTGATCCATGTTCGGTTCATAAATAAAGTGTATATTGCTTTTCCTTTATATATACAGGTTGGCACTAATGGGCTTCCGTATTATTTTGACTGGATTCTATAATGAATTTCAGCACATTAGCTGAATTGGTCAGTGTTATGGAATAATTAGGTTAAAGATTCCCACAGCAAATCTGGATTCTAAAAATAGATTTTCAACAACAACTAGCTGCAGCTAATGAGAGCAGCAGGTGTTTGTGTTAGGGAGTATTCTAGGTCAATTATAAATAAACTTCAGATGGGAAGATTAGAATCCACCTAACATGCTTGAACATATATTCATACGCAGTAATTGTACATCAGTAATTGAACATTGTACAGGTATTTAGTCAAAAATTTCTTTAAAAGCATGAAGGCATAAATAATGTTACAGTATGAAATTTTATACAGTTTTTAGCTCTCAAGTTTATACAATCACTCAAACCAAAGGATTTTTGGCTAGAACTATTATACTTAGCGTATGGATCACCTTGATGAATGCGTGAAAAATTTTACAGCTCTGAAACGGCTATGTCGACAGGGAGTAGCTCGCTACGCGAGCCAACTCAAAAATGAGTGGGGTGCACATCCCCAAATCTTGGTAAATATGTTTAAAAATGCCTTTAATATAAAGGGTCAGAATATTATAACAAGTATTACTGGACCTTGTGATGCTATTGGATAATACCTTTTGAAGTTGAGACGTCAAAAAATTCACAACACTTACGGATAATGAGGTGCAATTTTCGCCCAAATCTTGCAGCTGCATTTCCAATTCCATGTTTCAACATTCCTCCAAAAGCTCTCTGTTCGAATGGAGACAGGTTGTACTCCACAAAGCCAGTACCACTGCCTTTTATGTTAGTGAAATGCCGACCCATCTGAAATTTACCATGTACTCATATATATTTGAATATCATAGCTGCAGATCTATAGCTCACTGCCCTGGTCGGAAAAAGTTGGGAGGGGTAACCAGTGAGCTACATTGCCATCCATTGAAAAAGGTGTATATTTATTGCACACAAAAAAAAATGCACCATTTCCTCTGTTTATTTCTCAGAGTCTGTCTATTTATGCTTACAATTCAAACTTTTACCAAGTTTGTGTTCCTAGCATATTCATTTACTACTTAAACAACAAAACATTTCCCCAAACCATTGTCTTATAGCCCTAGTGAGCCTGAAATTGTGACCAGCAAAAATTCCGCCTATTCCAGCGATTTTTCCAACCTATTGGAAAAGGGTACGGTACCAGTTCAATTAGGAAAAATAACATCAAAGAAGAACAATGAAAGTTTTCTCTCATTTAATCAAATAAAACTTATTTTGCGTTTATTCCAACTTAATTAGTTATTACCTATCACTACATGTTTTAAAGAATAATTAGGAAGTACTTATTGCTTTTTTTTATCAATGTCCCATGTTTTCATATTTTCATGCTTTAAAATTGTCAAAATGTATGACACTATGCTGTTTACATCACCTGTCTTGCCAAATTACGACTTTCTCTACTTTCGATTTACAGATTTAAGTGGAAGTGAAACAATTAGTCAACTTGTAGAATGTTTCATTTAAAAAGAAATATGACGTCATTGTTATCTGTTGCTTCACAGTTGAATTGGGAATTTTTGGTTACAAAATTGGAAAAAATAAACATTGTTGGCATTCAGAATGGTACCAGTTATATAAGGAAACAAGAGGCCCATGGGCCACATCGCTCACCTGAGCACTGTGGTTAGGAAATAGTAGAAATTGGTTTCTTATTGAAAAGTTTAAATCCAAAAGTAGTCCCATGACCAATCATGGATTTGCTATTCTTGAGAAGATGATTTTTAAAAGAATTTTCCTATATATTTCTATGTAAAACTTTTGTTAGCCATTTTGGCCCCGCCAAACCCCCGGGGTCATGATTGAACAAACTTGAATCTACACAACCTGAGGATGCTTCCATATAATGATCAATTATGGCTTTGCTATTCTTGAGAAGAAGATTTTTAAAAAGTTTTCCCATATATTTTTATGTAAAACTTTGGTCGGCCATTGTGGCTCCGCCCTACCCCAGGGGGTCATGATTTGAACAAACTTGAATCTACACAACCTGAGGATGCTTCCACATAAATATGATCAATTATTGCTTTGCTAATCTTGAGAAGAAGATTTTTAAAGAATTTTCCTATATAATTCTATGTAAAACTTTGGTCGGCCATTTTGGTCCCGCCCTACCCCCGGGGGTCATGATTTGAACAAATTTGAATCTACACTACCTGAGGATGTTTTCCCATATGTTTCATTTTTCCTGGCACAGTGGTTCTTGAGAAGAAGATTTTTTAAACATGCCACCAAATTTTCATTAATTCCTAATTATCTCCCCTTGAATGAGGGCCTGGCCCTTCATTTGAACAAACTTGAATCCCCTTCACCCAAGGTTGCTTTGTGGCAAGTTTGGTTGAAATTGGCCCAGCGGTTCTTGAGAAGAAGTCGAAAATGTGAATAGTTTACAACGCAGACTTGTCGAAATCCGTCGGTCCTGTCGGCAAGGCCGGTAAAAAGTTGTCTGGACTGATAACATTTAAGAAAACGTCGGTCCAGATGACCGTTGGAAAAAACCAGAAGTCTCTGAGGAGACTGTAACTCTACTGGTTTGTACTTATAACAAAGAATGAGAAAAGAAGCCATTGCCATCAGACCAAAACTGTAGAAGGAGTAGCGTTTTAAAGGAATTTCACAGACATGTCTATTTTTAGTAACAATGGCAACACCGCTGATCGAAACCTAATCCAATGCATTATCTTATGTATCTAAGTGTAGTCTACTTGTGTGCAAAGTAATATTGAAATCAGACCAAAACTGTGGAAGGAGTAGCGTTTTAAAGGAATTTCACAGAAAATTCTATATTTAGTATCCATGGCAACACCGTTCATCGAAATCAAAAATCAATGCACTATTTAATGTATCTTAATGTAGTCTACTTGTGTGCCAAGTAATATTGAAATCAGACCAAAACTGTAGAAGGAGTAGCGTTTTAAAGGAATTTCACAGAAATTCTATTTTAAGTAACCATGGCAACACCGTTCATCAAAATCAAAAACCGATGCACTATTTTATGTATCTTAATGTAGTCTACTTGTGTGTCAAGTTATATTGAAATCAGATCAAAACTGTAAAAAGAGTAGTGTTTTAAAGGAATTTCGCAGAAAATTCTATTTTTAGAAACCATGGCAACACCTTTCATCAAAATCAAAATCGAATGCACTATATAATGTATCTTAGTGTAGTCTACTTGTGTGTCAAGTAATATTGAAATCAGACCAAAACTGTAGAAGGAGTAGCGTTTTAAAGGAATTTCACAGAAAATTCTATTTTTAGTAACCATGGCAACACCTTTCATGGAAATCAAAAACCGATGCACTATTTTATGTATCTTAGTGTAGTCTACTTGTGTGCCAAGTTATATTGCAATCAGATCAAAACTGTAGGAGGAGTAGTGTTTTAAAAGAATTTCACAGAAAATTCTATTTTTAGTAATCATGGCAACACCGTTCATCGAAATCATAAACCGATGCACTATTTTATGTATCTTAGTGTAGTCTACTTGTGTGCCAACTTATATTAAATTCAAACCAAAACTGTAGGAGGAGTAGCATTTTGAAAAATTGTTTACAGACAGACGGACAGCTAGACAGACAGACGGACGGACGACGGACACCTTACTATCGCATAAGCTCTTCTGGTCTCTGACCAGTAGAGCTAAAAATGAGCGTAATGCAAATTTAATAAAGGTGTTACGGTTCCGTAATTATTCCCGTTACTATGAGTAACATTTTCTGTGGAAATACAGAGTACAAGTTATACAAAAACTCCCTATGATATACTGGACTATAAAATGACAAATTAATGTTTAATTAATTGTATGTTTAATTCCATTAACAATTGTATATTTACCAAGTGTAAAATTGGGACGAGGTCGGTAATTAGTGACGCCCGAAATTCCTCGATATAATGCACTCCCAAGTCACACTTAAAATGTTCATGATTGTTTTGTTTATGCTTACGAAGTCCATCAGCGATAAGTATTATGAATGTTTCCCTCGGTAATTATCCGCGCCCTAGGGTGCGTGTTTCCTTTCGTCGGTTCGATCGGCATGGCAGCATATCAACTAACAAGCATGGCGGGTATTTTCACTTTGTCGTGACGTCACGACAATCGAGCCCGATGCCAATATAAGCCAGCGCAAATCGACTGAGAGTCAGAATGGGTTTAGAATAGGTTAGAGTAGGTTAGATCATCGCATCGCCAGCATGGCTGGGAGCGATATCGTTGGGAAATTACTGTGACATAATTAATTAATTAATTTTGGGGAGCTGATGAATTTTGTAACATATTTTATTATTACTTTTTACTATTTATATTGAATTAGCCTGTGGGAGAAAATTAGTGGGAGGTAAAATAACTCTCCCATAACTATATCTGATCATAATCTAATTGTATTGCAAAGAACTCCCAATATTTCGGGAAAAGATAAATAATTCTATGCTTTTGTAAATTTATATATTATTCCCTAAAACACAATTCTCCCATTCAAGAATATTTTATTCCCATGCTGGGAGAGAAATAATATTTCTACAGGAGTAAGAAATAGGGATAATTATTCAAAGAGATTGTGCAAATTAAATACAACAAGCAATAATAAATTTTTATAAACTTTAATCCTGACTCATAGTTCTTTTGTCCAGTATACAGAATTGGGAGACCCACAAGTTGTCTCAAGGGAGAAAACCCCTGAACGGCAACATTGGTGTCAGAAGTGGGATTCATAAATTTTCATTCCCATTATCTGATTGGACATAAGACAATTAATTCAACAAGTAAATTTTTTATATCATAGAATAAATAAGTACTCCCAAAAGCAAAAATGTCAAGGGATAATAGTCATTTAGAAGATTCGGGAGAGATTGTTTTCAATCCAAGAGTCCCGGTAGAAGTAGAAAATTTATCCCATGAGGAAATCTGTCAAGGTGAATCTTTGTCAAGTCAAACATCAGCTCCCAGTGGTTCTGAAAATATAAATGAACTTTTGTTAAGAGCAGTTGAAGGTTTGAAAAGGGATGTTCTATGCATGAATCAAAATTTTGAAGAACAATTATCACAAATGAGACATGAGTCCCATCAATTACATGGGAGGTTGTCATCACTTGAAAATCATGGGGAAGCTATTGGTACACATAAATATGGGAACTGTTCTGAAAATCCCAGTCAATCACCATTTCTAGGGGCTGGGGAGAGATTTGAATCTTTCGGGAACCCTATATCCCCAAGGGTGAACAGAAATGACAATAGCGTACATTCTCCCAATCAAGTAAAACCAACAGTCTCAATAAAGCCACAAACATATGATGGGGTGGAAGATTTTGAAGATTACTTAGCTCAATTTCAAGTTTTAGTAGAATTACATGGTTGGGATTATAGGACAAAATCTTTGTATCTTGCTAGTTGTTTAACTGGGAATGCAAGGGCAATTTTAGGGGAGCTCAATCAAGCTCAGATTAGGGATTTTGATTCCCTTGTTAAAGTTCTCAGTATGCGTTTTGGATCAGTAGAAAGGTCAGAGATGTATCGGGCAAGATTGAAAAATAGAATAAAGGGAGAAAAAGAGTCCCTATCAGAATTAGCCCAGTCAATCAAGAAATTAATCAGACAATCCTACCCCACTGCTGATCCTAACCTTACAAACATTTTAGCCCTAGATCATTTCATTGACGCTCTCCCAGACCCAGATATGCGCCTAAGAATTCGGGAGGCAAGACCTAAAGATATTGGGGAAGCTGAAATTTTAGCAATTAGGTTAGAGACACATAAAATGGCAGATGCCCAAAGGGGAAAGCCAGTCCATGTTGTCAATTCAAACACTGACTCTCAAAACCATCCCAACAATAAAAATGAAGATTTAGTTGTTTCAATGTTAAAAGACATAAAAGACTCTTTGTCAAGTTTGAACAATTCTGGTCAAAAGTCCCAAAATTATGGGAGATCCCGTGAAAACAGATTTTCAAACAATAGTCCCAGGCAGTTTAATAACAATTGGGAACATGACAGATATGGGTCAAGAAATGGTTTTGGAAATAGATCTAATCAGGGGAATCAATATTCCCAGAGGCCATCCCCTCATAGAAATGACTCAGGTTTTCAAAGACAGGGAAACCATCAAACGTCGAATTCATGGGGCGGAAATCGGCGCGAGTTGGGAACAAGCCCCAGAATAAACCATTAAACAATTATACAGGGGTTGATCCGGTATCAAATAAGTCCATGAAAAGTCAAAATAGGGAGTTAGAAAGTAAACCTCAAAATGAACAAAGTCCCAAAAGTATTTTAGTAGGAGATGTCAAACAAAGAGATGAGGGAATTTTTATATCAGGGAAGATAGAAAATGTTAAAACAACAATATTAGTAGATACCGGATCCAGTGTGACTATTATAAACCCCAAATTATTTGAACAAATACAATTGGTAGAAAAGTCAAGTGTAAAATCTTGTAGTGTAAAATTAAGATCAGCAAATGGAGAAGACATCCCAGTTTTGGGAGAGAGTCTCCTTAAATTTAGTCTTAGGAATATTGAAATTTCCCATTCAGTTATTGTTGCAAACATTCAGAACAAATGTATTTTGGGTGTAGATTTTATGAAAAAGTTTTCATGTGAGATTTGTTTGAAGAAAATGAAATTTGTTATTCAGGGAGAAGAAATCCCTTGTTTTAGTGATGAAAATAGTGTAGTTGATTGTTGTAGAGTTCTTTTACTAGAAGATTTAGTGATTCCCCCAAACTGTGAATTTATTGCCCCTGCTAGGATAGAAAGTCCCAATTTTCAACAGGGTACAGCCATAGTGGAACCCTCAGAAAAGTTTATGGGAAAATATGAATTATTGATTTCAAAAACTTTGGTAGAAGTAGATGGGGAAAATGTCCCAGTACGTTATATGAATTTAGGGGACGAGAGTTTAAAGTTACATAAGGGTAGTGTAGTAGCCTCGATAGAAAGGGTTGAAGATATTGAGAATGGGGAAGTTGTGAAAAACATAAGGGCTCATTATACTGGGAATGACACCCAGATGCCCAATCATTTACAACAAATTTTAGATAGGGTACATACAAGTGTTAGCTGTGAAGAAAAACAGAGATTAGAAAAACTTTTAAGGGAATTTCAAACAAGTTTCTCCCTTTCATCAGTTGACATGGGTTCAACAGATTTAGTAGAGCATAAGATAAATACGGGAAATGCAGTCCCGATTAAACAACCTCCTAGACGTATTCCTTTAGCTAAAATGGCTGAGGCCAAGAAGGAAATCAATGATATGTTAGATAGGGGGGTGATAGAGACATCAGACAGTCCATGGAGTTCTCCCATAGTCCTAGTTAAGAAAAAGGATGGGACAATCCGGTTCTGTATAGACTATAGAAAGTTAAATGATGTCACTATTAAGGATAGTTATCCCATACCTAGAATTGATACAACATTAGATGCCCTGTCAGGTTCAAAATGGTTTTCTACGATAGATCTTAAGAGTGGGTATTGGCAGGTGAAAATGTCACCTGAAGATAAACCCAAGACAGCTTTTTCAATCCCTGGGGGAGGTCACTGGCAATTTTTAAACATGCCATTTGGTTTATGTAATGCGGGAGCAACTTTTGAAAGACTAATGGAAAGGGTGTTATCAAATCTTTCTTGGAAAATATGTCTTGTCTATTTAGATGACATAATAATATTGTCTAAAACTTTTGAAGAACATATTGAAAATTTAAGACAAGTTTTTGGGCGACTGAGGGAGGCTAATTTGAAAATGAACCCAAAGAAATGTTTGTTATTGCAAAAAGAAGTTCCCTTTCTGGGACATATTGTGAGTGAACATGGGATAGCCACTGATCCCTCAAAGATTGACTCAGTCAACAATTGGCCCATTCCTAGAAATGTTAAAGAAGTTCGAAGCTTCTTAGGTCTTTGTTCATACTATAGGAAATTTATATACAAATTCTCAGATATGGCAAGACCATTACATAAACTTACAGAAGCAAATAGGAAGTTTATATGGGATAATGATTGCAATGTAGCATTTGACATGCTAAGGCGAGCATTAACTAGTTCTCCCATTCTTTCCTATCCTAATGAAGAAGGCTTATTCGTTTTAGATACTGATGCCTCTAACATAGGTTTGGGAGCCGTTCTTTCCCAAGAACAGGGGGGAGTAGAAAAAGTCATAAGTTATTATAGCAAGACATTCAGTGCTGCTGAACGTCGTTATTGTGTGACTAGAAGGGAGTTACTAGCTATAGTAAACTCAATAAAGCACTTTCACCACTATTTATATGGGAAGACATTCAAAGTTAGAACAGATCATGGGTCCCTAACTTGGTTGTTAAATTTCAAAAATCCAGAGGGTCAAATAGCACGTTGGTTTGAATTTTTGTCTTCATATGATTTCAAAATTGAATACCGGGCAGGTCGCACTCATAATAATGCGGACGCTTTGTCCCGCAGACCTTGTCTCATGGGAGATTTAGATTGTAAGCATTGTAGTAAAGCAGAAGACAAATTTTCATTAGACCAACACTTGCAAAATAAACCTCCCATTGAAAATCAAAGCCAAGTAAAGAGGGAAATAATTTCTGAAATTAAACAAAGTGATCTAACTGCTAGTCCCAACATAAATAGTTTTGTACCTGGAAACTGTGCTGTTACTACAAGGTCTCAGGGAAACTCTCCAAACACTGGGATAAACCCTACAAGACAAGAAGAAACTAAAATACTTCTAGAAAATGACAAACCAGAAAATGGTATTAAGGCTTTACAAAGTAAAGACTCAGATCTAAGGGAAGTAATAAAATGGGTCAAATCTAAACAAAAACCTCTCTGGGAAGACATTTCCCATCTGAGTGAAACATGCAAATATTACTGGGCAAGATTCGATTCTCTGCATTATATACATGATATATTATATCATAAATGGGAAAGTGTGCAACCAAAATTTCAAACTGTTCTCCCAAAATCTATCAGTGGGAAAGTTTTGAAAGACATACATTGTAATATAACGGGCGGTCACTTGGGGTTCAATAAAACTCTGTCAAAGGCCCGAGACAAATATTTCTGGCACAAGATGTCCCAAGATATAAAACATTTTTGTATAAGCTGTGATAAATGTGCAGCTAGAAAATCTCCTAATAAATTCCCAAAGGCCCAGTTACAAAAATACCTGGTTGGTGCTCCAATGGAAAGATGGGCGGTGGATATATTAGGTCCTTTACCAATGACTCACAGGAAAAATTCTTATCTTCTAGTTGTGGGAGATTACTTCACCAAATGGGTTGATGCCATCCCTATTAGAAATAAGAAATCAGTTACTGTAGCTCAGAAATTAATAAATCATGTTGTCTCCATTTTTGGAGTGCCAATGCAAATTCATTCAGATCAAGGACAAACATTTGAATCTGATGTTTTTCAAGAAATGTGTAAAATACTGGGTATAGACAAAACTCGTACTACTCCCTACAGACCTCAGTCTGATGGGATGATAGAAAGGGCAAATAGAACAATTGAAAATATGCTTTCAGCATTTGTTAGTAAAAATCAAAAAGATTGGGATGACCTGATACCCTTACTCATGTTGGCATATCGATCATCTTCTCATGAGGCCACAGGGGTAAGCCCTTGTGAAATGGTATTTGGGCGATCAGTCACACTCCCAGTAGATTTAGTACTCGGCAGAGTAGACCCTGAAAAATATGAATCAAAATTAAGTTCTGAATACGCCCAAAATCTATCAGAAAAGCTAAACAAAATACATGATTTTGCCCGAAATAAATTGAGCATTTCTTTTGATAATATGTTACGGGATTACAATGCAAAAATTCACCAAAATCTCTATAACCCAGGAGATGCTGTATGGGTCTTTTTCCCAAATCAAAATATGGGACTCCACAAAAAGTTATCCCTTAAATGGAAGGGACCATACATTGTTTTACAGAGAATAAATGATGTTCTGTACAGAATAGGGAAACATGCAAAGCATAAGGGGGATATAATCCACCACAATAGATTAAAACCATATCTGGGATCAAATAAGCCCACGTGGTTTAAATCTCATGCATAAAGTCCCTCTGTAAAATAATTTATGGGATATTTGTATAATACAAATAGATAATTCCCATGCTAAAGATTTCTTACTGATAAAGCCATCCGTAGACGAATCAAGGACCAGGAACCATAAAAAAGGACAAGCCAAAGCTGACAGATAGAGCCTCCTGTGGATAAATCGTGAAAATATTCTGAAATAGACAATGCCGAGAAGTTTCTTTGTGAATTGAAGGAAGTGATATGGACATAATACCTGTGAAATATAATTTTGTGATGTTGTTTATATGTTTTCATACAAGGATAACTTATTTGTTTGATCATATCTTTGTTAACTGTTGAATGTTATGAATGATGTGCATATGCTTATCAATTTATTGTATATAATCATAATATGCACTTTTGATGTACGTCGTTTTGTGACCAGCAACTAAGGGATAAATAGAAAACTTGTACCTACCTTTAAATATTCCCTAACTGAAGTATAAAACCATTCGAGGACGAATGTTCTTCATGGGAGGGTGCCGTGTTACGGTTCCGTAATTATTCCCGTTACTATGAGTAACATTTTCTGTGGAAATACAGAGTACAAGTTATACAAAAACCCCCTATGATATACTGGACTATAAAACGACAAATTAATGTTTAATTAATTGTATGTTTAATTCCATTAACAATTGTATATTTACCAAGTGTAAAATTGGGACGAGGTCGGTAATTAGTGACGCCCGAAATTCCTCGATATAATGCACTCCCAAGTCACACTTAAAATGTTCATGATTGTTTTGTTTATGCTTACGAAGTCCATCAGCGATAAGTATTATGAATGTTTCCCTCGGTAATTATCCGCGCCCTAGGGTGCGTGTTTCCTTTCGTCGGTTCGATCGGCATGGCAGCATATCAACTAACAAGCATGGCGGGTATTTTCACTTTGTCGTGACGTCACGACAATCGAGCCCGATGCCAATATAAGCCAGCGCAAATCGACTGAGAGTCAGAATGGGTTTAGAATAGGTTAGAGTAGGTTAGATCATCGCATCGCCAGCATGGCTGGGAGCGATATCGTTGGGAAATTACTGTGACATAATTAATTAATTAATTTTGGGGAGCTGATGAATTTTGTAACATATTTTATTATTACTTTTTACTATTTATATTGAATTAGCCTGTGGGAGAAAATTAGTGGGAGGTAAAATAACTCTCCCATAACTATATCTGATCATAATCTAATTGTATTGCAAAGAACTCCCAATATTTCGGGAAAAGATAAATAATTCTATGCTTTTGTAAATTTATATATTATTCCCTAAAACACAATTCTCCCATTCAAGAATATTTTATTCCCATGCTGGGAGAGAAATAATATTTCTACAGGAGTAAGAAATAGGGATAATTATTCAAAGAGATTGTGCAAATTAAATACAACAAGCAATAATAAATTTTTATAAACTTTAATCCTGACTCATAGTTCTTTTGTCCAGTATACAGAATTGGGAGACCCACAAGTTGTCTCAAGGGAGAAAACCCCTGAACGGCAACAAAGGTAGGGATCGAGATGCGTAGTTCAAGGTCACAAACACAAAAAATGGCCGCGTACGCAGCATGTTGACGATAGCTAAGTAAATTTGTTATAGCAAAGTCATAAAACTTGTCATTTATGTCTATATTAAAGACTCTCTATCCCAAGAAAGGAAACTTGTTAGATTGAAGGCTATTGAAAACAAGAGGCCCACGGGCCTTATAGGTCACCTGAGCATTATGCAACAACTTTCCAGTTACAGTGTATTGAATTTGATTCATGTTTTAAGCCAGATGCTATATGGCATTCACAATTTTGAAAGGGCACCATTGATCATCATAACAATAAACTTAGCAGTTGCTTAGCTTGGTTACTGAATACCCATAAGCAGGGTAGGGGAACAAAAATGCACTCCAACTAATCAGTAATATTAATCAATAATCAGTAGTGCCCCTAACACTCTCACATAAACCCCTGACCCTAGGTTGCACAAACTTTTAAAAGGCACCCTTAAAATTGCCTATCAAAAAGTAAATAAATGTTTTATAAATACAAAGGACCAGATTTCAAACAATTAATTCATTTTCAGTATATAAGTAGAGCCCCCCACCCCCCCACCCCTGACCCTGGGGCCTTGAAATTCACAATTCTGCAAGATTAGGGCCCTTGTTCATCATTACTATATAGGTAGTTCATCTGCTTCATACCCAGAGACAGAGAAGAAAATTTTCAAAGATTTAATGTACAATGTATTTTCACTATATAATCAATAGAGCCCCACCCTAACACCAGAACCCCAGACCCTGGGGCAATGAAATTCATAATTTTAGAAGAGGCATTCTTGCTCATCATAACTATGCACTTACTTAGTTTATTTAATACCTAGGAGCAGAGAAGAAGATTTTCAAAGAATTCATGTATTTTCACTATATAATCAATAAAGCCCCCCCCCCCCCCAACAGAACCATTGACGCCGGGGCCATAAAATTCACAATTTTTGTAGAGGCACTCTTGCTCATCATAACTATGCACTTAGTTAGTTTATTTAATACCTAGGAGCAGGGAAGAAGATTTTCGAAGAATTCATGTATTTTCACCATATGATCAATAGAGCCGCCCCCCCCCCCCACAACATCAGAACCCTTGACCCTGGGGCCATAAAATTCACAATTTTGGTTGAGGCACTCTTGCTCATCATCACTATGCACTTAGTTAATTTATTTAATACCTAGGAGCAGAGAAGAAGATTTTCAAAGAATTCATGTATTTTCACTATATAATCAATAAAGCCCCCCCCCCCAACAGAACCATTGACGCCGGGGCCATAAAATTCACAATTTTTGTAGAGGCACTCTTGCTCATCATAACTATGCACTTAGTTAGTTTATTTAATACCTAGGAGCAGGGAAGAAGATTTTCGAAGAATTCATGTATTTTCACCATATGATCAATAGAGCCGCCCCCCCCCCAACACCATAACCCTTGACCCTGGGGCCATAAAATTCACAATTTTGGTTGAGGCACTCTTGCTCATCATCACTATGCACTTAGTTAATTTATTTAATACCTAGGAGCAGAGAAGAAGATTTTCAAAGAATTCATGTAATTTCACTATATAATCAATAGAGCCCCCCCCCCCCCCAACACCAGAACCCTTGATGATAGGGCCATTAAATTCACAATTTTGGTTGATGCACACTTGCTCATCATAACTATGCACTTAGTTAGTTTATATAATACCTAGGAGCAGAGAAGAAGATTTTCAAGGAATTCACATATTTTCACTATAAAATCAATAAAGCCCCCCCCCCACACACCAGAACCCTTGACTCTTGGGCCATAAAATTCACAATCTTGGTTGAGGAACACTTGCTTATCATAACTATGTACTTAGTTAGTTTATTTAATACCTAGGAGCAGAGAAGAAGATTTTCAAAGAATTCATGTATTTTCACTTTATAAACAATAATGTCCCCCCCCCCCCCACCAGAACCATTGATGCTGGGGCCATAAAATTCACAATTTTTGTAGAGGCACTCTTGCTCATCATAACTATGCACTTAGTTAGTTTATTTAATACCTAGGAGCAGAGAAGAAGATTTTCAAAGAATTCATGTAATTTCACTATATAATCAATAGAGCCCCCCCCCCCCCCCAAACACCAGAACCCTTGTTCCTGGGGCCATAAAATTCACAATTTTGGTAGAGGCACTCTTGCTCATCATAATTATTTACTTACTTGGTTTATTTAATACCCAGGGGCAGAGAAGAAGATTTTCAAAGAAATCATGTATTTTTACTATATAATCAATAGAGCCCCACCCTAACACCAGAACCCCTGACCCTGGGGCCATAAAATTCAAAATTTTGGTAGAGGCACTCTTGCTCATCATAACTATGTACTTAGTTGGTTTATTTAATACCCAGAAGCAGAGAAGAAGATTTTCAAAGAAATAATGCATTTTCACTATATACTTATTTAGCCCCGCCCTAGCACTAGAACCCCTGACCCCAGGGCCATGAATTTCACAATTTTGGTAGAGGACTCAATGCTGATTACAATCATGCAAATAGTTTGACTGCTTGATGTCCAGGAGTAAAGAAGAAGATTTTTAAAGATTGCATTAATTTTAGTGGTTTTGGCCCCACCCCTCAGGCCCCAGGGGGGCAGGGATCATGAAATTCATAATTTTTGTTCCCCTTCACCCATAGATGCTTTGTGCCAAATTTGGTTGAAATTGGTTCAGTGGTTGCAGAGAAGAAGCTGAAAATGTTCAAATGTTAACACACGACACACGACACACGACACACGACACACAACACACGACACACGACGGACGACGACGGACGAAAACGGATAGCAATAGGTCACCTGAGTTTACTCAGGTGACCTAATAATAAAGGACATTTTGGTGCTGTTATTCATGATTTTACCAGCATCAAAATAACGAACAAGTATCTGGTCTGACAAAAGTTTGACTGGTCCGACAAAATATTCGACTGTGTCAGACCAAATGTCTGACAGCGATTAAAAAATTTCGACAAGTCTGCAACAACGACGACGACGACAGACAATGGATCAAATTTTTATCAGAGAAGCTCACTTGAGCCTTCGGCTCAGGTGAGCTATAAAATGCTGCACTCATACTACCATATTAGGTTAAAGAAGATCATTCAGTCCAATGCCCTTCATGTACGCCTTTTACATGCACTTTTGTTGTGGAAGCAGAGACATATATGATATAAATACTTTTATAATTTAATTTTATATGTCTCTGGTGGAAATAGTAAAATAATAGCGAGGCAGCGAGCTTCCCAAAGCAACGCTCGTCACTGCGAGCTCTTAAAGCAACGCCTGTGCGAAGAGAAAATTTGGACTACTGCACATTCATTCGATAGAATTTTTTGACGCAGTAATTTGGACCCACAATGCATAACTTGTTAAAGCTACGTTCTCGAGAATAGCAGCAAAAGTTCAACTAAAATTAACATGCCCCGATTTAATGTATAAATATTGAAGATAAATAGAAAACGAAACGTTCTTCATTACCTACTGTTCAGGCTTCATTTTGGAAATGTAACTTACATACGACGTCATGTGACGTCAGAGTCTAGACTAACCAAATGTCACGTGCAGTTTGACGAGCCTGATATAAATTATAAGAAAATAAATATCTGCGCTCGCCATAACAGTCGCACCGTCAACATATTATGTTAGAGACACATGGTTAGTAAAATTAATTTTGAAAAACACATTGAAAAAAAATCAACACTGTTTTGTATGCAATGAATATAAACTTTTTTCAGTGGGTGGAACTATACCTCTCTGGTCATCCATCCCATTTTTTCAGACCAGCAAGCTACAGATTTGCAACTAATGAATATCAAAGAAACTCATTCACACACAATTTGCAATTGAATGATTAGAAATGGTAGCATAAGAATGAATATGGAACAAACAAAATTTAAGGTTAGTTGAACAAATTTAGAGCAATAATGGGTATTTAAAAAAATTTAACACCTCAAGATATCACGTTTTCTAAATACGGTATATCATATTACATAATCTGATAACAACAGAGAAAATTCAAACTGCCTTAATATCGGTAAACAGCGTAAAAAATTGGGAATTTAACAAGTTGTTTGGAATATCTTTAAAGGGATATTAAGGTGATATAACATAATTCATTTTAAATATGCTATAAAATGTTAAGAAGGACATAAAACTTACTTTCTCAGTTTATCGTCACTTCTGTCCTCTAGATGGAAAGAAAATGCGAAGCAACTGGTACTTTACATGATTCGGATTATTTACGGCCTAGGTATTTAGCCTCATTTTAGGGAAATGATGGATATCACGTCACCTGTATAATTATAGATCACAAAAATTTAATAAAAATTCAATATGTAAGGATATTTTTACACAATACACCCAACCCGTATCATTTGAATAATACTTGATAGAACTACTTTTCATATTAACGACCTTCACCTTTACAAATGAAATGGGGAAATCGAGATGAGACACTGTCAGTATGAGAAATCGAAGTAATTCGGGTGTCCGTTTGGATTATTACCAAAGATTACTAAACAAAACCATTCTTAAGTTTCAGGTAATACAACATGCCAAACATTCAAAATAATATATTATCTTTTTCATCGACTTAGAAATATTCCAAAACAAGTTGCACCGTGACAGACATATATGTAGACAAAATAGGGGCATATTTTGTCTACATATTTCTGTCACGGTGCAACTTGTTTTGGAATATTTCTAAGTTAATAACGATGAAAAAGATAAAATAATAAACAATATGGATGATTTTCAATCACGAGATGTACAATAAATCTTCTTTCGATGTGAATGCGGTTTTGAATCCTCTGAATAGCCTAAAACTGCACTTATCTTTTTAACCCGAAATTCCTTTGGAGTTATGTAGCCTAAACTAAAACAGGCGATACCACCGCTTTTGACTTCAAATATTTTAAGAGATAATTCTCGGCAGCGATCATTGTTCTTTTACTATATACAGATATTTCCTGAACTGGACTGCTTAACATGAATGTCAGTGGCATAGTGTCCATTAAAGTAAAAAAGGCAAATTATATATGTTAATTTTGGTAAATATCGGTAATTTTTTAAAAAAATATATGTAATAAATTAATTGGTCAATAATAAATAAAATTTAAAAAATAAAATTTGGTATGTATATTTATTTTATAGCTGTAAAACATAAATTTACAGTCTTGTTTCTTTTATTGGTGTTAGCAGTCAAACTGAGTACCCAATGGCAAAGTACGCATTTCCTTTCTGGCAAATAACTGAAAAAATCCCAAAGTAAAGGTGATGGAGAGTTGATGATGCAAAAATACACTGCATTACGTCTCAAAGGGGTCTTATGTATCCTATGCATAAATGATAGTCCTTGGACCGGAAGTCCAAGGGTTACTACAATGTGCTAATTCAGAGAAAATTCGACCTAATCATATGAAAAACAGACATTTAAAAATGGTAAAACATAATTGATTGGCTAATGCACTTATTGGTTAACCTAGTAAAAGAAATTAAGCTGCAAGTGTTGTTTAGGGCAGTCTGTGACGTTGTAATTTAATGGCGCAAAAACACAATGCTTTTAACAGTCATATGTTACAAAATTCAAAAGATAAACATTTAACATTTTTATCAAATCTCTCATGTTCTGAAAAGTGTTTTAGCTTTACTTTATCCTTTTTTGGAAATCATTATATAAAAAATTTAAACATTTGTTGAGTACTGCTTGTTGCGTTTCTTTTGCGTGTCAGTATATATACAGATATTTCCTGAACTGGACTGCTTAACATGAATGTCAGTGGCATAGTGTCCATTAAGACAAAAAGGCAAATGCCTATATACACATAATTTTGGGCAAAATATATGTTTTTAAATTAATATATGATAAATGTGCATGCATATGCTTTTAATATTTAAAAATTAAAATTTTTTTGTCATACATATTTCTATGATTACAGAAAATGTAATTGAAAAGAACATGTAAAAGCAGTCAAACTTACCCCAAAAAGACCCTGCAATCCTCTTTGACAAATAAAGGTAGTTTCTGCAAATAGGCGGAGACAGTTAAGTCGCATGGTTGTGGAATGTAAACATTAGCACATATGAGTTTTTCGCACTACGAATTTAAATGGAGAAGAGAGAGAGATCGTGTTGATTTTATGGTGCACAATTGATAAATGATTCTGATGTTAAGGGATGGGGTAGATGTCTCGCTCTGCAGACCATAATACAGAAGCAACATAAGCCTTTACATGTACTTACTAATAACACTGTCAATACCAGAATTCTTTCAAAATACCCCTAATGAAAAGCATAAAGTTAAATAAGAGACATATTATCTTCAAACCCTATTAAAATTTGCGCAAAAATCTCCCTTAGTTTAAAGTTGGAAGTACGATAGATACTGTCACAACAGAAACTTAAACACAATGAAATGTTTAATGAAAGCGTTAGCGTATTGAAGAGCAGAATGTCACGTGAGTAATGTGATTATAATATCAATCGTTGATGCTCGGTGACCGGTTAATTTAGTATCTATCTCGACCCTAGTTTGGGGACATTTTTAAAAAAATTAGATATGAGCCTCAACTTGGCCAACATTGTCCTTTGGATGTGTATAAGTTTAAAGTAATATACGCCGTATGGATGCCGTTTTGTATGTGAAACAAAATGATTAAATGATTTGAAACACATAAAGTGTAATGAAAAAATAATATTTCCACAAAATTTAACTATAAAACTCGTTGTAATAACAGAACAATAAAGCAATATGTGCAATAAACATTAGCACAGTCTTTTCATGAATATTGATAAGAGAGAGAGTGCGTTGATTTTATGGTCACAATATAAACGTATGTCCACTGAAATTATAGACAACGAGGCACGTTGCATTTTGACAACGATTATTAATAAAAGGTTAATATGCGTCATAACAGAGTATAGATGGTTGATACTGATTACATTGAAAGATAACTTATATTAATAGTAACACGCCATCCATGTCAAAAGTGAGTTGTATCTCAAAGGGCTTACCTCGTTTAAAGTTGGAAGCCGTGTTTGTTTATCAATCTAACACAGTGAAATGTTCACGTGGTGGATTTACTTAAAAAGAGCATTATTCTCCTTGCAGGATAATAAATAATTATAATTTGATAACTTTATAACGAATTTTATTTAAATGGTGTAATTTACAGCATTTTCGTAACTTTTATTGGTAAACAAAATATATAAATTTCCAGCCGTATTTTAAAATGGTGCACGTTATAGCGTATATTACTTTAAATTAAAATACATATTCTGTGCAAATGAGACCAATGACTAAGTTGCGGCTCAATGTAAACAATGTCTTTGAAAACTAGTATGCATATGAATAACAATAGAAATGTGACAAACTGTTAGACCCCCGTCTCAAAAGCTAGTGTCACTTGGCATTATTTAATAATGTTAGCCTGTAAATGGATATACGTATAATCCCTATTAACCGCCCCATGTGCTTAGAAAATTGTAAAAAGGGGGCGGTTATTTTGGTACTCTATTTATGATATTCAATGTCATACTTTAACTTCAAAAAATCTTTTGAAAAAAAAATGAATAAATACAAGGAACCAATCAAATAATGTCTAACTCTACTTAAAGTGAAGATAATCCACCCAAATTATGCTAAATTATTCATTTTCGATTTTCCATTGAAAAATTGGATAATAGATAAGTTTAATTTTCCCTTTCTTCAATATTTTGATACGATTCTCGTTGATTTTAATCACTGTACAGGGGGCCCTTATTTCCTGACAATTGAAAAAGACCTAAGGGGGCGCTTATAGGGGCAGGGGCGGTTAATAGGGATTATACGGTATAAACATATAAATGTCAATAAAATCTTAAAACTTCATTGTTTCATGTTTTTGTTGGGCAAGTGAATTTTTTAGGCGGGCAAGTGAAATTTATTGTATCACTTGCCCTAGGGCAAGTGAGCTATAAAAAATATTCTAGACCCCTGACTTTGAACAATGAAAGGTCAATATGTGGTTATAAGGATTCATGGCAATTGATATTGACCAAAGACACAGAGAGTGATAGCGACCTCGCAGGCTTGGTCGCTATCACTTTCTGTGTCTTCGGTCAATATCAATTGCCATGAGTCCTTATAACCACATATTAACCTACACTGAAGTCCATAATTGTACATTATATGGTATATTTAATTTATTACCTAACCTGCAATATAAATTATAATTAGGCATTATACTCATATTTCATGACTATGAGGGAAACTGTCAAACTGCATGTTGACCCTATCGAGGTCGCAAGTGTGTACTATTCATTTGCAGGGCAAAATGATATATTTTGGTGAAATACTATATGTGTACTAATAAAAGCGTGCTTCATAATTAGCAACTTTTGGCGTGGACAACAATGTGCTAATTCATGAATACCGCTAAGAAATCATGCATTTACATGTACATTATACACTGACCAGACATGTATAGAGGTAATTTATGATTACGCCAACAACTCCATACCCCGTGATTATGCTAAATTTTGAATATGCCAAATTATGTACTCATATAGTGTGAAGTAAAAGTAATTGTTTAAAAAATGTCATATAATTATCTATCAACTAAAAGTTCGCCAAACATAATTAATTTTTCCTGAAGAAGAGTAGTACCACAGTTACCGTGAAAGCACTAATTGAAAATATGTTTAGTTAGTTGCAAAGGATATAGTGAAACTAGATGCATGGTAATGGTAGACAGACATCTCGGCCTGTGACGGTTGACACGTTGGCCCTGACAGGTTGGCCCAAAATTATTGACATGTGGGCCCGTGTAAAAGACACCGCAGCCCAAGAAAAATTTTGTGATAGAAAAAATTAATCAAGTGTCTGAATTGACATTATAATATAATTAATTTGTCTTTCGGGGGATTAATTATTTTTCTTTCTAAAAATTAAACCAGGAAGGGGGAAGGAGGGGTCCTATGATTTCATTTCTTGCATCTCTCTCTTTTGGAAATGCACAAGGTAAATGATAAGTAAATAAGTAATACAATATTTCATTAACATATAAACAATTCTTTCCTACATGTAATTTTTTAGTGTGATAGGTTAATGCAAGAGTTTAAAAAAATCTATATGAAATTTCTTAATGTACAATGTTGTTGAAACCATAAATTAATTTTCATGAATGACATTGTTGTTTTCATAAGAAATGTTGGCAACAATATTCAATGAAGCCTGCTCGTAATTAATCCCTTATCATTACCAGTATGACACAAACTTGACACTCTAAAGAATGCGCCACAGATTTTGTTTGTTTAGCAATTATTGACTTAATTATATCTTTTCATTCCTTGATCAAAGTCAATATGCTAGGCTTAGGGGAAGATTTCTTTATTTTTTTTAAAGAAAAGGTCGTTATTTTGTTGACTTTTTTCAGTAAATATGATAATTTTTTTTTAAATTGCAAATTCTGAAATCAGAAATATTAGATATTTCAGAATGAAATTTTGCTTGGGCCTTGGTGTCTAATAGATTGGCCGACCTGTCTTATATCTTGGGCCGTGGTGCCTCATAGATTGGCCGACCTGTCTTATATCTTAGGCCGAACTGTCGGAACCGAGGTGTATGACATTCGTGGGAATGCCACAAATGACCCCCATAGACAGACACAATTTCAAAGTTTATATTTAGTTTTAATTTTTGGCTCAAGTGAGCTATTCTGATAAAAATTTGTCCATATTCTGTCGTTGTTGTTGTCGTTGTCGTCGTAAACGTTTCACATTTTCATCTTCTCCTCAAGATCCGCTGGGCCAATTTCAACCAAACTTGCCACAAAGTATCCTTGGGTGAAGGGGATTCAAGTTTGTTCAAATGAAGGGCCAAACCCTTTTCCAAGGGGAGATAATTATGAATTAATGAAAAATTGATGGCATCTTTTAAGTTTATACAAATCTTGACCCCCAGGGGTAGGGTGGGGCCACAATGGCTGATCAAAGTTTTACATAAAGCAATATATAGGAAAAAAATTTTTTCCCCAAAACCATTGGGCCAGGAAAGATGAAACTCATGTGGAAGCATCCTCAGGTATCGTAGATTCAAGTTTATACAAATCATGACCCCCGGGGGTAGGGCGGGGCCACAATGGCTGATCAAAGTTTTACATAGGAATATATAGGAAATTTTTTTTTAAAAATCTTCTTCTCCAAAAACATAAGACCAGGAAAGATGAAACTCATGTGGAAGAGGTAAGATGAAGGGCCACAATGGCATGTAGGAATATATAGGAAAAATCTTAAAAATCATTTTATCCAAAATCATTGGGCCAGCAAAGATGAAACTAATGTGGAAGCATCCTCAGGTAGTGTAGATTCAAGTTTGTTCAAATCAATTGACCCCTCGGGGGTAAGGCGGGGCCACAATAGCCGATCAAAGTTTTACATAGGAATATATAGGAAAAATATTTTTTAAAATCATCTTCTCAAGATCAGCAAAGCTATGATTGGTGACATTAATATGGAAACATCCTCAGTTAGAGTTAATTCAAGTTTGTTCATATAATGACCCCTAGGGGTAAGGTGGGGCCATAATGGGCAATCAAATCTTTACATAGAAATATACAGGAAAAGTTTTTGAAACTTTTCTTCTCAAGTATGGCAAAATTATAATACATGTATGTTTTATTGATATAGTGACATTCTCAAGTTAAAAAAAAATAAAAATCTAAATCCCTTCTCCCCCAAACGTAAACTTTTCAATGCTGAGCTGATTTGTGTTTTTAAACTAGCCCTTAGGTGCTTAGGTGAGCGGTGTGGCCCATGGGCCTCTTGTTTTTGTTTAACTTGACCTGTATTTTCTGAGAAAATACTGGCATTTGCAATTTCAACCTTATACATATACATCCCTACAAAATTTACAGAGCAGAAACTGAATATGTCTTATTTTTCCTCAGTTCAATAGGGATAAGTCAGTAAAAAGAAAAGTCATCAAATTATCGGAACATGACCAAATTTCAACTTGACCTGCACATTCCTTTAATGTGTTTTGTGTCAAATGAGTTGAATGTGTGCAGCTGTTGTTTAGATAATGAACAGAGAGTTGATGACGGAATGAATGAATGACAGAAGGGTAACACTATATTCCCAGGCAGGCATTTTATGGTGGGGGCATAAAATGAGTGTTAAGCTGACAATGGGAGATAATTCTTGAGAATGTGAAATTCAACTATAAATTGCTATTAGAACCAAGGCAATGATTTCCAAAGGGAATTCTTTGATTTGTAACTGGAAAGGAGATTTATTCAATGACCAGATTGGAATTCCCCCCCCCCCCTTTTCCCCTTGAATCAATAATCAGGTGCTAAACCAAACTAAGAGAATCAGTAACTGAATCTGTCTTACTGACGTATTGAATCCTGATAGCTTATTATCTTAGTACAGAAAGTATGGATAAAAAGATAACTGGTCCCTGTATATTTATGAACATTACTTACAGAAGTGATTCCTTTTTTACAGAATCCTGTGACAGGATTACTACCTTCTAGTGAAGAGAACAGCCATGCCTGGGTACGGGACAATGTGTATGCTATTCTGTCAGTATGGGCGTTGGCTCTGGCTTACAGAAAAACAGCTGATCTGGATGAAGATAGGGCCAAAGCATATGAACTTGAACAGGTAACACAGAAATCTGAACCAATATTGAACTAACAGAATTTTTTTTTAGACAGAAATGCATGATGTTTTAAAAAATCTCAAAAGCAAGAAAATTTGAATAAAATACCTAGTTAAAGAAATCAAAGAACATGTCTTTAAGGTGGATACATTTTGTATTTATGAATCTTCATGTACATACAGCATGTACAGTTTGTATGTATCAACTAAAGTATAATTTTTGTTAATGTTCTAAAAAAAAATTTAAAATTGAAATTAATATTTACATGTATCATAAAAATGTAAATGGTGGATTTAATTTTTCAATAGAAATTCTAGCTCTAATTTTTTTACCTTAGTTGATTTTAAGAGTATTATTCTTCCACTCCCAATACACACCCGGTCATTAGAGTTTCTACATTAAGAGTTACTATGTTTTTTTCTTTTTTAAGGTTCTTCGATACTCGGATAAGAGAGATAACTCTTAATGACATAAATTTCTATCATTCCTTTATAAATTTGGCAAGTTGAAGCGTCTTTTTTGCCCCACAAGCTATGCTATAATTGTTTTTATTTTATTTGCAAAACACATTTCGTTTGGACCTGAATATTTTTGTTTTGATCGTATCCAGTCTGTGGTGAAGCTGATGAGAGGACTGTTACGCTGTATGATGGCTCAGGTGGAGAAGCTGGAGAAGTTTAAGTATTCACAGCATGTAGATGATTCCCTCCACGCCAAGTACTGCAGTAAGACTGGGAAGACAGTTGTCGGTGACCATGCCTGGGGGCATTTACAAATAGATGCCACCTCTATTTATATACTGTCCCTAGCTCAGATGACAGCCTCAGGTATATATACCTATAATTCATACCCTCAGTGTCTGAGACTGCCGCTTAATGACATTAATTAAAAGAACTCAATACACTAAATATTTACTGTATGAGTAGCTACTGCCTCAAAAATATCAATATGTTGCAAAGTTATGATATTCCAGTTGAGTAATTAAAGATCTAATGTATAGGTGAGATGTGATATAATCTATATACAACATATAATGGTATCATTGTATGAGATATTGGATTACACTTCAATTATAACTATTTATGAAATTTATTGTAACAGTTTTGTAACACTTAAATTTCAGGTCTTCAGATTATTTTCACCCTTGATGAAGTGTCTTTTGTACAGAATCTGATATTCTACATCGAAACAGCCTACAGAACACCAGTAAGTCCTAAGCCAAAAGCTCAAATATTTGTCAGCTTCTTTAGTATGCATGGGTGACCACTGTTCACTCTGTTATATACATTCAAGATGTTTATAAATCCCAAACAATGAACGTAAAGACATGAGATGCTGTATTTTATGTCTTTTCATCCTGCTTTGAAAAAGCTTGTATTGTGCATATCGTAAGATTAATACAGGTATGTATAATACAGGGATTAACTACTGAACTTTACTCTGTACAAGAAACATTGTTTAATAGTGACACAGTTAAAAGAATCTAATATTCCTCTACTTTTAAGCTGTAAAATGATTTACTGTTGTTGACCTTCCTTGTCATCTTAATTTTGCCATCTTTTACTACTCTAGGATTATGGTATCTGGGAGAGGGGGGATAAAACAAATCATGGACTTCCAGAGCTTAACTCCAGCTCCATTGGAATGGCAAAGGTACATTAGTTTTTACAAAGAATTTACTTGAAGAATCAGTGAAAAAGAGATCAAAAGTACCAGTAGAAAGTTGTATTAACCAGAAGGGGATAATAGAAAATCTAAGATACTGTTATCTTCTCAGCCTGATGAACCAGTAGGATATGTGTGTGATTACTGTAAAGTCCCTTTTCACTGCCCTCTTTCCCTATAAGTGCCCCAGTGCCTTTTTATTTTTAATTGTCAGGCATATCCCTCATCCTTTTAGAAATATCTTTGTAAACATGGAAACTTCTAACACAAGAATTTCATTGAAAGTCTTTCATAATTTTAGGAAGTGAAAATAAAACATGGTAAATTTGTCGGATATTTTGCATATTTTGTATATAAAGTATTCCTGAAAGTGAAAGTTACTTACCATTTGTTCTCTTTAATTTGTGTATTGTGTATTCTCAATTTTTTTTGGTGAAAAATAAATCATAATTTGAGTTGATTATCTTATTATAAGATAAAGTTCTAAAGACAATTATTTAGTGGCCCCTAAATTTAATTTCATAAAATATAACAAGAATATCAAAATGTCTGCCCCCTTTTTGCAATTTTCTAAGTGTCTTTGTGGTTAAAAGGGATTTTATGGTAAAGCTTCCAAAGACAATGTACAATGGTTTTCAATTGATATATGCATATATGAAAATATTTTTAAAATATAAAATTTTGGTTGTTAATCATAATGAGATGTTGGTTTAATCAATTTTAGGATTGATGCATAATACATTTACAATGAATTACTTCAGTATTTTTATAAAGGAATATATAAATTGCAGGCAGCTTTGGAAGCAATAGATGAACTAGATCTGTTTGGTGCCAGAGGTGGGCCCTTGTCCATTGTCCATGTGTTACCAGATGAAGCACAGCAGTGTCAGGTAATTTATATCAGTCTCTTAACTGGGAATCTTTGATTCATTATTCAATAGATCTAGTCAGAATTATTTGTTTTGCTGGAAGGAAGGGCGAAAATGTAAAAAACAAAGTACATGTATTTACTTGTGTGTCTGTACGTCCGTGTGTCTGTGTGTCCTTGTAGCTGTGTGTCCGTCCATAACAAATTTTCGTTGCAGTTTTCTCAGCAACTACTCACCACAGATGCTTGAAATTTTAACACAATTTTCTCTGAGGCATGCTATATGGTGGGATACATTTTTGTTTAAATCTGATGTCAACTTCCTGTTTGTTTGTACGTCTGTCCTTTTCATCCATAACAAATTTTCGTCGCAGTTTTCTCAGCAAGTACTCATCGCAGATGCTTGAAATTTTAACACAATCTTCTCTGAGGCATGCCATACGTTGGGATACATTTTTGTTAAAATCTGATGTCAACTTCCTGTTTGTCTGTGCGTCTGTCCGTTTCATCCATAACAAATTTTCGTTGCAGTTTTCTCAGCAAGTACTCATCGCAGATGCTTGAAATTTTAACACAATCTTCTCTGAGGCATGACATACATTGGGATACATTTTTGTTGAAATCTGATGTCAAATTCCTGTTTGTCTGAGCGTCTGTCTGTTTCATCCATAACAAATTCGTCACAGTTTTCTCAGCAAGTACTCATCACATATGCATGAAATTTTAACACAATCTTCTCTGAGGCATGCCATACATTGGGATACATTTTTGTTAAAATCAGATGTCAACTTCCTCTTTGTCTGTACGTCTTTCCGTTTAATACATAACAAATTTTCGTTGCAGTTTTCTCAACAACCACTCATCGCAGATGCTTGAAATTTTAACACAATCTTTTCTGAGGCATGCCATATGGTGGAATTCATTTTTGTTCATATCTGATGTCAACATCCTGTTTGTCTGTGTGTCTGTCCGTTTCATACATGACAAATTTTCGTTGCAGTTTTCTCAGCAACTACTTATTGCAGATACTTGAAATTTTAACACAATCTTCTCTGTTGGGAGACATTTTTGTTCAAACCCGATGTCAACTTCCTGTTTGTCTGTGTGTCAGTCCATTTCATACATAACAAATTTTCGTAGCAGTTTTCTCATTAACTATTCATAGCAGATGCTTAATTTTAGTACACTCTTTGTTGAGGCAAGCCATATGGTGGGATTAATTTTGAAATGAATCTGACGTCAACTTCAAATTTTTCGGTGCATCTGCCTGTTATTGAACTTGTGTAAATTAACATGATAGTTGATGATTTACATCAGAGCGGGGGTATTACTAGTGAGCATTGGCTCACAGATTTCTTGTTTGTTTTGCTTGGAGGAAGGGCAAAAATTTAAATCAAAGTGCTTAATTGATTTACTGATTGAGTTTTATTGTTGAAAAACTCATGGAATTTCAAAGTATAAATTTCTTCACAGGCTATACTTCATTCCATGCTTCCCAGAGAGTCCAACTCTAAAGTAAGTCGGTGATATCTTCTTAAAATTAATAAGACTATGAGCATAAAAAATATTATAAAATATAAATTTCATGTACAATGAACCTGTATCATTTATTTACATCTTTTAACCTGAAACAAAATGAAATTTTGGTGAGCAGTAATATCTTGGTTTGACATTGCAGGAGATAGATGCTGCTTTATTGACTGTGATCAGCTACCCTGCTTTTGCTGTGGATGATGGAGAAAAGGTGGAAGAAACTAGGGAGACCATTGTGTCTAAACTGGAGGTAAGATATATTACTGTATAATCAAACAACTGAAACAAGGGAGACCATTGACTAGAGAGGAGATAATTAAATATTATTTTAATAATAATCATTTACATCTCACTACTTTTAGGGTAAAAGTAAAAGAACTATATTAACTGTATTCATTTGATTTCAGGGCAAATATGGTTTCTGTCGATTTCTGCGAGACGGCTATAAAACAGCTCGAGAGGTAATGTGGTATCAAATAACTATTTGTAAACATAAGTATTTTAGTTGCAATCATTTAGCACCTTTCAACTACCTTATCCACTGATTTGTATACATACTACTTACAGACTAAAAGAAACTTGGATCTAAATGCACAATAGTTGATGATGAAAATTGATCTTTTTTTTTAGCGTCAATTCATTAACATATACAGAGCTTATTAAACAGTGTGTAAAAAGGTATCATGATGGATAAATACTTCTAAAGGTACTGAAAAATTTTTGCATATAAAAGTTGTCAATGTTTTTGATAAAGTTTCTTTTGAATCAGGATCGTAATCGTCTTCATTATGAGCCGTGGGAGCTGCAGGTGTTTGAGAGGATAGAGTGTCAGTGGCCCATGTTCTTTGCTTTGTCTGTTTTGGACGGTTTGTTCAACGGCAGAGAAGAACAGGTTGGTAGTATTGTGAAGCATTGGAATTAAAAAACTTAAAAATTTTAAAAGAAAGAAGCAAAATTTGTAAAAGTCGCAAAACAGAAATTGCTGTGGTATTCTTTGAGCTTGTTAAGGCATTTAACAAGATGTTTCATTTTCCACCTTAATTAAAGGGGTTAGTTTTGAGTTTTAGGTCCATTTAAAGCAAATTATCCAAAATATGATTACAGCTGATTATATGTGTTGCTTAGAAAAATGATGATTTTTAATGCCCCAATTTCAAGTAGAACCATCTGCACGATAGACATAAGATGTTATACTCATGTTGGCCATTTTAAGCCAATTGTCCCTTTTGATTTTCATGTCAAAGGTCAGCTTTTTTGCTTGATTTGGATGAAACATCATAAGAACACTGCCTTTTATGTGTAGATACATGTAATAATCTTGATTTTTATTAAAAGGATTCCAAAGGGGAAAAATGTTTCTATTTTAATAGTTTTGCTTTATTAGTATAGCATAGTCAAAGTTTGCTAAGTCAAGACAAAAAATTTCAAAAGTGATTTTTTTTAGGTGAAGAAATATTCAGAGAAATTGGATTCAGTGATGTTGAAGACAGATGAGGGAATTTATGTTATACCGGAACTGTATGCTGTTCTTAAAGATAAGGTTTGACATTATTGATTCTCATTAATTTAATTTTAAACAGTTGTATACATTATAATAAAGTTAAAATAAGATCTTTCATGTGCTCGTCTATGCTTATTGCTTATCAATATGCATATATGAGATTGATTGTGGGTTTCCAATGATGAGCAACAGTATTTGGACTTCCAGAATAATTTACTGATGGAAGCACTTGAAGAAGTTGTTTTAAGTTGAATATCATTTTCATGAATTTAACCATGAACTGTATTTGTACATGGAGTTAGGAATTACACAGTAAAACTTCTACAATCTGTAACCTCTGATAACATAAATATTTGCTGGATTAGACGACATTTTAGATTAGAAAGGACTTTCTAAAACTGATTTAACAGAAAAGGACAAGAAGTTTTCACTGCAGTAGTCAAGAATTCGGAACATGAAACAATCAGAGTAGACTAATTTAACTTTACTGCACATCGAAATCATGGATAGTTTGAGTCAAGTAGTTGGTATACAAGAAATTCATCTTTTATCAGTTTATCTTTAATTTTCATGTTGTTCAAGGATATGTTTTGATGTACAAAATGAGTTGATCTACAAAATGTTTAGACCTACAAAATGAGTTAATATAATTGTTTTCTATTGAACAGGTGGAGCAAGAATATAAAGAACCAAACAGCCAAGAGAGAGAACCACTGGGGAAAATGCCTCACAAATGGGGGCAGTCATTGTATATCATCAGTAAATTGGTTCAAGAGGTAAAAGAAAAGGTTTCTGATGCCTAATGATTAAAGGACACTCAAAATGTGGCTCCACCAATTGAACTTTTCTCTTTTTGTATGAGCCTTTGTATTGCCTTACACATGTATATGGTTGTAAAAATTACTAAAAGCAATGTAAACAGGATTAAGTAAAAATGAAACTGCTCCATTTACCTTTAAGGATAGCCAAAAATTTAAACTGATTTACCTTGTTGTAACTACATCTTTTCAAAATTTTATAAACGTTCTGTTAATAGAGAGACTGTAATGCATGGTATTTTTACTCACTAGAGATTTCTATGTGTTTTATGACATCATTAGATTGTAAGAAAAAAATCATTCAGAGCTAGAATGACAGATATCCTGAGCATCATTACTGGTTTCATTGTAGGGTTTTTTATCTCCTGGAGAGCTGGATCCTGTCAATCGTCGATTGGTTTCTGAACCCAAACCAGACATTGTTGTACAAGGTAATTTTCTTAATTGATCACAGTTGTTTCTGATCTCAGTAGAAGCATAGCCATATCGGTATTAAAATTTCTTCCTTTATTTATAGAATCTAAATTGTAGTCACAAGTTTTTGTCAAATGTCTTGATTTTTGTACCTAATCTATTTTGTATCATCATAAATAACAGTATGTTAACAGGCACTGTCTTCATGATTGTAAATTTGTATTTATTAATGCTTATTGTTGTTTTGATAAATCTGCTCAATGGAAGATGAATTTTAATATTGGTATTACAGTGGTAATATTGGCTGAAGATGACTACATCCAGTCTAAGCTGTTAGAACATGACATCAAGGTGCAGACAATGTCAGAAGTGACCCCATTACAAGTGTTCCCAGCAAGAGTTCTTACTCAGATCTACTCCCTACTGGGTAAGTAGGCAAATCAGTTAAAGTGGGCTTTCTACTGAGTAAGTGGGCTGGTCATTTAAATTGGGATTCCTATTGGGTAAGTGGGGCAAATCATTTAAAGTGGGCTTCCTACTGAGTAAGTGGGCAAATAATTTTAAGTGGGAATAAAATAGCTACATTTATATGTAAGAAATACCTAGTGGTTGAGTAGAAAAACATTAAAAATGGAAATTTAGATGACTTTAGAACTTATGTGAAAACTGATGTATAGAGAAATGGAGATGGAAGTTTTTACTTTTAAACATTTTTTTCTTGACTCATTTTGACAGGTAGAAACAAGAAACTAGGTTTGACTGGACGCCCCAAGAATGAAATAGGTCTGCTGGCCACCAGCAAGTTGTATAGTTTTCATGATCAAATCTTCGCATTTATTCCACAGGTATGTTGTCTAGAATCTTCTGATGCACCAGGTATTTGTCTAAATATTTGGTATTGTGCTGACATTTGATATTCTTTTTGTTTACAAAGTTAGTTAAAACAAGATTCACTTGAATTTAAGATATGATTGTAATTAATCATTTCGATGATGTAAACTGTTTATAAAAAAGAAAATTTTGTATGATTGATCTTATGCCAGTGTTGGGGAAGAATGGAAATTTCTACTAAAAGAGAAGAAATAGAGTATTTGTTTTTACAGATGGCAGACGAACATCACTTTTATCTTCCCAAAGACACAATCCTGAAGTTGGACATGTTTGCCAATGATGTAGGATTTCTTTCTTCCAATTGGAAGTGCATAGGGCGGCCATTGGTTATCATTCCAGTATCTTCCAACCTTAATTCTTTAGGTTCCAAATTTTGATTGTTTCTTTTTTTTACAGGTCTAAAGCTTGAAATGAAATGCATAGCTATTTTCTTTGAAAGCACTCAGAATTTTCCTATCAAACCTTTTCCCTATTAAAATCAATATCTTCTGTATGTATTTCAAGTCAAACTTACATTTGCAAGGGGTTTGGGTATGTGGAAAAGGGGGTTAATGATAAATATAAGAACTAAGTAAATTAAAAGAAGATGCACTTCTAGAAAAATATTTTGAATCTGAGAATGAGTTTTAGAAAGTATGGTTTGGCTTGAAATTGGAATGAGCTGAGCATTTTGTGAAAAGAGACTTGAAGAGGAATTCTTATCTGAAGGATTTGGTCACTGTGGTGAAAAGTGAATGTGTATAAAACTATTTATCTTTATGTCTTCAATTTTTTTTTTTAATATGTCAATATTTTTTCAATGCTTTGGTTATGAATATAATTGAAAATGTATTGAGTGCTTTATTGAATTTTTTATTTTGAGCTTCTGAAGCATTTTAATTGGCATACATGTATTGATACTAATTTAATGTATTATTCCAAATAGATGAAAGATTAGAAAAATTTTCAAGTCTGCAAAGCTTATTTTCAAATTTTAGATATCAGTCTATTTTCTCAAAGATTGGGGGTGACAGCATTTGGAATGCAGAATAAAAATATAGATTAAAATTTTTTTAAAATTTAGATTTGCTGATTCTATGATGTAATCAACATTCAAAAATGATATTACAGGAAAAAAATAATGTAAGAGAGGGGAAGTCAATGAACTTTCAATGGAAAATGAATGACTTTTTTTTTCAGAAAACATTTTCTGCAAGCAGATGTAACTGTATCTTTAGATGAATATGTATACTTGGCTCAATTTTTCATCATTTCATTTTAAAAAGGCATTAGATGTATTTTCGGGTTTAAAATTATGATTAAAGATTTAATTATAAAAAGCATTGATAGGAATCATTTTGATGTCTAGCAGTTTTCATACAAGATCTCTCTCATCAGGGAAAAAGTTTCCCCAAAGTCATCTTTAGAATAAGGCAGTAAAATAACTTGCAAAGTAAAAAAAAAAAGAGGCACTAAATATTTGAATTCAAATTATTTAGTAAATAATATTTATTTAGAATAATTTTCAGTGAATTTTACTGTTGATCCATTAATAATGTGCGTGAGACTTCATCATTTTGTCCACATCATTTTGAGCATATTAATAATGTGTGTGAGACTTCATCATTTTGTCCACATCATTTTGAGCACCAATATTCTAACTGTTCCTTGATCACCAAGGTTTATAAAGGAAGTGCTAAACACTAGTGAGAAATATTTATGAGACTTTGAGAAAATTTGCACTATATAAAGGTGTGTAAATGCTAATATAAAATTAGGTTATTCAGTTTCAACACAGGATACCTGGCATATTTCTCTAAAAACAATGTTTTTAGACAATGAAGAATAAGTGAAGAATAACCACAATGGTTTATACATGTACCTGGTACATGTATGTACTACATAGTTACTTAGATTTATATGCATTGAGAATGCACAAGCAAATAATGTTTTCAATTACATGTATTTCATTTTGATTAATGTATTGTTTAAAATGCTTTAATCTGTAATTTATTTCAAAATATATGTCATTCACAGAAGTTCTTAATTTACTTGTATTTCATTTAACCTCAATGTGAATGTGTAATATTACTATGGAATTTAAACCTTTGAATTAACAGTGTTTAGGGCTTCCTTAATATATCTTGACACACAATCTCATATTTCATAAACCTTCTTGGACAGAAGCATTTACTGTCATCATCATGACATGAGTTCTTGATGTATTTTGAAACATTTTTAAAATTATCTGTTTGATGTATACCCTCTTCTCGTTTTTCCTGCGTAGTTTGTGGACATGAAAAATTATTACCTCCCCTTGGACATAGAGTTTGCATTGTTTACATTCAATCTGGAATTGGAATATCTGTCCAAAACGTGGAGAATGATTGGTCTTCCGACCGTCACATGTCAAATATCACATGACATGCTAGGTTCGGCTCTTACATCACATTCAATACTAGCACAAGCTGCTAGCGCTACTGCTGGGGTGCAATTTACCCCGTTTTTGACCTTTGTTTTGCTTTCCTATTATTTCTGCAAGGTATTCTTGCAGAGCCTACATACTAGTGTAGTCAGTGTTGTGCTGCACGGGAATGAAGGTACTGGTTTTTACTCTGCTTCATGCATTTAGTTTAGGTAGAGTACATGCAAGTCCAAAATGAATTAAATGATGTGGCTATGATTTATTAAATTTAAAATTAATTGTATGAATTTGGTTTCTTCAGGATATGAATGTAAACCCAACCCACTAGATCCCTGATTCTGTTCACATTTCACTGACAAAGTGTATTGTTTAAACTGCAACAATATTTAACATTAATCCATTTTTTTTGTCACTATGATACGATGTGTTTTCTATCCACTAACAGTTTGCCAGAGCATCTCCCCAGCTCTGCAGCTGAGATTGATCTGTGTCACTTTGTGTTAATTATCCTACTAATTATTGATTTACATGTTGATACTAGCCTTTTGACTGTGTATATTCTTTCAGTACGCCGATGCTCACCAGTTCTATTTGGCTTTAGACTTCACCTTTATCATTGACAAATTTAAGAATGACGTTGGTTATTTCTCGGGTAATTGGAGGAACCTTGGTCGCCCAGTCTACATTTATCCTATCACAAACGCTGTATTAGGTGCAGTTTTATTTCAACATTTTATTGCTTCACAGTGAATAGATATTTATATGTGTACTTGTGTATCATAAAGTAGTACCTTTAGATTCAGGATTCACTTAGATTCACTTAGATAAAATTAGATGTATTAATAACTCAATTATGAAATGTGCTTTTGCTATAATAGCAAATTACATAACATTTGCAAAGGATGAATATTTTTTTTCACGAAAGCAAGGTGCTTCTGACATGTTGACTATTGTCTCCTGAATCTACCATCAATTTTATTTTCCTTCCTCCTTGGACCTCTTTAGATTTCAATAAAAAAATGCATATATGATGCATTCAAATTAATTCTTTGTTTTCTCCATTTACTGCAATGTCCACCCGGGTAAAAATATTGTGTCCTTTGCATGCATTTTGTACAATATTCAGAGGTGCTGTATTTCATTTCCGAAATTTTTTTGAAATTATACATGTACAGATGTATATATGCAGAATTTTTATACATTTTTATTAATATTTTGAAAACGATGTTTGAAATAAATTCTTTTAAAATTCCATTTCCACCTACTAAGTTATCATTAAATTGCCGGAGAGGTACTTTGCAAAAATTCTGGAAATGAAAAGAAATAATTGTTGGAAATGAAAAGAAAAATTGTCAGAAATGAAATGAAAAATTATCGGAAATGCTATGTAGATTTCCTGAAATGAAATGCAGCAATTCAGAGCAAAGGCCAACTCATTACTGCTATTCAATTACGGATATAATTTATGCTTGCAAGCCTCTACATTAAGATTTTTTTGTTTATTGAAATTTAAAAATACAGTAATGACTTGGTATCTGGTAAACTTTTATTTGTAAATCTTATTTTTTTATACATGTTAATCTGTTGCATGCCCTAATCACTGCTAGACACCTATCTAGCACAGCTGCATAGGACTACATGTTTTGCATGGCATCATGATCTGCTTTGTAATATGAACTGTAGGTTAATTGTTTTCAGTTTTTTAGAATCATTATGCATTCAAAATTACTAAACATTAACTTTTAAGAATTGCATGAAAGCTGGTATTTTTAATCATGAAATAACAAAGCCTGTATTACTTACATTGAATTCTTTTCATTTTAGAAGTCCTGACACACAAAAGACTTTTTCTTTTTTTTCTTTTTACAAATACATGTATCTAAGTTTACAAAATATTTCATCATTATCTTCATAGAGAACTTTGGAACTATACTTTGAGTGATCAGTTCTTTCTTTGGGCCTCAAATTTAATTAAGTGTCTACACATGTAATTCTTTAGATCTGTACAGTATTTGGATGAAATACTAACTGTCGAAAGTAGCAAAGCCCCAAAACATGCTGTAGAAAGCATATTTATCAGCAGGAAAAGACGTCTTCAAGAAAATCTTATTTGAATCCACACTGAACAATTGATTCCAATTTCCTCCTGTACTGTACAAATCTGTGTACATCGTAAAGCACCGCTCATGTAGATCTGTAGACAACACACATCATCTTTAATGTTCATCATTTTTTATGAACAAGGTCATTGGTCATTGTGGATTAATTGCTTTATGACATAGATATAGTCCATTTGAATTTACAGTGATTTATCTAAACCTTGAAAGAAAGCAAGATCGTGCAACTATGAGTCAAACTGAATTCAGAAAGTTGGAGGAAAAGTTATGTTGCCAACAGGTTGCTAACAATGATAGAAGGATAAACAGTTTTTTTGTACTCCTAATTACATTCTTAGATATTTGTCTATTTGTAGTTCATGGATGATCAGCAATTCTACTTCCAACAAGACGTAATATTATTATTTGACATATTCCGTAACGAGTTATCATATCTCAAAAACAGTTGGAGTGGATTAGGTCGCCCAACGGTTGCCATCTCAATCAGTAGCTCTGTACTCGGTAGGTGGATCCAAAAATTCTGGAGGTGAAGCCTAAATAAAACACATCTAAGCTTTATGGGATTTGAAAGTTGAGTATAGGGCTGGGAATAGCACACCATATAAGACATTAAGACATATTACGAGGATTTCAAAAACTGTTCTTGAAAAAGCTCTCAGGACTAAGCCTTTAAGTGATACAAAGGCCTTGAAAGAAACCAATTTTTTTTGTTGAGATACATGTAGATTAAGTACATATTTTGATCTAGTTTTTTGTCAGTCACATAACCAGCATTTTTTTGTGCACTGAGTGAGAAAAAGTTGTAATTGTTTTACTTTACAACATTAGTATTTCATTGAATATTCCTAACATCAGTGTTACACTAAATAATTAACACTAAATATTTACTCGTTAAACACACCTAAGAGCAACTCTCAGGGAATGAGAGTTAAAACTTAAGAAATAAGGGAAAAAACAAACAAAATACGATATATTTTCCTTTGATTTTGTGTCTCTTTCTTATGCTTAGCTAATGTAGACGAAGTGCTTCAACAATCTGTCCAGTGTGCATGTATACATGTATACCGGTATATATATGATGTATAATCCATCATGTGCAATAAATGCATGTAGTACATAGAAGATGCACAGTATATATATTTATGTAGTAGATGTTTCATTATTAAAAATACTTATCATTATATAATTATATTACATTTGAAAGCTTCCAAAGAAGCTATAATTTTCTCGAGCTATTCTGACATTACCCAGAAACAATTGCTGATGTAGTAGAAAGTTGATCAATTGATTAAATTTCAATTGATTTAATTTTTAATTTAAAAAGTGTTACTTAAAGCAACACTTTTATACTGTTAATTCTTATGTGACAGTGACAACTTTTCACCATTTTTTGAGTTCAACTAGGCCAGTATTGCACCAGTTATGAATATCTTTCATCTCTTTTTTGTAAGTTGTCCTTTTTACGCCTTCATAAAAGAAGATATTTCTAGATATGTAGTTTTTGCCCTGTCTGTCTGTTTTTCTGTTTGTCCGCAAAAACTTGAACCTTGCCCATAACATTGATTTGGTTGGCGCTATGGCTTTGATATTTCATGTATATTTCCTGTAACAAGACCTAGTATATATGTAGCTTTCTTTGCATACCAACATACTGTACGTGTACATTAATTGGCATATTAAAAATACACTTGTTTCATAAATTAGCACTACACATGTATATGTGGTGTAGTGTAATATATAAATGATTTATATATAACAAAATACATGTAGATGATTTCTTAGTGATATTCATATATAAGCGCATTTTTGTCTGTGCCACAGCTGCTAAAATATGAAGCTCACTTTTTAGGTCACCTGAGTAAACTCAGGTGACCTATTGCTATCTGTTTTTGTCCGTCGTCGTGTGCCTTGCGTTAACATTTGAACACTTTCAGCTTCTTCTCTGCAACCACTCAACCAATTTCAACCAATTTTGGCACAAAGCATCTATGGGTGAAGGAGAACAAAATTTTTGAATTTCATGGTCCCGGCATCCCCGGGGGCCTGAGATGTTGGGCCAAAACCACTAAAATTAATGCAATCTTTAAAAATCTTCTTCTATGCTCCTGGACATCAAGCAAACTGTTGGCATGATTGTAATCAACATTGAGTCCTCTACCAAAATTGTGAAATTCATGGCCCCAAGGTCAGGGGTTCTTGTGCTAGGGCTAGGGCTGGGCTAATTAGATGATATAGTGAAATGCATTATTTCTTTGAAAATCTTCTTCACTGCTCCTGGGCATTAGATAAACTAACCAAGTACATAGTTATGTTGTATAAGACTGCCTCTTCCAAAATTTTGAATTTCATGGCCCCTGGGAAAGGAGTTCTGGAGTTGGGGCAGGGCTCTATTTATTATATAGTGAAAATGCATTAATTCTTTGAAAATCTTCTTCTTTGCTCCTGGGTATTAAACAAACAAACTAAGTACCTATCTATAATGAGCGAGAATGTCTCTTTCAAAATTGTGAATTTTATGGCCCCAGGGTCAGAAGTTCTGGTGTTAGGGTGGAGCTCTAATGATTATATAGTAAAAATGCATATAAATTCTTTTATCTTCTCTGCTCTTTGGTATTTAACCAATGAACTATAATATAGTTATAATGAGGAAGGATGCTTCTTCCCAATTTGTGAACTTCATGGCCCCTGGGTTAGGGGTTCTGGTGTTAGGGCGGGGCTCTATTGGTTATAAAGTGTGAATTAATTCTTCGAAAATCATCTTCTCTGCTCCTGGGTTTGAAACAAACTAACTAAGTACAAAGCTATAATGAGCGAGAATGCCTCTTCCAAAATTGTGAATTTTATTTTATTTCATAGTCTGAAAATAAAGTAATGCTTTGAAATCTGCCCTTTGGTGTTAATCAACCATCTATGATGAAGTAAAATTTATAAAATTTCCAAAATTTTGAAATATGTGGCCCCAGGGTCAGTGGTTCCTGTTGGTTGGGGGGCACAACTGGTGGTTATAAAGTGGAAATGCATTTTCTCTTTGTTACTCTGATCTTCCTCTGGGTATTAAGTAACCAAAGTGAGCATGCTAAGTGTATAGTTATGATAAACAATGATGCCTCTTTCAAAATTGTGAATTTCATGGTTTTTGGTTAAAAACACGAACCTAATTCAATCGTTGGAAAGTTGTTACATGATACTCAGGTGACTTATAAGGTCCATGGGCCTCTTGTATAAGTACACATACAGTATTTTACCTCTTGACCTTGACCTATTTTTGGAAAAATTAACCTTGGCCATTACCTTTTTACAGCTGGTGCTAGTTTTTTAATACTTCACTTGTTTATTTCGTGTGACAAGACATTTCCTTGAATATGAAATATTTTTTACCTTAACCTCAGGTTTGACATGTAAAAAAACCCATTAATCTTAGCCATAAAACAATTGGTGCAAGGGCTTTCATATTACACATGTTCATTTAGTCCTTTTTTTGGGAAGGGGGGGGGGGCGTAGCAACATTTTTAAATTTTTGACATTGCGTGACCTTGGAGTTTGACCTTTATTTCAGAAACTTATTAATCACTGCCTTAAAATTCCATACGGGGTTGTCAGTGTTTCACAAACTGGTGTTGTTTTTACAATGAAACTTCAGGTAAACAAGCTACATGAACATGCTAATGATTATAGGTCTGAAACAAAATGTCCAAGTTTTTGTATTAGGAGTCTGAAACTCTAGTCATGGGTGAACCAAAGTTCAGCATCAGAAAATCTTTGATTATTATTTTCCAATGGCCTCTTCATACCTTCTTCAGAAAAAGAACATTTATGTTTAATATTGATGAAATTCTTTCATATTTTTTTTATAACATGATAGAAAATCATAGATCAATTTATTGTTTAAATCGCTTCCATAAAATCTTAAAAGAAATGTACTCTGCCTTTTAACTCAAATGCAGATTATGTATTTTCAAATTATATTCTGCTTTTTCTCCAAAAAATGATCAATAGATTTATATATGATTTTGTGATCTAAGTATTGCATACCAGTTAGTCAATTTAATAGCTATAATTGGAAGTTTTGATTTAAATATCTGTTACAGTAGAAAATGCTGTCAATGTTCATACATCTCTTGGTTTTGATGATAGGGTAGGGGAGGGTTATTGGAGGCAGTTCATGGGTAGTTGTTTGATGATGGGGTAAGGGAGGGTTATTGGAGGCAGTTTATGGGTAGTTGTTTGATGATGGGGTAAGGGAGGGTTATTGGAGGCAGTTTATGGGTAGTTGGTTGATGATGGGGTAGGGGAGGGTTATTAGAGGCAGTTTATGTGTAGTTGGTTGATGATGGGTTAGGGGAGGGTTATTAGAGGCAGTTTATGTGTAGTTGTTTGATGATGGGGTAGGGGAGGGATATTGGAGACAGTTTGTGGGTAGTTGGTTGATGATGGGATAGGGGAGGGTTATCAGAGGCAGTTTATGGGTAGTTGGTTGATGATGGGGTAGGGAGGGTTATTGGAGACAGTTTATGTGTAGTTGTTTGATGATGGGGTAGGGGAGGGTTATTGGAGGCAGTTTATGGGTAGTTGTTTGATGATGAGGTAGGGGAGGGTTATTAGAGGCAGTTTATGGGTAGTTGTTTGATGATGGGGTAGGGGAGGGTTATTAGAGGCAGTTTATGGGTAGTTGTTTGATGATGAGGTAGGGGAGGGTTATTGGAGGCAGTTTATGGGTAGTTGTTTGATGATGAGATAGGGGAGGGTTATTAGAGGCAGTTTATGGGTAGTTGTTTGATGATGAGGTAGGGGGGGTTATTGGAGACAGTTTATGGGTAGTTGTTTGATGATGGGGTAGGGGAGGGTTCTGGAGACAGTTTATGGGTAGTTGGTTGATAATGGGGTAGGGGAGGGTTATTGGAGGCAGTTTATGGGTAGTTGAAGGGTTTAAAAACATAAATGTGAAATTAAATGGTGCATTGTGAGATGCACAGTATAATTATATTTTTTCTTCAAGAATTACTTGCCATTTTAATCTTTTATATTTAATTGACATCATTTCAGATTTAAGCAGCAGTTTTAGTTATAAGTAAACTAGATTTAAGGTATTTTATTTGATACAAATGAAATAGCAAAGGGATCTTTTATTCTTTTGCCTTTGAAAATGTACTTTTAAACATCACATTTGTACATAACATTGCCATATCAAAATTTCAAATAGAGAATTCTACGAAAGCAATGTGCTTTCTAATAGTAACTGTGAAAAATGTTCTGGCATGTAAAAAAAAAAAAATCCTGAATTAAGCTCCAAAATAATGATCTGTGCTGCAGACATAATAAAGCATGTATTTTAATTAATCTTCATAAAAAATTAGCAGTCTCCTTTCTGTTAGCTGGTAGTGGTGGCTTATCTGTAAAACTGACTAATTTAATCCAGACCTTTGAATTATTCACAGTTTTGCCATGTGTTTTATTTATAATTATTTTTTTTTTTGATTATTTATAAAGCATCCACACTACATACCACTCACTCGACACTTCTTCAACTGGCTTTATTGCATCGTATGCATATTGCAGTGCATTATATAGAATTTTTTTTAAAATTTACTAACCTTTTAAAATGTATAAAAATCATTACTGTAAAAAGCTAGTACATGTAAATGAAAAATTGATCATGAAATTTGTGTATTATTATGTACAGAGAAATAAAAACAAGTACTGATTTATTTAATTTTAAATTGAATTTAGATGTTGGTCTTAATCCACCAGCTGCCCTGATAGGGACAATCAAAAAGTTACAAAGTGGATACATTGCTGGAACGAGGCAAGTTATTTCAAATCTTATAGACTGGCAGTGTAAGAAGAGACTATTCCAATATCTAATATGTGTGAGGGTGTGTTAGTGTGTGTATTTTCTGTTCTTTTGTATGTATGAAAATTTTCAAAAATAAAGCATTAAAAAAAAAAAAAATTCTAAATGTAGCTTCCTCAAAAAAGGACTAAATCCATGCAGAAACATTTAATTTATTTCTTGCTGTTGCCATAGATTTGCATGAAAGTGAGGCCTTTCCCTATCATCGCATTATGTAATTATCATTAAGTAAAAACCAGTAGAGCTACAGTCTCAACAATGACTTCTTGTTTACAATGCATGCTGTGGCAACTCTGCACCATAACCTGCCCGCTTTCACATTTAAAATGAATTTTAAGGAATGTACAGTGAGAGTCCTAAAACTTTTTATAAATCAAAAATGGGAGATTTTCCTAAGGAAAAAAGGAACCAATTTTTAATGAGTGTGCATGGATGCATTTATATTGATGAAATTGAAAAATTGAGCAACGGAGGTTTTTGTTATGGTAATACTGTAAACCAGCTTTAATTCGCGATGACTTTATTTCACGATTTACTTTGGGTAAACTAGTTCGCGACGATTAATTTTCACGACCAAGGCTTTTTGGATCTGTTGTTAATAGACATAGAGGCTTTCAGGACCAGTTCGTGGCAAGAAATCTTCGCAATGAAGCTCTTGTGAACCTCTCGAAAATTTCTCGCATGCGATAAGAGTTGGTTTACGGTAATATGGAAGCAAAAATTTCAAAAGTTTCAAATCATGACCCCGTATTCATTTATTTGAAATTATCTTTTTTTTCTTGGTTTTACAATAATGTATGGTTATAGTTTTCAGATTTGTAATGGTGTCAAATTACATCCTGGTTTTTATTTTGCAGGGTCCACCTGGGAAATTTAGATGAATTTGTGACCACATCCTGCATTACGAAACTTAGTTTTCTCAGGGATCCTTCTCACAGTATGTTTTTCATGTGCTACAAGTATGATCTATCATAAATTTTTCTATTCTTTTCTAAGGTATAAGTGCATGGTACCCAAACATTGTTTTGGTGAATATAATTGGGGCCTTGTTCTGATGGTACTTTAAAGTGAACAATCCATCCAATATCATTTTGATGTCTGTAAATTATTTCCTCTCCTCTTGGCCTAATCACACGAAGCCATGAATAGTTGTATTGCATGTGATATGGAAACATTTTCTAAAGGTGTATAGACTCAAGTTGTTTAAACAAAAAAGATCTCCAGGGCTAGGTGGAGGCTACAATAGGATTTTAAAATTTTATAAAGGATACATTTTAGGATTGTTTTTAAGTTTTGTATGAGTTATTGGTGTGTGAATCACACAGACATATTTCATGAAGCGCTCTAGTGCTTCATGAAAAATATGCCTACATGCAAATCTGTGTGATTCACACACCAATAATTCAAACTAAACTGAAAAACACCCTTATATTTACATTTTATATGTTTGGGAGCAACTAAAATATACTCAATATTTGAATTTCTCGCTGCCCTATATCGCTGCAGACTCATTGTGACGTCACATTAACACACGTTTCTCCGTGTATATTTCTACGCGTGAGTATACACGAAAATGGTTTTCAAATCAGTTTCACAGTTAACTAAGTAGAAAAACACAGCAAATGTAAATATTGTGTATTGAATGGGGGGTGGGGGGTGTAATCTGCTGATGAAGAAAAACAGGGCCATAGTGACTCAGGTGAGAATTGTTACCCTGTTGTTTTGTCCTCTTTCAGTAAGGGTTTTTGTCAAATGTGAAATTTTACTTTAAAAAAAGAGATTTTTTTCAAATGATTCATTTGATACAGGTGAGGAAGTGAAGAACTTGATTGGTGACATTTTCAATAAAGCTCCTGACACAAGGCCACGTCTCTTGTCTTCAACCAGAATACGGGTCAGATCTCACTCTAAATCGTCGGTCCACGGCATTGTCCGGAGATCCAGGTCAATCCAAGTAGATCCAGACCAGGCACAAGGTAAGGGCAGAATATCTTAGTCATCAAGTAACTGAATACACTTGTAAAGGCTCAATGTTTTATTAGTGAAGTAGGCTATAATTTGATACCATCATTATTCTGTCATCATTTTATTTTCATGTTCATAAAGAAATTAGGGAAGATTTGGTTCTATTTATTTATGGTGTTGTAGTGTAAAATATATCACTTATTTTTTTGTGACGTGACCTTTGCACTTTGCCCTTTAGAGAGAGGTTCATCACAAATGTAAATATTGTATATTGTATGGGGGTGGGGGGTGTAATCTGGATGAAGAAAAACAGGGGCGTGTAAGTTTGATATGTACTTCATGAATGCCTCCATGTCAGCCAATCAGCATCGTCTTGTACCAGAGGAAAGGGAGAAAATCAGTGAATCAGGGGAGATTACCGTACTTTTAGTTATAGGTGATGAGTAACTGATATCAAAAACCTCAGTGTCTTCTGGATCTTGACTTTAATAAATCCATTACCTATGTAAAAAAAAAATAAGAAGGCAAATGTAATTTATTAAAATCCCTGATTTGTAGATTCTCTCCCTTTTCTAATATTACATGTATCACATTCTTTTGTTTTAATCTCACCTGACAGAGAAGAACGTGTACTGATATTGGCTAAACTTCCCAAAGGTGCAGTTTCAGGATTTTATTTAAAAGGAAAAATTTATATTTTACAACAGAGCAATAAATTGAAAATTCATAAAGTAACAAAAAAAAAGGAAAAAACTTCATGAGTCAATTAGAAAATATAATGTCTTAAGCAGAAAATTGAAACTATTATGCAAATGTAGCCATTTCTTGACGTGGATCCATAAATATATTGACTTCACAGAACAGTATATTGACCGAACACAAAGTATTTTAACGAGGCCCGATCTAGTTGATTTATTTTTAAAAAACTAATACAGTATCACAATCGTTTGTTGGTGTTGTGTAAACCCATTGCGACATATAAAATACGTAGTTGGATAGAATAAATCCAAATTTTGTGTTTTGACATGCCCCCTTTTCACTGCAATAAAGGCTACCTCCAATTTTCTTTTCATCTTTTATAAGAAGAATGAAAATTGCATGATATATGTAAAAAACAAAGAATTTCATCATGTATTTTTTTTAATTTGTAAATTTCTTTGTTTATTGAAGAGTTTTAGTACATGTATGTAATTGTGTATAAAAACACGACAAATGGGCCATATCTTGACAGTGCCCCCATTTGACTACAATAAAGGCAAGGTAACAAAATTTCATTCTAATTTTTCTAAGCATAAAACATACAAATATATTTCCAAGACTTCAAATTTTTTTATCATTCCTTTTCGTAATTTTCAACTAGATCGGGCCTCGTTAAATTTAAATCAATATATGAAAAATACATCAAATTTCTTTTAGGTAAAGTAGATCAATATTAGATGCATGGTCATCTCTTAACAATTATTTGATGGAGCCAAGAAAAAAGATTTGATTTAAGAAATCTTGATTATTGCACCATAAAAAGGGGGAGAAAAGCATGTATGATATTTACATTTATTATAATTAAGTCTTTTTTAAAAATGAGTTAAATCCTCAAAATATTTGGCATGAAATGAAATCTAACAAAAAAAAAAAGAAGCATATTCTTTCAGTATGAATTTTCTTTGATTTTATTTTTACAAATTAACTGATAACAAACAGCTATCTTAGGCATGATTGTTTCCTATAGTAACAACAAATATATATACAGCTAGATATTGTTCATGTATGTTTGATATATGTTGTGTGTTGTTTCTTGTCATTTCCCAAAATGTGCACAGCAAAAAGAGAAGAGTATACAGACCAGACCTAAGCTTTAATTATTGAATGTCTATAACTTAAGGTTTACATTGATGTGCATGATGATTTAGTACTCGGAAATGCACAAAGAGATAGCTGTAACGGAGTAAAGGTATTCGTGAAATAATTAATTAGTGTAACATTTGTTTTAATTGTCCTATGTTTCCTTGTTGAGCTTTACAACAGTCCCTGAAGAAATTAGAGAGAGGAATTGCTATCCCAGGTAGGCGGAGTCTAGCTTTCAATCATGCATCTTGTCAGCCAATCATAGTTTAAGTAGTTTGTGTAGTACATGTAACCTGACCAACCTCCTCATCACTTGATGCATTATGTTTTTTGTTGTTGTCATTTTAACTCTTCCACATTTTGTTGTGTGTTTACATTTTGTTCTTCTAAACCCTGTATTCCACCTTTCACAGGAAAGGCATCATACAAACATTGTTATATTCACTTTAATCCCTTGTCACTCAACATTTTGCCTGCATAGATCACATACTGCAGGTAAAATATTTTCTAAGAGACACATTTCTTTCAACTTTATTTCAAATCTGAATTACCGGTACAGGAAAATCCATAAACATCAATGCTTTACCTATAAACTTTGTGTGTTTTAGTAGTTGAATAATTATGTTACTCGGAAATGATAGCCTGCTGCATGAAGTCCTGCTTTTATATTTATGTATATACATATGCTAAAGATATGAAGAAGTTTTGATTTTGCAGATCAATTGTACATATTTCAGAAATGTGAATCCGCTTGGATTTTTATTTGCAAAAATTTGTAAGAAATTACTAGTAATTTTTTTTTGGTTGCAAAATATTGTTTTATTAATAGGTACATTATTTGTCAGGATAACTCCACCTATGATTTTTAAGATTGGAAATATTAATTTTTCATTATAGTTGCAAACAAGTACATATATCAGAGATTGTTATTGGATTTTGACTTCTGATTAATTTTTTAGAAAATGACATGTACCAGTTGTTAAGGGCATTGTTATGCAAAATTTGTTCTTAGGGTAAATTATAATAAATATTGTGAAATGCATCTCCATCACTACAGTTGTCAGAGTAAGGGGTTTATAATTTGAGAATTACCAATTCTATACACACAAAAGAAAACACAATTTGCTTTTACATTGACAGCTTTTCCTTTGTTTTCCTTAACTAGTAATATGATTGTAGTCAAGCATTAAAAACAGAACAGAAAACTCATTTTGTTCATTTGTTACTGCAGAAGAGTGACTTGAATTCTTGTCAATATTTACTGACAATAATCATTGATGTGGTGTGTATATAAACTATATTTTTCATGTTATAATTAATGGCATGATCATTGCTATAATTCCATATAAACTATATATAATTTTTAATAGGTGTTTATTTATGATATATATATAATTATTTTTATACCCCCCGCAAACGAAGTTTGGGGGGTATATAGGAATCACCTTGTCCGTCTGTCTGTCCGTCTGTCTGTGCAAATGTGTCCGGTCCATATCTTTCTTACGGAGGGACATTAGAATCTACTACTCCACACAAAGATTGCCCATGACCTAAGGGTGTGTCATGACCTTGACCCAAGGTCATTTGGGGAAGTTCAAGGTCACTGCAAGAAAAAGTTCATAATTCGTGTCCGGTCCATATCTTTCTTATGGATAAACTTGGTAGGTTCTCATTTCATGCAAAGATTGCCCATGACCCAAGGGTGTGTCATGACCTTGACCCAAGGTCACTTGAGGAAGTTCAAGGTCACTGGAAGAAAAAGTTCATAATTCGTGTCCGGTCCATATCTTTCTTATGGATAAACTTGGTAGGTTCTCATTTCACACAAAGATTGTCCATGACCTAAGGGTGTGTCGTGACCATGACCCAAGGTCATTTGGGGAAGTTCAAGGTCACTGGAAGAAAATTTTCATAATTTGTGTCCATATCTTTCTTATGGATAAATTTGGTAGGTTCTCAATTCACACACACAAGGACCTTGCCAAGTTCATTTGGGGAAGTTCAAGGTCACTGGAAGAAAAAGTTCATAATTCGTGTGTCTTTTTTTTGAATTAATTTTGGTAGGTTCTCATTCTACACAAGGATTGCCCATGACCCAAGGGTGTGTCTTGACCTTGACCCAAGGTCATTTGGGGAAGTTCAAGGTCACTGGAAGAAAAAGTTCATAATTCATGTCCGGTCCATATCTTTCTTATTGATAAACTTGGTAGGTTCTCATTTCACACAAAGATTGCCCATGACCCAAGGGTATGTCATGACCTTGACCCAAGGTCATTTGGGGAATTTCAAGGTCACTGGAAGAAAAATTTCATAATTCATGTGTGATACATATCTTTATTATGGAAAAACTTACTTCTGAAAAAACCCAGTGGGGGGTATTTTGTCCCGTTTGGACAGTTCTAGTTAATAATAAATAAATATTAATCTTTTTTCAGTCATATTGTCGCAAAAGCATGTTGAAACATATATGTAACATCATATTTGTGTATTAATTTACCAGAACTCTAGAAATAGATAAATTTATTATATCTCATTTATATTTTCCATTTCATTCCCTAATCAATTCATGACTATTGATTATGCTTTAGGAATCTCCCATTACTTTTTAGAGGAGTTAAGCATGTTGAATTCTTTGTTTCAAGATTCTTTAGCCATTTTAGTATTTACAAAGAATTGTTTAAAAATAGAATTATGTTCTTTCAGTTGTTATCTTGCAGTCATACATACTATAGTCAGTCTGATTTATTTTTATTTCCTCTTGCATGCTTTGATAGATAGAAGAGGAGCCGACCAATCACATACTGGTATGTCTAAAAGTGGAAGTACGCCAGGAATTCTGGGTATGTTAAGTCCGGAATTATCTCTGCCACTTGTAACCCTGATTTATGTTTACTAAAGTATTAAAATGAGGAAAATTGCATTTTAAAAATATAGTCTATTTAGTATGATTCATGAAAGACTGCTTCAATTTGGGTCTTTATTTTTAAAGGTTTGGAAATTTAAAGCAAACACCGTGCTAAGCAAATGGGGAAATTGACAAAAATAGAATTTTTGCTTGACAGTAAACTTTGTTCAATAATTTGCAGGTATTGGGTTTCAGAAAATTACAGGTTTTAGAACCTATAAAATCTATTTTCTTTATGAAAAAGAAATAATTGTCCCCTGGCCTCAGAGAAAAGTACTTCTTTACTTGTTCCTTCCTGTTGTATGTGAGCTTAGAAAAGTTTAACAAGTTACCATGTTCTCAAGTAACAAAAAATGAATATGCGTGGCAAGTCATTTCTGAATCATAACTCTGAAACAGAAAAAATTTTGATATCACACACTTGATAGTTGATAAAAGGATTGTGCAATGAAAGTAATATACCAGAAACATGAGCTTAGAACATAGCTACAGAACTGTAGCTCGATCTCTGCTTGAGAAAATTTGGACAGATACGGCAGAGAGCTACAGATCCAAGCGTTGTAAAAACCTTCGATTTACGCCGACGATTTTTTGTCGCTACTCTAGGTATTTATTTCTTGTAGTTGAAACTTTCTCTTGCTTTTAGAATTGCATCCTATAGTTAATCATATATTTAACTCTTATTTGTGATACTTTATTAAAGTTTATTTACATTTTAACGGTCTGAAACAGTCCTGTATATATATTGTAACATCGGCTTAACAGAGTTCCATTTCGACGTCCGTAACCACAAACAGCCATTTGTTAGCGTTGAAAGGTAAGTAAATTATCAGGAATTGAAGTTAAATGTATGATTAATTATTAAATACCATTTTTTAGAACAGGTTAAAGTATTAAATACCAGAAAAAATACCCAAAGTTAGCGACAAAAAATTGTCGGCGTAAATCGAAGGTTTTTACAACGCTTGGATCTGTAACTCTCTGCTTTATCTGTCCGAATTTTCTCAAGCAGAGATCTGAGCTACAGTTCTGCAGCTACTTAGAACATAACACTTTTAAACTGATTAATTATGAATAAAAGTTGCCAGGAATAAATTAGGTTTTCAGCTTTGCTTTAAGGAATGTATTTTTGACTGATATATATATTATTCTTTTTCTTTGTTCCAGTTCAATAATTATAACCTATAGTGCATGCATCCATTCAATGTTGTGGATATAGAAATACAGTGTAGTTCCATGTCACCTTTTTGTTTCATTATTGCTAATGAGATGGTAGAAAAAGCTAGAGGAGAGAAAAGACAAAAAGTTCAAGGGTCAAAAGATCAAAGACAATGTTGTAAATGACAATATTAACAGAGTAACATTACACCTTCAATTTCACAATTGTAGTTGGTTTTCTAGTTTTCCTAGTTTGCGTAGGAAAGAATTGAAAGGGGTCTAATTTTAAGCCCAAAGACTATCAAAGTAAAGATTGTAATTGAGTCTATCCAAAATAAACAGTGTTAAATGTTATGACAAATTAATCTCATGTTACATGAAAAGAGTGTTAGCAGATGAAAAGAGAAAAAGGTACATGTACAATATTTGGATCCAGTTTAGTGGTAAATATCTATAATGTGATTGCATATCAATTTAGCTGGTACTTTAGAAACTCTGTTATTGGAATACGGATAATTGATCATTTGTTTGGTATGAGGTTTTAGCCAACAAATACATGTTGAGGTGAGCTTTGTAAGCTTTAAGAAAACAATATATTATATGTAAGACTCCAAAGTCCGATGGTGATGCCACAGTCCGATGGTCTCGCCAAACCCTGATGGTCTGCACCAAACCCCGATGGTTTGCTGTCGTTACGGATGCCAAAGTCCGATGGTCACGCCAAAGTCCGATGGTGCGAAGAAACAATCAACGTTTATGACTTCACAATAATCTGACGTCAATCCTTGACGCCAAAAGCCATCACTTCTGAATTCAGCCTCGAATACAATTTTATTGATTAGCTCACCTCAACGAAGTTGGGGGAGCTTATGTAATACCCTCGGCGTCGGTGTCGGCGTCCGCGTCGGCGTCCCAGGTTAAGGTTAAGTTTTTTGGAGCAGTTTTCTTTTTAAGTACTTCTATGTCCTATATTGATTAGACATGCATGGAAGATGCTTCTAATGTGTTTCATTGTACCAGTCAAAGTTTCAGATGCTGCAATTTCACCAAAGGAATGACCAGGTTAATGTTTTTGGAGCAGGTTAACATTTTTGGTGCAGTTTTTGGTGTAGGTCTCATTTCCAAGGAACTATAAGCCCTATGTCGACCAAACTTGCATGGATGGTACAACTAAGGATGCACATTACCAGGCTTGCTTCGGATGCTGAATCTGAGCTACATTTTCCAGTTGAGTGAATAGGTTAATGTTTTTGGTGCAGGTCTTGTTTTCAAGCAACTATAATCCCTATGTTGACCAAACTTGCATGGATGATACATCTAAGGATGTACACTACCAGACTTGCTTCGGATGCTGAATCTGACCTACATTTTCCGGTTAAGTGAAAAGGTTAAAGTGTTTGGTGCAGGTCTCATTTGCAAGTTACTATAAGCCCTATGTTGACCAAACTTGCATGGATTATGCATCTAAGGATGCACATTACCAGGCTTGCTTCGGATGTTGAATCTGACCTACATTTTCGGGTTGAGTGAACAGGTTAAAGCTTTTGGTGCAGTGTTCATTTCCAAGATATAATGAGCCCTATAATGACCAAACTTGCATGGATGGTACAACTAAGGATGCACAATACCAGGCTTGCTTCGGATGCTGAATCTGACCTACATTTTCCGGTTGAGTGAACAGGTTAATGTTTTTGGTGCAGGTTTCATTTTCAGGTAACTATAAGCCCTATGTTGACCAAACTTGCATGGATGGTACATCTTAGGATGCATACTACCAGACTTGCTTTGGATGCTGAATCTGACCTACATTTTCTGGATGAGTGAAAGGTTAAAGTTTTTGATGCAGGATTCATTTCCAAGTAACTATGAGCTCTTTAATGACCAAACTTGCATGGATGATACATCTAAGGTTGCATGCATTCTACAAGGCTGGTTTCAGATGCTGAATCTGACCTACTTTTTTTTTTTGGATGAGTGAAAAGATTTAATTTTTATGCAGATTTCATTTCTAAGTAACTATTAGCCATATGTTGTGCAAACTCGCATGGATAATACATCTTAGGATGCATACTAATGGACTTGCTCTGGATGCTGAATTCGACATACATTTCCAGATAATGGACCAGGTAAAAGTTATGGGTGCAGGTCTATCACCAAGAAACTATAAGGCTTAAATTTAAAACCAAACTTGCCCAAATAATGCATCAAGGGATGAAAACTCTTAAACTAGCTTGCTTCAGATGCTGGATTTTTCACATTTTCGTGATACTTGAAGTTTTTATATAGGTCTATTCCAAAGTTTTAGATCAAAGTTTCATAAATTTTGCATTTTTTGATGTACCGGTACACTTTTTGTTGGGTAATTTTGTGACTTTGCCTTACTTAAAGACAACATTCGTTGAGGTGAGCTCTGTAATCTCTGATTACCTATGTTTTTGCTTATTGCTTGCACCTTCCAGAGATATTAGGATTAGTCCTCGCACATCACTTGATTGATTAGGGTTAGTCCTTGCATTGCACAACCCGAGAGATTTAGGGTTAGTCCTCGCACACTAGTCGAGTGATAAGGGTTAGTCTCGCACCCACGAAAGATACCTAGGTTATAGTTGATACACACTTTTCGAGTGTTTAGTGTTAGTCTCGCAACTATCTGAGAGATAAGGGTTAGTTTTCGCATTTATTTATACTTATTTTTAAGACCTTGGCATGGCGCGGCATTAAGAATTGTTGCAGTAGTACTATGATGTCATCAACATTATTTGTTTTCCGCACCATCGGACTTGGCGTGTCAAACCATCAGGGTTTGGCGCAGACCATTGGGCTTTGGCGTGACCATCAGACTTTGGAGTCCCATCACACTTTGGAGTCCTACAAATATATACTTGTGTATTTAAAAATTACTACCAAAATAGCAATTCATAGAAGAATAAGAATCTTTGTATATATGCATTCACGTATATATTGTTCAAGTTATTCAAAACACAATAACAAATAATGTGTGAGCATTGAAGAACAATAAAAATTTCACTTTGTTATAATTTAAAATTGATTGAATGTTCCTGATATGAGAATGGTTTCCTTTTTAGATGATTCACTGGCGAGACCCATGTCTCCCAGTCTCCACCTGAAGGGGAGTCTACACCCCCTACATTACAGTCACCACGCCCCCTCCTCATCCCCACAACTCTCCCATTTCTTCCACGGCCCGGGGAGCTACCCCCCAGGGAAGCAGGAGAGGATCAACATTGACGACCTAGTGGATCAGCTTAATAACACTGAAGTATTACATGAACAGGCAGATATCATCCATTATCTGTATCTTCACAGGTATGCCTACCCTTGGTAATCATTACTCAGCTCACTGAATTTAAGTTTCTGTTAACATTTCTTCTTTAAAATGGCAGCTTGATTGAAATATTATTCAGATGTATTCCAGACCATTTAAGACCTTTATTTTGGAATTACCGGTAACTGATACTTCAAAAGTCAAAACATGTATATATGAACACTTAAGTAATGACCAGTACAATAATACTAATTTAACATCAGTACATGTGTCATTAAATTGTGTGTTCCAATAATTATTGCACCATATTCTTTAGGTAATTACAGATTTAAATTTTCAGGGGTCCTAATTTTGAGATCAAAATTGATGAAAAGCCATGTTGTATCAAGGAATTATTGGTGGAACTTTATGAAAAGGCAAGTCTGAAATGTTATCTGCAAATTTGAATTTCAGTGTGCCACTGAAATTTTGATGTCATTCATTAAGACAGAAGTCGGGCAGATCATTCAAATTTGTGGTGAACAAAGATATCACCAATTTATTCTAGTAATGAACAAATATTTTTTCACAAGTTTACAAGACTTAGTATGTTATAGCAAGCATAAATTCTAGTATTGGATATCCAATTATCTATGCCTTCAACATTTTGAACTGAGCTAAAATGTTCCATGATCTTGGGTCTAGTGAACTTGTACCATTGACATTATGTACTGTAAACCAACTTTTATTCACGTGTGAGAAATTTTCATGAGATTCGCGAGAGCCTTGTCATTGCAAATAATTCTCGCCACGAACCAGTCCTTGAAGTCTACATGGTTATAAATAACAGGCTTGTTCATGAAAAATAATCGTCGTGAACTAGTTTACCAAGGTAAATCACGAAATAAAGTCGTTGTGAATAACAGTTGATTTACAGCAATCTCTTTATTTATGTTTATCTGAATTCAGAAGATTTGTATGATATAAATTTCAGGCTGGTCATTGGAAACACTGGGGTCTGGTCAGACATACAGCTGGTATGCTTAGGAAGAGGGTGGAGGAGCTAGCTCTGGTATGTTTATAACTTAAGACCTAATAGTCAATAGAGGAACTAGCTCTGGTATGTTCTTAACTTAAGAGCTAATACTCAGTAGAGGAACTAGCTCTGGTATGTTCTTAACTTAAGACCTAATACTCAATAGAGGAACTAGCTCTAGTATGTTCTTAACTTAAGAGCTAATACTCAATAGAGGAACTAGCTCTGGTATGTTCTTAACTTAAGACCTAATACTCAATAGAGGAACTAGCTCTAGTATGTTCTTAACTTAAGACCTAATACTCAGTAGAGGAACTAGCTCTGTTATGTTTATAACTTAAGACCTAATACTCAATAGAGGAACTAGCTCTAGTATGTTCTTAACTTGAGACCTAATACTCAATAGAGGAACTAGCTCTGGTATGTTTATAACTTCAGACCTAATACTCAATAGAGGAACTAGCTCTGGTATGTTTATAACTTAAGACCTAATACTCAATAGAGGAACTAGCTCTGGTATGTTTATAACTTCAGACCTAATGGTCAGTAGAGGAACTAGCTCTAGTATGTTCTTAACTTAAGACCTAATACTCAGTAGAGGAACTAGCTCTGGTATGTTTATAACTTAAGACCGAATGGTCAGTAGAGGAACTAGCTCTGGTATGTTTATAACTTCAGACCTAATGGTCAGTAGAGGAACTAGCTCTGGTATGTTTATAACTTAAGACCTAATACTCTATAGAGGAACTAGCTCTGGTATGTTCTTAACTTAAGACCTAATACTCAATAGAGGAACTAGCTCTAGTATGTTCTTAACTTGAGACCTAATACTCAATAGAGGAACTAGCTCTGGTATTTATAACTTAAGACCTAATACTCAATAGAGGAACTAGCTCTGGTATGTTTATAACTTAAGACCTAATACTCAATAGAGGAACTAGCTCTGGTATGTTTATAACTTAAGACCTAATACTCTATAGAGGAACTAGCTCTGGTATGTTCTTAACTACAGACCTAATACTCAGTAGAGGAAATAGCTCTGGTACGTTTATAACTTCAGACCTAATACTCAATAGAGGAACTAGCTCTGGTATGTTTATAACTTAAGACCTAATACTCAATAGAGGAACTAGCTCTGGTATGTTCTTAACTTAAGACCTAATACTCAATAGAGGAACTAGCTCTGGTATGTTCTTAACTTAAGACCTAATACTCAATAGAGGAACTAGCTCTAGTATGTTTATAACTTAAGACCTAATACTCAATAGAGGAACTAGCTCTGGTATGTTCTTAACTTAAGACCTAATGGTCAGTAGAGGAACTAGCTCTGGTATGTTTATAACTTCAGACCTAATACTCAATAGAGGAACTAGCTCTGGTATGTTCTTAACTTGAGACCTAATACTCAATAGAGGAACTAGCTCTAGTTTGTTCTTAACTTGAGACCTAATACTCAATAGAGGAACTAGCTCTGGTATGTTTATAACTTCAGACCTAATGGTCAGTAGAGGAACTAGCTCTGGTATGTTCATAACTCAAACCTGATTAGGCAGAATCTGTATTTTGTTTTTAGCTCACCTGAGCAGAAGGCTCAAGTGAGCTATTCTGATCAAAATTTGTCCGTCGTCTGTCGTCGTCGTCGTCGTTGTCGTTGTTGTCGTTGTCGTAAACTTTTCACATTTTCATCTTCTTCTCAAGAACCACTGGGCCAATTTCAACCAAACTTGCCACAAAGTATCCTTGGGTGAAGGGGATTCAAGTTTGTTCAAATAAAGGGCCAAGCCCTCTTCAAAGGGGAGATAATTATGAATTAGTGAAAAATTAATGCCATTTTAAAAAAATCTTCTTCTCAAGAACCACTGGGCCATTAAAGATGAAACTTATGTGGAATCATCCTCAGGTAGTGTAGATTCAAGTTTCTTCAAATCATGACCCCCGGGGGTAGGGCGGGGCCACAATGGCCGACCAAAGTTTTACATAGAAATGTATAGATAAAGTCATTAAAAATCTTCTTCTCAAGAATAACAAAGCCATGAATGGTCATATTTATATGGAAGTATCTTCAGGTAGTTTAGATTCAAGTTTGTTCAAATCATGACCCCCGGGGGTAGGGTGGGGCCAAAATGGCCGACCAAAGTTTTACGTAGGAATATAAAGGAAAAATCTTTAAAAATCTTCTTCTCAAAAAACTTTGGGCCAGGAAAGATGAAACTCATGTTGAATCATCCTCAGGTAGTGTAGATTCAAGTTTGTTCAAATCATGACCCCCGGGGGTAGGGTGGGGCCAAAATGGCCAATCAAAGTTTTACATAGGAATATATCGGAAAAATCTTTAAAAATCTTCTTCTTAAGAACCACTGGGCCAGAAAAGATGAAACTCATGTGGAATCATCCTCAGGTGGTGTACATTCAAGTTTGTTCAAATCATGACCCCCGGGGATAGGGTGGGGCTAAAATGGCAGACCGAAGTTTTACATAAGATTATATAGGGAAACCTTTAAAATCTTCTTTTCAAGTACTTCAAAGCCATAATTAGTAATATTTATATGGAATCATAATGGTAGTGTAGATTCTAGTTCATTCAAATCATGATCCCCTGGGGGGGGGGGGGGGGGGTAAAATTCAAGCCCCCTCCCCCTCCCAACCTCAGTAAACTTTCAGTTCTGATCTGATATGTGCTTTGTCCAAGTCGATGTGCTCAGGTGAGCGCTATGGCCCCTGGGCCTCTTGTTTAATAGAACTACTTGGGTAAATGCATAATAAGAATATAGGTGTTTAAAAACTCAATGTTTCTTGCAGTGGTTATTTAATATTTGTAAAATTCCATCATATTGATTAATATTACATCAGATACTTTTGTATTTTGGAGAATAATGCTTTTGTAGATTTTGTTCATATCTCTTTTGCCTAGTACGTTTGTAATTCATAAAAATGGTTGTCATTATTAATAGAGAAATTTCAAATTAACCACTAAGAATTTAAAAGAAGTCCATTTTCTTTATTTACTTGTAGGCAGCGACAGATCTCTTAGTTCGACAGAAGCAGTTATCAGTGGGTCTCCCTCCAGACAGAGAACGGGTCATTATGCGGTAATTAATAAATTAGAACGTAACATTCCGTAAATATGTAATGGAAAAAATTGCAATAAACAAAGATGCATTCAAAGCATATCATTCTTTTTAGCTAAAATTTGGAATGAATTATGCTATTTGATTAGCCTTTCAGCATTTGAGATTAATATTTTTAAGAGCATGCCTATTTTAAGTACAGTGTACATATTATTAAGAAATTCAGTATCAAACTTGTTAATTTGAATAATGCATTTAATTAAAGATGCATTCTACCAGTCTTGTTTTGATACTGCATCTGACATTTTCATCTGGATGAGTGTTCAGATGAAAGTTAATGAAGCAGGATTAGCTTTAAGTAGGATTTGAATGTTTTTGTAGACCACTGCCTCCAGATGACATGGCCAGTAGTATATTTGAATGTTTTTGTAGACCGCTGCCTCCAGACGACCTGGCCAGTATTATATTTGAATGTTTTTGTAGACCGCTGCCTCCAGACGACCTAGCCAGTATTAAATTTTAATGTTTTTGTAGACCACTGCCTCCAGATGACCTGGCCAGTATTATATTTGAATGTTTTTGTAGACCGCTGCCTCCAGACGACCTGGCCAGTATTATATTTGAATGTTTTTGTAGACCACTGCCTCCAGATGACCTGGCCAGTATTATTTTTGAATGTTTTTGTAGACCACTGCCTCCAGATGACCTGGCCAGTATTATTTTTGAATGTTTTTGTAGACCACTGCCTCCAGATGACCTGGCCAGTATTATTTTTGAATGTTTTTGTAGACCACTGCCTCCAGATGACCTGGCCAGTATTATATTTGAATGTTTTTGTAGACCACTGCCTCCAGATGACCTGGCCAGTATTATATTTCAATGTTTTTGTAGACCACTGCCTCCAGATGACCTGGCCAGTATTATATTTGAATGTTTTTGTAGACCGCTGCCTCCAGATGACCTGGCCAGTATTATATTTGAATGTTTTTGTAGACCGCTGCCTCCAGATGACCTGGCCAGTATTATTTTTGAATGTTTTTGTAGACCGCTGCCTCCAGATGACCTGGCCAGTATTATATTTGAATGTTTTTGTAGACCACTGCCACCAGATGACCTGGCCAGTATTATATTTGAATGTTTTTGTAGACCGCTGCCTCCAGATGACCTGGCCAGTATTATATTTGAATGTTTTGTAGACCGCTGCCTCCAGATGACCTGGCCAGTATTATATTTGAATGTTTTGTAGACCGCTGCCTCCAGATGACCTGGCCAGTATTATTTTTGATGCTTGTGGGGAGGATCTCAGTACTGCGTCCCTAACACAGGTGATATATGAGTTATAAAACAACTCTCAGACTGATGTTGATTGTAAATCTCTAACTTATATGATTTCCAAAATAATGTGTCTAACAAAGCTGATCTATTATCTCCAACAATGCGGATAATGTGAATCTGTTACACATAAATTAGAGAATATACAGTATCCTAAATAAATATGTACATGTATAATAACAAAGCTGATATCCTTAAGATAAACAAAGTTCATGTTGTCAATTTTGAAAAAAGTGGACATTGAATCTTTCAAATATATTTGATATTTTATGGCTATATTAACTTGAGAATCCTTCTCGTCTCTGCAAAGTTAAATACAGTATCTCAAATATGTTTTAAAATTTGTGAAATTCTTACTGGATTTTTTTGCACTTATATCTAAATTCTTTGCATTTATAGGAGCTGTTGATTTATCTTGCCATGTTTATCCGTACAGAACCAAAACTGTTCAATGAAATGTTGAGGCTAAGGGTGGGTCTCATCATTCAAGTTATGGCATCAGAGCTTGCTAGAACTCTCAAGTGTACAGGTAAACACACAAGTATAATTCAAGTTATGGCATCAGAGCTTGCTAGAACTCTCAAGTGCACAAATAAACACATAGGTATAATTCAAGTTATGGCATCAGCGCTTGCTACAACTTACAAGTGCACAAGTAAACAGTTTAACATCATTAAAGTTTATGGCATCAGAGCTTCCTAGAACCCTGAATTGCACAGATCAAACACGAAAATATAAAAAAAATTAATTCTGTTAGAAAGGGGAAAATCTGATGAAGAAGTAGACTTCCAAACATCATAAATAGTATCTAGATTATAAATATAGTCAAATCTCATTATATCAAACTCAATGGGACCTAGAAATAACTTTGAGATAGCTGAGGATTTGATAAACCTTTATTGAGTTCTAAGTTAGATTACCCAAGTTCAACTATATTAATGCAAATACCAAGTGGTATATTATTAGTTACACAGTCAGTTAGTGACCTAATACGGAGTCATACAGGGTGTGAAATGGAAATCCGTATTGGGCGAGGTGAAGCCGCTGAAGACAATCTTTTAAATATTAAAAAAATATATGTGCATATTATGAAAATATCAAGTTTTAATCCAATAACAATCAACATAAAATATCATATTAACAAGAAATTTTTAAGTTATTAAACTACCTACACAAACTGTTTCTTAGTCGCCATTTTTATTTACAATAACAATGCTTAGAACGGATTCGCGTGCCCGATTTTCATATTACTTCTTGATGGCGATGTTATACGGAAAATTTCAGGGCGTCATGTGATTAGCTTTTATCCAGTCAGTAATCTACAAATTTGTCTGAAGCGGGATATAAGTTTATGATGTATATTTTATAAAGAAATATAGATAAAATAGGTATACAATGTATATCAAAGATTTTGTTGTTATACTCTTAAAATGTGAAAATTACTGGTTATCATGTTTTTGAATTCAAATCTTATTTCCTGTGTGTTGATCATTAATGGCAGTATAATTATATATACTTACTGTGTTTTAAATCAGGTGATGAAGCATCCGAACACTTATTGAATCTCAGTCCTTACGAAATGAAAACCCTACTTCATCACATTCTGAGTGGAAAAGAGTTTGTCATCAATACAGGTATGTCTCACCATCACCATTACCATAGAATTTTATATGCAATGTACATGTAAGTGTCAAATATAATTAATGTTATTCTATTAATGATATTGCAGTCCAAAAGTTCTCACTGATTCTTGGTAACCTAGCTTTTGTTAAACTTTTACTGATATTTTATGTTGTTTTTGTGGCTGAAAATCTTGAGCATATTAAATAGGATCATGTATGTAACTTCATGTTATTATTTCAGACCCAGTGTAAACATTGATAGTTTTTAAAATATATGCAGACCTTTTTTATTTACAGTCAGTTTATAGATTTTGTATAATTTTAGTTTTCATTTTATGTTTTTGCAGTGGCATTTAATTGATTTGTATCTGAATTCTGCATCATGGTGGATTATTTTTTATTAAGTAGTCATGTACCTTGCTACAAGTTAAACCCTTTTGTTCTTTAAGTCATAGACATTAATTTTTACAATTTTTAAGGATCATCAAAAAAGAAGTCAAGGGGTAAATTAAATAATCAGAAATGAAATTGCATAAATATACATAATTTTGGCAATTTATTTTATTATAGCATAACTGATATCTGTTTCTGCAAATTTTATATCACTACATGTACTAACTGTACACATGTATTATGAAGTATACATGTATGATTAAGAACACAGCTTTACTAAAATGAGGCAAAATATGTAAAATTAATGCTAAATCATGCAAAAATAGATTTTGACAGTGTAAAATTGATTGTTAATTAATTCCTAAACCTTTTAAAACAGATTTTGACTGTGTAATATTGATTGTAAATTAATGCAAAATCCCTTGTAAACCAGATTTTGACAGTGTAATACTGATTGTACTGTAGAGTATTCATTGCCATGTACACGATGTGTATATTGCTTGATATGCTGCTTAAAATTCTGCTGTAGATTGTGTGCACACTTGTGTTCACCCCTTTGGGGTAGAAAGCCCTGGTGAGTCTGTGTGTCCCCCATTCTGAACCCCCCATTTTCTTCTACCTCTCATATAGCGAAATAAACATTAGAGCAATTACATTACTACTATGCCATAAATCAAATTGTTAGGAACAACCACATATTATATATTTGGAAAATAAATGGGGGGAAATCTCAAGATGTTTAAAAATATTTGAAGAAAGTACTTTGATTGTACATTTTACATTTTATTTGATTAAAGTAGTTATAAATACAGAAAATAAAGAGGGATTTAAAGTACTTGACTAGTTTTTTGATTGAGGAAAGTTTTCTATCATGATTAAATATAAATTAGTTGTCTTTGAACTGAATTCTAGTGATTTCAATTATGAGAACTTTTTCACATGAATCTGAAACATATCAAATGTTACCACATGTCATAGGCTAGTAATATCTGTCAGTAATTAGCACAAATGTCTTCTGGTCATCATATATGTAGAATTATACATATAGTTACAGTACTAATGATATATTGATAATTAACCTACACATTGTACCCCCTTGATTATGTTCTATTTCTACCATACAGTGGAGGTTGAACACAGGCATGATCCCTTTGGTAAAGGTTTATTTTTTAAATTTTACATCAGTTTGAAGTGGCTTTTTTTAGCTTTGGAAAAGCACAATAACTCAAGCAAGCAGGTTTTGAGTGTTGATAGAAAACTTATTTCTTACCTGGCTAAGAAACTTCTAATGCCAAAAAAGTCATATTATAATAGTCACTGTAATACATTTTCTGACTTGATATTCTCTATTATGCTTTGCAAGTATAGCTTAGGCTTACAACAAATGTGTTTAATGTGGTATATTTTTTAGGCTAAGAGGTTTATAATGAAGTACTTTTTATCCATTGAGACTAGTTTACAGGGTCTTTGAAGCTACATTTAGAATTAACTGTTTAGTAAATAACTGTATATGTAGAACTTTCTACACCTTGCTTAAATGTACATAAGACCATTCAAGACTCTCTTTGTTTAGCACCCGTCTATCAGTTTAGAACTTACATCTATAGTACCTACTTATATTCACAAAAAACACACAAGTCAAAAAATAAAACACACTTTAAAGCAATCCTAGTATCTTATTTTTCTAAAATCAACTTTAAAGTATATATCTTGCAAAATCAAAATAGTTATTGCTAAATATGTGCCTATTTGTCCAATTCTTGACAATTTTGAAAAAAAAAATGACAGAACTTAAAATATTTTAGAATCGGTTTTGACAAAGGAATGTAAATAACATGTATGCTTACTCATGTGTGACTGTAACTCCAAATTAGTTTAAATGAGTAACAAATAAAAATGAATTAACTTCTTACGAACATATATTGTACTGATTTTGTGTGTTTTTTCTTGATTTTGTGAGTGAAAACAAAGGCATACATGGATGCTAAACATGAACGGCCATACTAAAAAAAAAACACTAACATTATAAATATTTATGGAGAAGGGTAATGTAGATAAAAAATTTCAATAATCATATTCAAAGCAATATTGTTTAAGTATTGAATTCAGTGAATTGCAATGAGCATTTTGTCAATCTCAATTACTCAACTGTCATTTTGAGGAAATGTCATAAGATATTAATTGTTGAATTGTGTTTATTTGCTCCACTAATTAAACACCTCTGTAGAAAAATGGCAATGTTACATAATAATTAATATAAAATGCATAATTCTATCCAATTTTCTTTTTAAAAAAGAAGTAATAGAGAAGTTTATACTTTTATTGGTGTCATGTTAATATGAAAAGCAATCCATTGAAAATCACATTGCAGAAACCGCATTACCAAGTTTATTTTGAAACAGCTTGTAGATCTGATGATTTTGGTAACTTTAGAGTTGTGCTCTGCACCTGTATCTATACAATTATGTAAACTTTATTTTCTTACTTGTTGGATATAGACAATTTTACCAGGCTTTAACTTACACCAGCTACCATTGTATTTTGATTTAGAGCACACTAATGTAGAAGAAGAGTGCAGGTTATCAGTTACAACGAAGAATGTCGGAGACGAAGCCACAGAATTTGCCAAACTAAGTAGAAAACCACATTTAAAGGTTCATACCATTTCCTGTTTTATTTTTATGTTCAGGAAGACATGTTTTACTTATGATGACTTAATTGACAGCCATGGCTGACTGATGTCCATAACACAGGGGTGCTCGACTTGTTCGGAGGATAGCATCATAGCAAACATGGAGTTGTGGTTCTTGTAGAGATGGAATTTGTTTTCCTTGTATATTCTAGCTGTGTGTGTTTTGATTTCTGTCTTCTGTTAAATCAAGAATTCTGCATAAAACCTTTATGCACTAACAAGGAATATGTGCAGTTTATAGTAGAAAAAATATTTGTCAGTATGTAGGCTTACATTTCATTGGTCAGAAGCATGTTTTGGTTATTCAGTGTTCACTTTACCCTATTTTTGCTTTGCATGCAGTATATGTTCTTGCTCAGTTGGAATGTTCTCATTTCATTAATTAGTTTGCACCTTCATGTGTGGAAATGAAGGTTTCACCAAGCCTTGTTTGCTTACAATGGAAGCCACTTATTAATGTTTTTTAATTATTTTTTCACTCTGAAGAGAAAAAATCCAATTTAAGGCAAGGCCAGAGTTTGATTCTGGATGACAGAAACTTGTCAATGGTGAGTCACATGACCCTACTGTGAATGTCATGCATGACCTACTTCTATAATCAGTTCCTCAGCTTTGTCGTATTCACAGCACCCAACTCTTTTAAGTTATCAGTGATAAAGTCCCAAACATATAAACACACATTTCACATTTGTTTGTCATAGATAAGTGTTTCATTGACTGATAAGTCTCTGAACCCACCTTATTAAAGTCAAGAGGTCACAACTTTCATTAGTTTGTTACATGTAGTTTTATGTAGTATCTGTGGAGTGTCTTTTTTATGGTTTATCACAATTGATCATTTAGTACGGATTCCATCTCATGGTTGTGGTGATGTAGATATCTGTGCATGCTACAGTGGTAGGCCTTGATTATAATTCTAGCTAATATTGGAGGAAATATATAAATAGCCTAGAAAACATTGTTTTCCATGTAAAGGTATAGTTAATTTTCATGTTTTTCGTGATGTAAATGATTTAGTTTATCAAACATGCATTAATTATTCTTGTGTTGTATCATTTAATCTGTTGTATTGAAATTGTGGAGTAAAATTATTTTTGATTCTACTTAATACACTGTACAGACTTAAAAAAATGTAATTAGAGAAAAAAGTGAGTGGGGGGAGGGGGTATCTTTACTTACATTACCAGGGCAACTAGAATTTAATAAAAGCCATTGATCTCTACAAATCCAGTGAATGACTGCATTTACTGTGTTTTCTGTCTTAAGTGGATAGAAAGAATAGTTTGAACATAATGTTACATTTTTAAGAAATAAAGAAGCTCATTCTATGAGTGTTGAAAAAATTTATTTGCCTTCAAGACTTTGAGTGCCAGTATTTAAAAACTTACTGTAGGTTATTTCCATTTGTATAATGTGTGTACTTATTCATACTCATTAATTTGTGTATGACTATTGAGTACATGTACATATATTTACCGTTATTTTACAAAAATTTCAAACAGATGCAGAAAAGTATGCCTCACCTTGACCCCCATTCTCTGGAGAAGGAGGATGACGTGGAGTCAGACAGACAGGGTCAGTGGCTTCGTCGGCGCCGCCTGGACGGTGCTCTAAACAGAGTTCCTGTTGGATTCTATCCAAGGGTTTGGAAAGTTCTCAAAATGGTAAATAAATGGTGGAATCTGTACATAAAAGTATTGCACTTATCAGCAAATAAATATTGTCCCTACTTGATAACAAATCCAACTTTTTTTTGCTGGAAAATATGAAGGCCTGTGTTACCAAAAGGGTTCTGTGAATGTGATTGTCATTTGAGTTACATGTTGGGTTTGTTCAGCTGAGCGAATTTAGGTGTGCACTTGCCAAAATTCCCTATCTCTTCAACAGAAATGTTGATCTTTGCCCTCTTCAACAGGCCTCAGATTTAAACATTAATAAAAGACGTTATTCACACAGAAAGATGGATTAATTATTAATGAATATATATTGAAAGTCTCTGTCATTGACTACAATTAAAGTAAAATTCTGTGTTTTCTGTTCCTAGTGCCATGGACTTGTCATTGAAGGACATCATATACCACACAGTCTGACCAGAGAGGTGGGTTCCACGGTTTATTGTTCTTGACTGTTAATATGTAAAATGCATGTTAATTTGTTGTTATTTGCTGATATGTCAATCTTTTATAACCCTTTAAGATGACCCCTGGAGAGTTTAAGTTTGCATTACACGTGGAGATGGTGCTAAATAAGATCCCCCAGCCTGAGTATAGACAGCTGATGGTGGAGGCTCTGATGATTCTCACTATGATGACAGAGAATGAGAACAGTAAACTCTACTTCAACCAGCTGATTCAGGTGGATAAGATCGTCCATGTGGCTAATGGCATCTTTATTAAAGAACAGGTTTGTAAAGCAGTGTAATTAAGCTGCATATAAGTACATGTATGTAATGACCTGATATATTCCAACATGAACAGTCATACCCTATTGCAAGTACATGTATCTCAAATTCAAACATTGTCAAAATAAAATGATTAGGAACTTTTTTATCTGAAATATAAAAAATACTGTATAGGGGATTAACTTCACGGGTTGTAATTTTCGCGTTTTTCTCTCATCTGACACGATCGCGGTTTCTTGAATTCGCGGAATTGGTATGTAATAAAAGTTACCTCCCTTGTCTATATAGCATCATGTTAACGAGATTCATCAGCGTCATGTCTTTATTTCAACAGGGTAGGTAAATATAAAATTGTTGGATTAAATAAATAATTAAACAAGGGCAGGTATTGAAAGTCCTTCATTCTCAATGTCAAATGACTTTCCTATATGCTATTATGATGAGTGCATGTGCACCCAAGATCTTCAATACAACGCGGCGAAAAACCACTGGACGGAAATAAATGTGTTTATGTAGTTCGACAAAATAAATATCCTTCCACATCTTCAGTAAGTTTGATATTTATTTGAATGATTTCTTATTAAAACCAAAATTTAGATAAAATCAAATATGCATGATTATGCAGGTAACAAATACACGTGGTAACAAATTAGTTACGCATGGGTTATCAAAACCCATGATTGATGAAACATGTAGTGTTAGCTATTAAAACAGCTTTGGAACAAACACAAGTTATTATGTGCCCATTTTAATTAAAGTAAAGCGTGATAATTATAATAATTGAATGATAAGTACTACTCGTAATTACTGAAATGACCATGTATTGACGGTACACGTGTATAAACCTATCGTAGTCTATTCCTTAATTTCAAAATAAAACATGGAGATTATTTTTAAAAAAAATATTCACTGCTTCTTGAATTCACTGATTTATTAACACCGTGAATAAAGCGAATATTAACACCGCGAGTTATTTTCCCCCTATACAGTATATGAATTTCAGGCATGCTTGATTGGTGTCTATCTTGAACTATAATTCGCTAAGCTAATGTTCAAGGAAAGTGAGGAATGGGTATGTGTTGAGTAATGTAAAGGTTACTTTGCATTTCTTTTGTAGAATATCCCCGATGATATGGTAGAAGTTTCAAAGGGAGCGGCCGGGATCTGCCTCCATTTCTACGACACTGCCCCTAGCGGTCGATACGGGACTATGTCTTACTTGTGCAGGGCTCTGGCGGCTATTCTACCACTCCCTACGGATGTGGATGCTAACCTGGATTGTAGTCTTTCATGATCTGTTGAATCGGATCAGACACTTTGTGTTGTTTATCAGTCCAAAGAGTTTTTGCGGATTGCTTGAAGAGTTCTCTTACAGGGTTTTTATGTACATTTAGAAATCCTGTAATTTACAAAGAATTGAATGAAATCCACTTCCCCTTAGTCTTAACCAGACTGTTGTATGATACATAGTCCTTCATACATGTGGGACATGGTACTTAGCCCCACGTACCCGTGGAACACCAGATTTTGCCAAAGCTTTTAAATGCATACGTGTACAGCTTCATTGTCTCATACATGATATACAATATTTTTAGCTTTGAGAAGCAATATTGCTCTTCTTTTTAACCTTAAAAAGAATGTGTTGTGAGAGAAAAAAGGTTTGGCATAAAATATGGAACTATACTTGCAATATCTGGCATGACTACATATTAAAAATGTTTTGTAGAAAAAAAATTGGGAAGACAAGTCATGACAACATTATGAGAATAAGTTTTTCTTTGTAAAAAGCAGGAAATGTGTACAATGTACACTTAGTACATGTATATTTATTGAGATAATTTAAGATTCTTCGACTACATGTAGATAAAACTCTTGCTTATTTTTATTATGAAAATGCAAATTAAGAAAGTACAGTTTCAATAAGAATAAATTAAAATTAATGTTTTCAGAATTGTTCACACTCTATACATTAAGATCATTTACAAGCATGACCTAAATGCCAATTTTAAGACATGAACTTGAGCATCTTTCTGTACTCATATGAGAAGTTGGAGAAAAATATTTTCAGTGGAATTATTTTTTCATATAATTTGGACTTGTTTTGCCAAAAAAGCCAGATTTTAGAACAGGATTTAGAAAAAGAAGATTTAAGAAATGGCTGTTAATGTTACTCAAGTGAGTTTTGTTGTCCATGAAGATTTGATCTTTTTTCATGCTGTTCATGTGCAGTTTACATTTGGAACTATTATGAAAGAAAAACATACATTGCTTTATTTGCAACAATTCAAAACAACATTTGTGATAACTGCTTTGTTCTGTTAGAGGATTGTTACTTTATACATATACATGTATTTGATTTGATTGCTTCATAAACTTAAAATGATGAAAAGAAATTTGTCTGTTGTTCTTTCTCAACCTCCCCCATTCAACCAAAACTGCTTCTAGACATAGTCATACTAGAGTGACCAGTGCCAAGGGAAAGGAGGGCAGCAAGACAAGGTGACATACCAAGTACACTGCTCTACATCAGTTTTAGTAATTAATCCACAGTGAAGATGACTTATTTAGGGTTTTATCATCCAGAAGCTTATGTTTGGTAATTAACACTTGTTATACTTAGTGTGCATCAATGTTCTGAAACTTTGAACTTGGAAAAGGTTTTGACATTTTTAATCACTGGGTCTTTACTTTATTTCTGTATGATCCATTTTACAAATGGTATAAATAGGCTCTTTTGGCTAAGATTAAGAATCAGCGGAATAGAATTTTCTTAATTCATTTCGACACACATTCCTTGATGCTTACTTTCATTCAAAATGAAAGAAAAAGTGAGCAAGCTCACATACCCCACGCTCCCCCAAAACTCAAAGTGCTGAAAATCCTGGAAAAAATGAAAAATCGGAATTTCCCAGTAATATGCACATCTACAAATTGTGTCCTAAATATCTGCAAAGTTTGATGAAATTCTGTGCAGCGGTTTATGAGGAGTTGCGCTGACAATCTGTTCGTCACTATATTCAAGATATCCCCAAAAATCTAAGTTGTAAAGTGCTGAAATTCCCAGAAAAATAAAGGATTCGGAATTTCCTGGTAAAATGCACATCTATACATTGTGTCCTAAATATCTGTAAAGTCTGACGAAATTCTATGCAGCGGTTTATGAGGGGTCGCGCTGACAAAATGTTCATTTGTATATTCAAGGTATGGTCAAAAATCTAATTTGAAAAGTGCCAAAATTCCCGGAAAAATAAAGGAATCGGAATTTCCTGGTAATATGCACATCTACACACTGTGTCCTAAATATCTCCAAAGTTTGACGAAAATCTGTGCAGCAGTTTATGAGGAGTTGCGCTGACAAAATGTTCATCTCTATATACAAGGTATGGCCAAACATCTAAGTTGAAAAGTGTGGAAATTCTAAGAAAAAATAAAGGAATCGGAATTTTCTGGTAATATGCACATCTACACATTGTGTCCTAAATATCTGCTAAGTTTGACGAAATTCTGTGCAGCGGTTTATGAGGAGTTGCGTTGACAAACTGTTCATCTCTCTATAAAAGGTATGGCCAAAAACCTAAGTTTTTAGTGTGGAAATTCCCGGAAAAATAAAGGAATTGGAATTTCCTGGTAATATGCACATCTAAATATTGTGTCCTAAATATCTGCAGAGTTTGACGAAATTCTGTGCAGGGGTTTATGAGGAGTTGCGCTGACAAACTCTTCATCTCTATATTCAAGGTATGGGCAAATGCCTAAGTTAAAAGTGCGGAAATTCCTGGGAAAAATAACGGAATCGGAATTTCCTGGTAATATGCATATCTACATATTGTGTTCTAAATACCTGCAAAGTTTGACGAAATTCTGTGCAGCAGTTTATGATGAGTTGCGCTGACAAAAAAACAGGACTGAAGGACTGACTGACTGACAGACACTCTGACGGACGGGTCAAAAACAATATACCTCACACAACTAGTTGCGTGGAGTATAATAATAGAGACTCATAGGCCTAGCTGGCCACCTGAGTATCACATATTTTTCTTAACATGATCAAGCCACCCACAACAAGAAATATTCCTGAAATATTCTAGACAATCAGTAGAATTTTGAAAAAGGAAATTTTCAAGTCTATGATAAATTTTACCCAATATCAGGACATGTACTTAATTTTTGTGAAATGCAAATAGCCTCATTTGCGAATCTAAAGAGGGAGTTTCAATTTGCAGAGTAGTTAAATGTGCATATAATAACCAAAAATTCACCCTCAATAAGTTAGATTGAAAAATCATAACATGAGGTGATGCAGAAGTCAGGAAAACAGCTAAACTCTCAGCTACGTGAATAATCATTACATATAAAATTCCATTATTAATAATAACGCTGAACATTATGGTTTAATAGCAAATATATTTATTATAAATCAATAAAATTATGATTAAAATACAATACGTAATAAAATTATTTCATTTTTAATATAATGATTCTGAACAAATATAATGAGTTGTAACAATTTGAACTCACAATCCATACAAAAATTGGATATTATGCTTTGTACATGTACCTTCCTAACTCACTGAACAGACATGCATCAAAAGAAATGGGCACTACACTTATACAAAACATTCAAACCAACAAGATTAAAAGAGTGGACTTCATCAATTGCCTTTAGACAGTTTTTTTTTTTGGTCATCACATTTACATTCATTTGTTGCATATACAAAACAATTTTAACATATATTCATTAATTAAACAGGGAAAAAAACCCTTTATTAAAATTCTTGGTATACTGGAGTAGTACATCTTGACAATAAAGGACAGATATAGCAATAAAACATTCTGATTCATTAGAAAGATTTACTGTCAGATTTCTCTTTCATACTGCATATATTTATATAAAAAAAAAAAATCATTCAATCAGTATCAATAGATCTCACACACCAGACTCATCATATAAATACTATCAAAATCTCCTCACTGTACATTCTCTCACAATGTGTTATTCCACTTCAAATGCTAAAGTCACAAAAATAATCACGTGAAAAAAACAGCTGAATGAAATAAAACAATAAAGATGTTAAATCAATTTGTACAACTCAGTTCTAATATTTGCTTTATTTAACAATTTTAATTGATAACATGGATGCATTTTTTACATTTACATTGTATTAGATAAAACTAATGTATACTGTATATGTACCTGCTTCCTAAAATGATTGTCATGGAATTTTTCGGAATAATGCTTAAAATGTGAATTTGTTTAAATGGAAAAAAGGCAATTTTGCACATATCGAGGCAAATGAAAATTTGAACTTGAGTTTCTTTTACCACAGTGTAATGGAAAGAGGTTTCACCTTCATGTACATGATTCTGATATTTTTGGCACCAAATATTATAATAATGATAGAACATAAGAACACACAGAGGTATTAAAATAAAGAGAGAGAATAAAACACAACTCAAGTTACCAATAAAATAAAATGATTGCACCTGCACATTCAAAGCCATAACAGTTGGGGAAGAACAACTGCATACAAATGCAAACAAATAAAAAATATTTTCCTACTCCTTGTTCTATCATGCATTCATCTGGATAAAATCAGTTAAATCATACATTCAGAATTTCCACATCCTTTTCAGTCCTTGGTGGAATCATTAAGAAGAATTCCTTTAGGTTGTGAACAATTCCTTTGTTAAATGGATTATAAAAAGCTCCTTTACCATCCATTAAGTACTTATACCTCTTGTAATTCACTCTCTCATTAGCTGTGATGTTGTATATGGCATGGAAAGTCTGTAACAAGAAGAAAAGTCTTGATATATACTTAAACTATGTGCATTAAATTTAATACAATGTATCCTTTGAAATCATCAAAATCTTGCTCAACATATCTCTAAATGTTACAGATTCATAACTGAAAAGAAATTTACACATTCACTGCTTTGTTCTATTGTTAAAAACATTCATGGTAAATACTGATAAATTTATACATATTACATGTACTACATCAATTTTTTTTTTACAGTGTATCCATACATGTACCATAGAATGATAACTATTTACTACACAAATATTTGTATATAGTACACATAAAAAAGAATTTAAGCAAAAATTGCTTAAAATCTTACAAGGCTTCACTTAAAAATTTTCAGAATAAACACTGCATTGATAGGCATTAACTAAAAATTACAAAACACTCTAACGACTGTCCATAAATCATAAGTGAGGGGTTTTATATACCGGTATCAACAGGACATACAATACATACATATCTTACAAGACTATAGTGTTATATGCAAATGAAGACCGGGGGGGGGGGGGGAAGGATTATTTTTGTTTTAGTGATGTCGTAAAAATATACTTTGCATTGCAGTTCTTGAGAAGAATTTAAAAGATATTTCTATTTCTATGTATAACTTTGAACCCCTGCTGTGGCATCATCCTACTCCCAGGGTTTTGAACAAGCTTGAATTATAAAAACATGCCATTTCACTCCTTCTTAATTATCTCCCCTTGAAAAGGTGTCTCTTCATATGAACAAACTTAAACTCCTTAAACAAAGGAATGGGCAAGTTTGATTGAAATTAGCCCAGTTGTTCTGGAGAAAGAAGTTTTATAAAATAGGAAAAGTTTATAGTAACATATGATAGACCAACGGAAGTGCATTAGACACAGATCACTTGAACTATTGTCTCAGTTCAGCTAATTAAATGCCTTATAGTTATAAATTCAAAGAAAAAGATTTCCAGTAAGAAAGGAAAAAATTACCATAATATATCAAGAGTCTTATTCAAACAAACAAAAACGATTAAGATGGCAGTTTTATAAAAATGTAATCTCCATTTTCATCAGTTGGATGAAGCCTGATAAAAAAGAAATCCAGAATGTTTCTCTTTGGTCCTCCATCAAATGGGTTAAAAAGCTTCCCATCCTTATCCTTCATGTGGGCATATCTTTTGTACTTCAGCTGTTCATTTGTTGTTAAATTCTTAACGATTGAATAAACCTGAAAATAAATGCAAAAGAAGATTATTGGATGAACCAACAATAATTTTAAGCAGATTTCCACTGCTTTGAAACATATACAGTGGAAATTTACAATGTTTAGATTTGACATTATCTTTATTCTTAAGGGAGAGCTCACCCAAGATCAAATTTGAAAAAAATCTCACAAAAATGTCACCATATTATTCTATTGTTTGCATGATATATATGTATAAGAAATTTTATAATTTATAAACTCTATGTAATGTTGCCTGAAATTTGGAACAATATACAGAGTTAATAATATATCTGGAGTTTTCTGTATTAAACTTTGATTCAAGTCATTGAGTAAATCTTAAAATAAAATATAACACATGACTTACCAGGTATAAACACAGGTAGGAGGCCACACACAGGTAAAACAGCATGAGGCAGAGGAAGAACAGGTAGACCATGTTAAGTTCCTCATACTGTGTCAAGGCATAGTAACTGAAGAAGGTGCTTAAAAACCCATTTATGGTAACACACCATACAAACCCTACAAATGAAACTCTGAAAAACACAAGACAAGATACTTATAAAATGGCCTCCAATCTGCAATCGGCTGAACAATAAACAATCTCCTGATTTTAATTACAATGACAATTTTTGTTTGTTTGTTTTTTTTATTTTTAGATGATCTCTGAAAGTAAATTGGATATTTTTGAAACTAAAAATAAAAATCTTATTAGGCAGATGAAAAAACCCTAAATATGAAATCCATCAGGAGATTATTTTTACAAAGAAACAAAACGTGGTTGACTGGAATCCCCTCTACTGATTCCAGTCCCCACCTACAGACACTTGTGTTCAGCTGTGATGCGTCATGGGGACCCTTGACATTGATGGTCAGTTCTGGTCTTACCATGAGGACGGTCACTGCCGTGACCGCTACGGTGGCAACACCTGCCTCGACTGCTCCTATAACTACAATCCAATCCCAGCCAAACTCAGAGAGAAGATGGTAGCAGAAGAAGTCCGTAAAGAGAACATTGCCAAACATGGTGAGGACAAACATGAAGAACCAGGGCCTACAACAGAAGAAACTGTCGATCAGGCTCAAGTGAACTCTTACTGTGAGTGTGGACTGTGAGCTGTCAATCAAGCATGCCATTGATCACGTTCATTTTTAATTTTTTTTTTTTTTTTAATAAAACTTTAAAAGTGTCTTAATAAAAATAAGAAATTTTTTATAAGAACTAAAATCATAAAAACAAATAACAGTATATGCATGCACCAGTGTTTGAAACTCAGCGTAAAATTAGCTAGACATGCAGGGCTGACTGCTAGTGAAAGCTTTCAGCCCTACCAAAAATCCTCTAGCCCGAGAAATAATTGTCTTTTATAAATTTGTTTTAATTAAGAGATAATGTGAATGCGACCAGATCACCATAACTTTGATTCCAAATCTACAGGCTAACGATTTCTACCCCTGTACCTATTGCACTTTGCTACCAATACTTAACGTTAATCTAAGAAAGATTTATCAATTACATGAATTTTAATTTAGGGGAAATTTTAACACGTCCAGTTGGGCGTCAATACATGTAAATCCGTTCGCCCGTGATGAAATTTGTGCGTCTCGGGTGGTCGGGTGCACTGTTATTTCAAACACTGGCATGCACATAAAAGGGTTTAATTACGTTATTTCAGTATAGTTATCTACTTTTGTTGAGAATATAGTAGGAAACTGAGGGGAATAAAACAAAATTTGGAGTTCTGTATAAGAAAAATAACCATATTTCTTAACATTTGAAATTTTTACGGTACAGTTATACAAGTGTAACAAACATGATATAATGAATGTCTGTTTAAAAGAAAATAAAACATTTTCAGTTTAGAATTATGTATCCGTAAAATTTCACTGGATATAACAAATGCACTCTTATTGGTGAAATATAACTAGCTAATGAAGTGAGGACATGTTATAGAATCTTTCGTATGTTCACAATCACCATTTTCATATTTTATCAGTACTTTAACAGTATCATTTATGTATGATTAATGTCATTCCCTAAATGCAATTATTAATCAGCCCTTAGCCCTTTCACAATAACTTGGTACATGTACTACTCTTTTGCAGAGCAAATTAGTAATGTTCGAAAAAAAAAAATTGGAGGCATTAAATAAAATTTTTATTCATGAATTGCTGTTATGTCAAATTTGCCAAACAAGATCATTTGCCCTGCAAAGAGCAGAGCCATAGTTATTGTAAAACTCTACCATGCTTTGGTTATAATGACTAGAATACAAAATAATTTGTGTTCCCACTATCTCCTGACATTTTTATTTCAGTTCAATTTTTAATCACTTCAAGCTACACGTAATTTCAATTATAGATCTATGTCAAGATTTTTTTCAACTAAAAATCATAATAATAGTATTTATTAAAAAGAAAAAAAGACAAGAAATTACCTATTCTGTTTGTCAACAAAATTTTCATTATTCTAAGCCAGGTTTAGCTTTATTTTGGACAATCTCAAAATTAAGCTAACATATATAGAATAGGTTAGGTATGTGCATAACACTACGATATGTGGCAAGCAATGCTTAAAGCCCTTGATAGCAAGTGTAAATAAGGCCTAAAATAAAATATTGTTTGTTTGCAGTTGCCGACCGACCCACCGAAAATGCACCCGACCCAAACTTTTTTTTAGCCATTTTGAAATATTTTTTTTTTCTCCAATTTTTCAGGATATTAAAACTGTTTCATTTTCAATTTTTTTCTTCATCAATCATTGGTTTATAACAAGAGTGCAGCTTATTCATGTATAGTAGGCCTATGAAAAACTCTGTTTCATGTTATCTAACAAAAATCCGGAAACAATTTTTTTTCCAAAAAAAAAAAAAAAATGCCTACCTACCTACCCAGACTAAAAATTATAGGTCGGCAACTGCAAACAAAGAATTTTTTAAGCTTGGCCTAAATGACATGAAAAAGCACACTTTCAACAAGCCCTTCTATATCATTATGTAGACACATATGTCGAGAGCACCATAACATGTAACCCTATACTCAAAAGTACAACAACAAAAAATCCCACTGATAGATTGCAAGAAAATCATGCCATGCCATTCCAGATGATGAATATAATGAAAGAAATGCTATTCTGGTTTTAAAGAGTCTAGGTGGTGAATATGAAGAAAAAAAATCCTATGAAAGGGAAATACAGTAGACTTTGACCATCAATGTAGAGAGCCCAACATGCACCACCACAGCTGTGTACAATTATAATGTTATGAATACCAGACTTTATCATTTATTTACATATCATGTTAACTCAAGTTATTGTTCATGCAGAATATGTATATATTTTTTTGTTTACTAACACTGGATTTTATTTAATATATGTACATGTATATGGTATATCTTTGTTCATTTCCACATACCCTTGGTAATTTAATATTCCATGCATAATCCATTTATATGTTTTTAAAGACAAGAAGCGCAAATATACATTTAAAGCAGCTTATATCATGAAATATTGGCCATAGCAGATATAGAATAATGTAAGTGTGTCATCAATTTTTATTTGCCTCCATTTCAAAATTATCAAACACAAAAATAATAATTACAGTAATTATTAGGTTTAAACTTCACTATCAATCTTCCAATTTACTGCTATGTCCAAAATATCACACGTGTCACATATAAATTATATTCCCCACCTGTTATAGTATCCCACACAGTTATAGATGTAGGGACAGTGATGGTCGAACACCTTGACGCAGCGGTTACACACTCTACAGTGCTTGGAGCGGAGTGGTTTGACCGTCCGACACGTGTGACAGAGCCGACTCAAAGGATTCTCACCATGCTTCCACTCATCAAAATGTGCTACCTGTACAAATAATAAAATTAAAAGATTTATACGCACACCATTATACTTATATATTACTGGTAATTTAACTTTAATTCATACTTTTGTCTTCTAAATTTCTGCATTTACTAGTTGGGACTCAAATAACACAGTTTTCTTTGTCTCAAACATTCAGTAACATGATTTACATGGTATTCAATTGTTTACAAAAAATTAGGACAGCAAATCAGCTTGTTGAACACAGACATCTTTGGTAACTTTTTACAATGCAACCAAATAATTCAAAAACATTGATGGTAAATCTGAATAAACTGTTTGCTGTGCATATATAAAACTGTTCAACATAAGAAGAACTGAAATTCCTAAATTTTACGCCTTACTTGTTTTATAGCCATATCATATTCAGGTATGTTTCTAGGAAGGAACCCCGGATCTGTTGTGCTGGCATGAAACAAACAAATCCACATGGCAATGTTTACGAAGAAAAAGAAGATATGGAATAACTGAAGCTCATTCCAGGTATATGGCAAACACTGAAAAAAAAGAGATGGCATATCAAATGGGGTAATTTCACTGGCAATTTTTTTACTCACTATTTTGCCTATAATAACTTCTTCTGACATGTAATTAATTGTTTATCTTGAAACTTTTCACTGTACAGGTGTTTTCAATGATATAATAATGTGAATATATTTTTAATACACCTAAATATATTAAAATAAAGCAAATAAGATTAGAAACATCTCTTATTCAATGTCAACGTACCTTAAATATATACATTGGGTATCCCCAGCAAATGGCATTGACCATGAAGAAGAGAATGGCTCCTTTACTGTTTCCTGGAGGACCAAATGCTATTGTACTACAAAAAGAAAAATGCAATTAACTATCATGCAAACTATGATGTACTTATTCTTTTTATCATGACTAATCTAATGATACCACACTTTAACAGCAAACAGATTTGTGGGACACTTAGCATGCTCAGTTATATAGTACATGTATCTGTAGCTGCAGAACTGTAGCGTTATGGTTTTATATATTTGTCTTTGACCATAACGCTACAGATCCAGTAATGCAAAAAAACTTGCAATTTACGGCGCAATATTTTATGCGCACTTTTGGGGAGAATTTCTCCTTTTTCTAGCAATGGTCAATAAACTACCTTTCACTCCCTAATTCTAGACACATTCTGTAGCCAATAGGTGTATTTTATCCACCTCCCAACCATTTTTAGTTGTCTCTAAAGGCAATACACTCGCTTAAAGTTAATTTTCAGCAATCTAACATATAATTTTAATCAAGCGAATTAATTTATCACTTGTAGAGATGACTATAAAGGGTTGGGAGATGGATAAAATATACAGATTATTTAAATAATGTGCATAGAATTAAGGAATGAAAGGTAGTTAATTGACCCATGCTGGAAAGTGGAGAAATTCTCCCCTAAAGCGCGCAAAAAATATTGCACATTTTTTGCATTACGGGATCTGTAGCGTTATGGTCAAAGACAAACATATAAAACCATAACGCTACAGATCTGCAGCTAATGTATCTGATGATATTCTTGATTATAAACATTTAAATAAATGGATCATGACTCAAACAGCATGCTTACTAAAAGTCAATTTTAGGCAGTAAACTCTTCTTCTTTTTAATCTGCCTCTGGAGGTAATCACAGACTTCTTCGTGTTTTCTACCAAAGGCCAGCATCAGAGGAGTCTTCCCGTTCTTATCTGCCACCTCCACCTCCACACCGTCCTAAAAGAAACAGCACGGGGATCATAAGAAAATAGTCACTAATAGGTACCCGACCACAAATCAAAGATCAAAGAATTCATTTTCTACCTGTTCACAGAGTTCTGTTACACCTGTTAAGCTGCCATTAATGCACGCTAAGTGAAGAGGTGTCTGTCCATAGTTGTCTTTCTGACGAGGATTAAAGCCGGAGTAAATCAGCAGTCTCATAAGCTCGGAATGACCTACAACAAAATATAAGTATGGTTAACAGTTTAAATGTGAACTTGTCTTAAACAAAAACAAAAAACTAACATCACATCAAATATGCATAAGAATTTTATGTACTAAATGGGTACGAGATATAGATAATTCTGACACAGTCATTGAAAAATAAGTCTAATTAACTCACTATACATGTATAAAGTACATCTTTCACTCATGATACTTAACAAAATATCTACAGGTAACTCTTGATGGCTCGAACTTCGATCTCTCGAAGTTCTTGATCGCTCGAAGTGAGTCTCTGGTCCCGATTTTTTCCCCTATATAACTAAGCAAATTTACTCTTGATTTCTCGAACTCTTGATCTTGTTTTCATACAACGAATGAAAAGTATGATGTCTGTATTATAAAGAACAAAAAAATAAACATAAAATTACGATGTACATTTTTAGCTTTACTCAGATTAATAAATATTCATCTAAAATACGAAATCATATTGCTGTTTTATAAAAACCACGTGTGAAAAGTTAGCACTGCATGAAAATCATTATATCCGGTAAGACTAATTTTAAAACCTGCCAAGCAAACCCGTAACATTCTGGACTCTTGAAAACTCGAACTCTTGATCTCTCGAAAGTTTTTCCTTGGTCCCACGGACTTTCAGGTATCTCGAGTTACCTGTAGTATTTCACTGTTTTTGACTAAATCAAGAGATTTTGACTCAGATACTATATTCTCAAACATACCTTTAAAGGATGCCCAATGTAAAGCATTATCCCCATCTTTGTCAACCATTTGTAAGCGGGCTCCCTTGCCCATTAAATACCCTGCTAACATTGTATGCCCATACTGACATGCCACTATCAGTGGTGTACAACCTTTTAAGTCAGTTGTGTCAATGTTCACTCCATACTGAAGTAACACATCCACAATGTTAATGTGTCCATTCACACACGCCCAGTGGATTGGGTGGGCACCGAGCTCATTATTGCTTGGCTGATCCACTGGACCTTTACTGTCCATAATGAATCTAAGGATTGTCATGTGACCTCCCAGGCATGCCCAGTGAGCAGGTGTGTGACCCTTCTCATCTTGCATACTAAAAACTTCAGGCCCATCCTCAGCTATGGTTTGAACTGGAACCAATAATCTAAAAAATGACAAACAAAATGATGATAATAAATAAATCTGGGTAAAAGATTAAAATATAATGTAACTGAGTAAACCACATTTTATTAATAATACTATAATAGGCCAACAATTCGAAACATGGTAGAAACAATACAGTTGACTTGAAAAATGAGCAGATAATTTTCTCTGAATATTCAAAAAAGAAAACAAATTCCAAAACACATCTTTTGGTTTATCATTTGGTTTCACATCTACAGTTAAACAAGTTAAATATTTAATCCATATAAATTCTAAAATTTAAATGCAATGGGCATTTTAAAAAAAAAAACAACCTTTTTTCTTGATTCATCAGTAGTTCAATCTTGAAAAAAAAGAGGACTACCATCATATTGATAAATTGAAAAACAATTTCAATTTCTTAGAATACAAATATTAAACTAACGGTATGTACAAGAAAAGTACAGGTGCCCAGAATGTTTGAAATATACAGGTACATAAAGTAAAGAATACATCCATTTGTAAATATTGTATTTTATGCAAAATCCATTTAAAACTATCACAGTTACAACTTTTCTCTCAATATATAGTTTTTGTTTTATCACAAGTAACATGCAGATGTAAAAGGAAATAACTTTATCCTAACCATTTCTATCTACTGGATCTAAACTTCCTTCCTAATCTTAGGTTTAAAGACTGTACCCAATCTTGATCTCCATTTCCTCATTATAATTGACTTCTTATATGACAAACCCTAATGCTAGTGATTACAAGGTTATTTGTAAATTCAATGTTTCTCTTTTTTTTTTCATTACACTTCATGGTGCTTGAAAAACAAACAAAGGTCAATTAACATGATTATTTCATTCTTTGATTCATCATCTACAGTTTGGTTATTATAAATGTCTGTATTCAGGTCAATAGCTTAAGTCAAGTCTTGATAATCCTGATCTTTTAACCATCCAGACAAAATTTCTAGGGAACAGAATAAGCATTCACTTATCTGCCAATTAAGACAGATACCATTCAGAAATTAATTATCAAGATAATTAATTTACTCAGGAATACAAGTCTCCTGATTGACAAAGCTCAATTTTTTATGCTTAATTTTCCCCTAAAAGTTTGACATATACTTTGATATTCCACTGACTTGTCAAACATCAGAATAATTACAATTTAAGTTGACAGTCCTAGCTTAATTATGATTTGGAGTTTTAAATGTCAACAATCTTGAATATTTTGAATAAACCGGTCTCTTTTGGGATGCTGACATTCAAATACAAATAGTATCTTTACTTAACACAAGCAAAATTCATTGCTTAATAGATAGGATTTTTTAATAAATAACAATACTGCCTTAATGCTTACTACTTTAATACCTGCTTGTAAATGCAGATATTTTTTTCACATTCATTTTTATTTTATAATAACAATTTTCAGTACTTAAAGTACTTATATATCATGATGGGCAACTTTAATTTTTTCCCCGTTTGATTTAATATTTGACACTGAAGTTTCCTACCATACCTTTGAAGAGATTTTTCGAGATTCCTAGACTCAATTTCCAGACATATGTAGTATAGCATAAGTTTGAAAAATTACAAATAGCACAAAACCAAATGGTTGACCCTCTACCTGTCTTTTTTTTTTTCAAAATGTAACACTACATAATCTTTAATTACGGGCTCCTTAATTGCAAACAACGAAATATAAAACCTAATTAATAAATATATGAATAAAGAAAATAGAAGAAAACTACATATATTTTATAAATATGTTATAAATATAAAAACGTAAAAAGAGTCTTCACTCAATACACACACCTATGGTCAAATTGGTCAAGTTTGTACATGAACATAGCAACGGTATAAACAATGTAAAAACAAAATTTCTGTCAAACATATTTCAATATGTCGATTTTTAAAAGCTCTCTAAACTTAATAAATAATGAAATTAAACTCTCGGGACAAATATTTGTTATTTGCATACTTTGTTCTTCTTACAGGAAACTCAACAAATACGAGTTTCGGATACGAGTATATTTAGTGTAAATTTATTTACTTAATTATCAACATTATACTCACCCAGATTTTACTGCTGCAAATATAGGATGATCTTTACTTGAATTTGCATTGTCTCCCGCACAACATGCACCATCAGGAACATGGTTGTGTGTCTTTTTTTCAGAGTTTTTACCAGCTCCTAGTCCTAGTAGATCCATGCCTGACATGCTACGGAATCGGCTGTGTTGCGAGTGTCATATATATGTAGGATTAGGCTAATTAACGGAAAAACGAATGTTCTGTATAGCGTTGATTTGCTAAATCACTTGATCGCTTGTTTTTAGTATAAATATGTTTGAAGAATCATAATAAATCTATAAAGTTTTCTAATCAGTATTTAATGCTATAATATATATATATATATAAATGTATTTCGTTTTGCAGGAATTTATTTTCCTTTTTTTTTTTTGTATTTAAATGCGCATGCGCTACATGAAATAGTATGGCGGCCGCAATGGATGTTGATGACAGTGGTGCTGACGGAGATTTGGAAGTTCCTGGAGGTTCAGGAGAAAAGGGAGGAAAGAAAAGATTTGAAGTTAAAAAAGTTTGTACTGTATATCAAATTGAAATTTTATTCATGAATTCTCTTTAAAATGACATTTAAATGCCAATACAATCAAAGAAAATGTAGACAGTATTTCACTGTTTGAAATCTTTAAATTTAGAAAGTAAAGTTATATATAATGTTAATAAATTAAGATTACGGATTCAATGAGTATTTACCATTTTAAAGTCACAAAAGATAAAGAGAAATCCTATGTATTTTATTTTTGTATGCCTTTGATGTATCATGATTTAAAAATAAAAAATGAGTAATTGTTTACTCCAGTGACATAAATAGCAGAGATTTATAAAAGATGTAATGAAATAGGCAAATATTGGCCAGGGAAAACTGACCAGTTTTTCCATCATTTTTTCAAATGCATTCAGTAATGACATACCAGAAGTAAAGGTGCTGTCGACTTTGAAAACCACATAATTACCCCAACCCCTTTACAACAATACAGTCATGATTTACATTCATGATCGTGATAATTCATAAGAGGTTTATTTAATAAAATAAATTAACAATTATCTTGAATATAATAGTAAGCACAGCGAGCATCCCAAAGTGACACTCATCACTGCGAGCTCTAACGACAATGCCTGGGCGAAGAGAAAATTTTGACTACTGCATGCATATTCATTCTATAGAATTTTCTTTTTCAGCAGTACCTTTGACCCACAATGCATTGTTTCTTTAAGCAAGGCTCTTGTGAGAATAACAAAAAAGTAAAACAAATAATAAACTTGCCTTGATTTAATGAATATATTGCAGACATGTACAGTACAGGCAACGCGGATCCCGTATTAGACCGCGTCCCCTCCGCGGTGTATTAATCCTTTCCGCGTTACACCGTCGCGGGTTTTGATCGCGGTGCTACCTGAGACCGTGTTTACACCGCGGTGGGGCCAGCTACCGTTATTCTTCAGCTAAGATGTTCTTACCTGTAAAGTATTGTCGATTTTTAATCATGTCGAAATGAGGGGGGGATTACAAGCACATTGATATTATAGATTTATACCATTACATGGATTCTTTAAAAAATCATTTTTTAAGTTTTATCAAATTGTTTAATAAAAAACTTTTTTTTGTACCAATAGTCACTCAAAATTAATTAATTCTCAAACACGTCTGATAACAGTAATACATGTACAGTATAGGATGAAATAAAGCCGAATAATTTATCGAATATATTAACTTAAAGTTTATTTTCAAAATCAATAATGCCACCCCAAATGATCTTCAAATTGCTAAAAAGGTATAATTAAAATTTAAAGAATGCCATGATATCGCTTCCCTTTACATGCACTGTAATCCGGTGTTCACAATTAGCCCGTGCAGTTGCAGTTACATGTAGCTACGTGTTTATTTATCTGTGAGATTATATCAGTCATTTGGTTTCATTTAGAAAACTATCGTTACTTCTGTATACATATCTGTTATCACAGGAGTCTGAAGTTTTTATCGTAAAAAAAATTTAAAAAAAAAAAAAAAAAAAAATCCGGAAAAAAAATTTTCCTACCCTTAACTAAAAAAACCCACGGTTTTTTTAGTTAAGGGTAGGAAAAATTTTTTCCGGATTTTTTTTTTTTTTTTTTTTTTTTTTTTTTTAATTTTTTTTTTACGATAAAAACTTCAGACTCCTGTGCTGTTATAAATAATAGCATGAAAAACGATGATAGGTAGTGATACATAATTACAATTAAATTTTAACAAAACACGCGTAAGTGTAGGAATACCGTTGTTCCATTATTATGCGCAACACTGTAAGACTATGAACTAAATATCGACAATTTTTATTTGTTTGTTTTTTTGGGGGGGGGGGTATTGTTAATAAAATATTCACAGGTCATTCTATTCAGAATATCAATAAAATCATAGCTAGTATTTGAATGTATTTCTATTTTCTGCTCTTTTCGAAAAATACTAAAATCATGTCAATGAACATAAATTTCAGATTTCTCCGGTTCAAATAAAACACAAACACAAATATGGGCCCTTAAAATACTTGAACACACAACACAGAAATTAACTTATTTTAATCAGCAAGTTGCCAAGCTTCAAGTTCTCAGATGTCTGTGTTACTGTTCGGTTTTCCTCAGGTAAGTTTGGTGTGGAGTGGAGTTTACTCGAAGCGGATGAGAAGCCCCGAGGGAACGACGCTGTCTAGTGTACATACTACCTATAATATACACAGGATATGTTACCTGAGTGTATTACCTGTATGCGTTTTCCTACGACATTGTAAAACGAAGCCGTTTTTTTTTTTCATGTGTAGCTCATGGATTGAAATGCATGAAATAAAGAATTCAATGTTTTTGTTGCAGACAGAATCCTTTTTAAATTTTTTGTTTCAAATAAATATTTTCAATAATTCGACAATTTTAATATACTGTGTTTTTCTTAATCAAATTTTATAACAAAAATACTTTTTTTTTTACCACCAAAATCTGTCGTTGTAATCTGGCGACAAAAAGGGAAGTAATTCAAATTACATGTCATGTACATATGCTAAACGAAAGACGAAAGTGGATCATAAACAAGTCTCTCGGTAAATACCAATAAAACTTAGACAAAATCCACAAATGGTCAATAAACTGATAAATCAGCGGTAGTTTCATTCGCTAGACTTAAGAAATTGATATACTGATCAAAAAGGAGGAAAAACGATCATGCACGTGCCTTAATATTGTGATATTTTTCTTCTCTCTTTCTCTCGCTCTCTATCTACTAACTGGTACAGATATAAACAGACACGAAATAACATAGCAATGGATCATTATTTGATTTAATTAATATCAAATACTTCATTAATTTGTTTTAAAAGTTTGTTTTTTTTTACTTTTATTCTTTTAAGACACTACGTTTAAAAAAAGCAACAATAATTTGACACAAATTCCAAGGCTAATATCGCATCTGAAAATGATATCGATGAAATAATAATGAAACAATGAATCAAATGTGTTGTTGAATGGCTAGACAACGATGTGCACATCCAGCGAGCGTTACCCAAGGTATACTCTTAAGACAGGTGTGAAACCCCCAGGGCATGTCGTTTCCTGCTCAGGCACTGCTAATCCCTATACACAGGAAATGATTGCGGCTAATACTTAATACACAAAGAAACAGAATTTGTCAAAGAAAACAAAAATATATGAATTTTTGCATTGAATATTTATTAATATAAACTATAATTTCGTCTGTGAAGTTTATCATTACACCTGCACATCCTATCTTATCTATTGAACACGAAAATGGAGAAATATTAAAATTAAAAAGAAAGACATTCTTTTAAAAAGTAATTTATACATGTTAATATGAAAGTGAAAAACGATATTTTTTCTTGATCTCTTGTATAAAGTTCACGTGCTCAAAGTTAACTCTCGCCATTGAATGCTTTTCGGTCATTTGACAATTTGAGAAAAATGCCTGCACATTTATATAAAAGAGGGAAATAAATTAAAGAAAAGTTTTCTCAATTTGGGAACAGAACATAAACGTGAGAAATAAAGAGGAAAAGAATTTTTTTCTTGATATCTTGGATAAAGAAAAATTTAAGTTCACGTGCCCACTACATGTAACTGCAAATGCTCGTCATCGGATGTTTTCCGGTAATTTGACACTTTAAGAAAAAGCCTGTACATTTTATATACAATAAATCAAAATTAATTTATAATTAATATGAAGATGTACATTTTTTAAAAGATGTTCATCTTTTTTTTTTCAAATGAATGCTAAAAATCGTTTATCGAAACTTAAACACTCTGAGTTCAACATTTATTACAGTTTGTATATAATATGAAGATTTAAAAAAAAAAAACTAATTAAAATTTCTAGTATTTAATTTTGTTTCTTGATAGATTCTTAATAAACACAAAATAATTAACCATTGCAAAGAGTTACAATGTAATAAAATTTTCTATTCAATTTCAAATATTGATATGTAATTATAGAAACAAAAATAAACTTATTTTTTCTCAGTTTAAATTCTATTCATAGCAAAATTAATTAATAAACACACGATTTTTGTTTTTGTTTTTGATTTTTTTTTTTGTTACAGGGAAAATTCGCAAATTACAATTCGGGGAGATAACTCCCGTTTGTTTACGATACTAATTGTCAGTAATTGATCGATGATTTAACCGCAGCGGGGACAGGTAGGTGATGAAATTCCTGCGGAGGGAACGCGGTTTACCTGTCTACCTGGCCAAATACCGCGTTGTGATTATACCGCGGCGGGGACGCGGGAAATACGGGATCCGCGTTGCCTGTACTGTAGTTAATAAAACAGTTCTTCATTAATGTCAGCCCTGTTCAGGTTTCGTTTGGTAACATAACCTACATATGACGTCTGCAAGTGAAGTTCTTGGCTCAAATAACTGACCTGAGAATTTTTTTTTAAAAAAGAAATCTGCAAATTAATCTATTGGTAAAAGTAATGTGTCTCCAAACATTTCAGTGGTCAAGTCGTTGTAGGAAAGAAAAATTGAGGAATTTTACTTATATTTTCTTTTTTTTCTTTTTTTGTCATAGTGGAATGCTGTTGCTTTATGGGCTTGGGGTAAGTTATTTCATGAAGCTTAATTAAAGATATCTGACAACGAACAAATGTATAGACTTCTTAAGATGTTACTGTGAAATCACTCATTTTTCATCAAGGATTATTTTATTTGTTTTCGTGCTATGGAAAGCCTCACAAATTCATGTCCTCCACAAAATGTTAAATTGCAAATGAGTAACAATGTAGCACTTCTTTATCCATGAATTCACATCCACAGGGACCAATATTTTTTTCTCAAATCACAAAAATTTGATTGCATTGTCATGAAATGTGTGATTGTATAGTGTATAAGCAGTTTAAAAGAATAAGTATTTCTCTGAGAAGTATCATATTAGTCATTTTAATTTATTGCTTATGTAGAAGTGTTATCAGTCTTTTGTGTATCTATTCCAATTGTGTAAAAAAGATGACCATGTATTGTTTCATTGTAGACATAGTAGTTGATAACTGTGCTATCTGCAGAAATCACATCATGGATCTTTGTATAGAATGTCAGGCTAATCAAGCCTCAGCCACGAGTGAAGAATGCACAGTAGCATGGGGAGTTTGCAATGTAAGTTTGACTGATATACAAAAATAAAATCCTGTTACACTTTAATTCTGTAGGAGACAGGGTTTGACATTAAGGCACGTCCGACCGACTGAGTCTAATAAAAGATTGGTCCGGTCGGGTAAAATGTTGTCGTACTAGACTGACTGGTCGTGTAAGAAAAATAAATGAACTTATTAGATATTTTTAAACAAATTATTTATTGTCGATAAAAAATAAAATTAGAACGCTTCTAACTGCATAGTACAAAGAAAACTACAAACGTTACAGACAGCATGACTTAAAAACAACAGTTCTTTGTCAGCATTCGTAACTACATGTACTCGGCTATTTTCCTAAAGAGAAACAAAAAGCTGTTTATCATTCACAAAAATAGCTGATTAGTTACGATTGTCATTGTCGAAAGATTCACCTTTACGACAACGGTAAACCATTTAAATAGCAATAAAACTATGATAATAAAATTATTTTTAGCTCACCTGAGCCGAAGGCTCAAGTGAGCTTTTCTGATCACATTTTGTCCGGCGTCCGTCTGTCTGTCTGTAAACTTTTCACATTTTCGACTTCTTCTCAAGAACCACTGGGCCAATTTCAACCAAACTTGCCACAAAGCATCCTTGGGTAAAGGGGATTCAAGTTTGTTCAAATGAAGGGCCACGCCCTCATTCAAGGAGAGATAATTGGGAATTAATGAAAATTTGGTGGTATGTTTTAAAAATCTTCTTCTCAAGAACCACTGTGCCAGGAAAGCTGAAACTTACAGGGAAACATCCTCAGGTAGTGTAGATTCAAGTTTGTTCAAATCATGACCCCCGGGGGTAGGGCGGGGTCATAATGGCCGACCAAAGTTTTACATAGAAATATGTAGGAAAATTCTTTAAAAATCTTCTTCTCAAGAATAACAAAGCCATAATTGATCATATTTATATGGAAGCATCATTAGGTAGTGTAGATTCAAGTTTGTTCAAATCATGACCCCCGGGGGTAGGGCGGGGTCATAATGGCCGACCAAAGTTTTACATAGAAATATGTAGGAAAATTCTTTAAAAATCTTCTTCTCAAGAATAACAAAGCCATAATTGATCATATTTATATGGAAGCATCATTAGGTAATGTAGATTCAAGTTTGTTCAAATCATTACCCCTGGGGGTAGGGCGGGGCCACAATGGCCAACCAAATTTTACATAGAAATATATAGGAAAATTCTTTAAAAATCTTCTTCTCAAGAATAACAAAGCCATAATTGATCATATTTATGTAGAAGCATTAGATAGTGTAGATTCAAGTTTGTTCAAATCATGACCCCTGGGGGTAGGGCATATAATGGCCGCCAAAGTTTTACATAGAAATATATAGGAAAATTCTTTAAAAATCTTCTTTTCAAGAATAACAAAGCCAAAATTCCTCATATTTATGTGGAAGCATCCTCAGGTAGTTTAGATTCAAATTTGTTCAAATCATGACCCCCGGGGGTAGGTTGGGGTCACAATGGCCGACCAAAGTTTTACAAAAAACTTTTTAGGAAAATTCTTTAAAAATCTTCTTCTCAAGAATAACAAAGCCATAATTGATCATATTTATATGGAAGCATCATTAGGTAATGTAGATTCAAGTTTGTTCAAATCATTACCCCTGGGGGTAGGGCGGGGCCACAATGGCCAACCAAATTTTACATAGAAATATATAGGAAAATTCTTTAAAAATCTTCTTCTCAAGAATAACAAAGCCATAATTGATCATATTTATGTAGAAGCATTCTCAGATAGTGTAGATTCAAGTTTGTTCAAATCATGACCCCTGGGGGTAGGGCGGGGTCATAATGGCCGACCAAAGTTTTACATAGAAATATGTAGGAAAATTCTTTAAAAATCTTCTTCTCAAGAATAACAAGGCCATAATTGATCATATTTATATGGAAGCATCATTAGGTAATGTAGATTCAAGTTTGTTCAAATCATGATCCCCGGGGGTAGGGCGGGGTCACAATGGCCGACCAAAGTTTTACATAGAAATATATAGGAAAATTCTTTAAAAATCTTCTTCTCAAGAATAACAAAGCCATAATTGATCATATTTATATGGAAGCATCATTAGGTAATGTAGATTCAAGTGTGTTCAAATCATTACCCCTGGGGGTAGGGCGGGGCCACAATGGCCAACCAAATTTTACATAGAAATATATAGGAAAATTCTTTAAAAATCTTCTTCTCAAGAATAACAAAGCCATAATTGATCATATTTATGTAGAAGCATTCTCAGATAGTGTAGATTCAAGTTTGTCCAAATCATGACCCCTGGGGGTAGGGCGGGGCCACAATGGCCAACCAAAGTTTTACATAGAAATATGTAGGAAAATTCTTTAAAAATCTTCTTATCAAGAATAGCAAAGCCATAATTGATCATATTTATATGGAAGCATTCTCAGGTAGTGTAGATTCAAGTTTGTTTAAATCATGACCCCCAGGGGTAGGGCGGGGCTACAATGGCCGACCAAAGTTTTACATAGAAATATATAGGAAATTTTTTTAAAAATCTTCTTCTCAAGAATAACAGCCATAATTGATCATATTTATATATCCTCAGGTAGTGTAGATTCAAGTTTGTTAAATCATGACCCCCGGGGGTAGGGCGGGGCCACAATGGCCAACCAAAGTTTTACATAGAAATATATAGGAAAATTCTTTAAAAATCTTCTTATCAAGAATAACAAAGCCATAATTGATCATATTTATATGGAAGCATCCTCAGGTAGTGTAGATTCAAGTTTGTGCGCGGGGTCACAATGGCCAACCAAAGTTTTACATGAAATATTTGGGAAAATTCTTTAAAAATCTTTTTCTCAAGAATAGCAAAGCCATGATTGGTCATGGGGCTACTTTTGGATTTAAACTTATCAATAATAAACCAATTTCTACTTTTTCCTAGCCATAGTGCTCAGGTGAGCGATGTGGCCCATGGGCCTCTTGTTACTATACTTAAATTCTCTGAACGTTTTAATGGTATCAATATTAAAGTTGTATACAAGTTGATAAATTAGGACTAAACACGGCAAGCAACATGTACATGACCTAGTTTCAATATGACGTGTGCGGGAAAATGTTGTTATTTAAATATGGTTTCTCATCATCTGCACAGAAAAAAGAATTATCACTATTTTATACTTTAAATATTTTTCTCAAGTTTGGTCAGGGCTAGTGGTGAAAGGGTCAGGGCTAGTAAAAATTTGCAAGAGTAGCCTGACTGGTCTAGAACTCCAAAAGCTTAATGTCATACCCAGGTAGGAGATTATGCTATACATGTATTATGGACTGTGAATATCAGTTTGGGTAGTTCAATGGCAAGAGTAACTGACTAAATTATTTCCTTAATCAGTTGTAACAGAATCTGAAGTTGAAACTTTCACTTTATGTACATTGTAGTGATTGTACTATACATCCCCTAGCAAAAATTAAAGGGAAGTCACTGTGATCTACTATGTATACAGTGCTCACAGGTTTATTTTTAAGTCCAGCCTAACATTTTCTTTATTCATTCCCTCTTTCCTACAATTTTGTCAGATAATATTGCACTGTGAAGATTTACCATCATTCATTCATTGATCAGTATATTAACGTTTTGAATTTTACCTTTTTAATTCTGTAGCATGCATTCCATTTTCACTGTATATCTCGATGGCTAAAAACTCGACAAGTGTGTCCATTGGATAACAGAGAATGGGAGTTTCAGAAGTAAGTTCACACTATATTTATTATAATTAAAATCATTACATGTATTTTTTTTTAGCTCACCTGAGCCGAAGGCTCAAGTGAGCTTTTCTGATCAAAATTTGTCCGTTGTCTGTCGTCGGCGTAAACTTTTCACATTTTCATCTTCTTCTCAAGAACCACTGGGCCAATTTCAACCACACTTGCCACAAAGTATCCTTGGGTGAAGGGGATTCAAGTTTGTTCAAATAAGGGGCTCTTCCAAGTGGAGATAATTATGAATTAGTGAAAAATAAATGGCATTTTTAGCTCACCTGAGCCGAAGGCTCAAGTGAGCTTTTCTGATCACATTTTGTCCGGCGTCCGTCTGTCCGTCTGTCCGTCTGTCTTGTGTCTGTCTGTCTGTCTGTCAACTTTTCACATTAACGACTTCTTCTCAAGAACCACTGGGCCAAATTCAACCAAACTTACCACAAAGCATACTTGCGTGAAGAGGATTCAAGTTTGTTCAAATGAAGGGCTTCGCCCTCATTTAATGGGAATTGATGAAAATTTGGTGGCATGTTTTAAAAATCTTCTTCTCAAGAACCACTGTGCCAGGAAAGATGAAACTTATGGGGTAACATCCTCAGGTAGTGTAGATTCAAATTTGTTCAAATCATGACCCCCGGGGGTAGGGCGGGGCCAAAATGGCCGACCAAAGTTTTACATAGAAATATATAGGAAAATTCTTTAAAAATCTTCTTCTCAAGAATGACAGAGCCATAATTCATCAAATTTATATGGAAGCATCCTTAGGTAGTGAAGATTCAAATTTGTTCAAATCATGACCCCCGGGGGTAGGGCGGGGCCAAAATGGCCGACCAAAGTTTTACATAGAAATATATAGGAAAATTCTTTAAAAATCTTCTTCTCAAGAATGACAGAGCCATAATTCATCAAATTTATATGGAAGCGTTCTCAGGTAGTGAAGATTCAAGTTTGTTCAAATCATGACCCCCGGGGGTAGGGCGGGGCCAAAATGGCCGACCAAAGTTTTACATAGAAATATATAGGAAAATTCTTTAAAAATCTTCTTCTCAAGAATGACAGAGCCATAATTCATCAAATTTATATGGAAGTATCCTCAGGTAGTGAAGATTCAAGTTTGTTCAAATCATGACCCCCGGGGGTGGGGCGGGGCCAAAATGGCCGACCAAAGTTTTACATAGAAATTAATGGGAAAATTCTTTAAAAATCTTCTTCTCAAGAATGACAAAGGCATTATTCATCATATTTATATGGAAGTATCCTCAGGTAGTGAAGATTCAAATTTGTTCAAATCATGACCCCCGGGGCGGGGGCGGGGCCAAAATGGCCGACCAAAGTTTTACATAGAAATTAATGGGAAAATTCTTTAAAAATCTTCTTCTCAAGAATGACAAAGCCATTATTCATCATATTTATATGGAAGCATCTTCAGGTAGTGTAGATTCAAATTTGTTCAAATCATGACCCCAGGTGGTAGGGCGGGGCCAAAATGGCCGACCAAAGTTTTACATAGAAATATATGGGAAAATTCTTTGAAGAATAGCAAATCCATGATTGATCATGGGATTACTTTTGGATTTTAACTTTTCAATAATAAACCAATTTCTACTTTTTCTAAGCTACAGTACTCAGGTGAGCGATGTGGCCCATGGGCCTCTTGTTAAAAAATCTTCTTCTCAAGAACCACTGGGCCAAGAGAGATGAAACTCATGTGGAATCATCCTCAGATAGTGTAGATTCAAGTTTGTTCAAATAATGACCCCCGGGGCTAGGATGGGGCCAAAATGGCCGACCCAAGTTTTACATAGGAATATATAGGAAAAATCTTTAAAAATCTTCTTCTCAAGAACCTCTGGACCAAGAGAGATGAAACTCAAGTGGAATCATCCTCTGGTAGTGTAGATTCAAGTTTGTTCAAATCATGACCCCCGGGGCTAGGGTGGGGCCAAAATGGCCGACCCAAGTTTTACATAGGAATATATAGGAAAAATCTTTAAAAATCTTCTTCTCAAGAACCAGTGGGCCAGGAAAGACGAAACTCATGTGGAATCATCCTCAAATAGTGTAGATTCAAGTTTGTTCAAATCATGACCCCTGGGGCTAGGGTGGGGCCAAAATGGCCGACCCAAGTTTTACATACGAATATATAGGAAATATCTTTAAAAATATTCTTCTCCAGAACCACTGGGCCAGGAAAGATGAAACTCAAGTAGTGTAGATTCAAGTTTGTTCAAATCATGACCCCCCGGGGCTAGGGTGGGGCCAAAATGGCCGACCCAAGTTTTACAAAGGGATATATAGGGAAACCTTTTAAAATCTTCTTTTCAAGTACTTCAAAGCTATGATTAGTGATATTTATATGGAATCATCCTCAGGTAGTGTAGATTCTAGTTTGTTCAAATGATGAATGCCGGGGGGGGGGGGGGGGGGGGGGGGGGGGGGGGGGGGGGGGGGGGGGGGGAGGGTGGTGTTAAATTCAAGCCCAATGTGCTCAGGTGAGCGCTGTGGCCCCTGGGCCTCTTGTTTTAATTACAATTAATTGCATGGTACATGTACTACTATTTAGAAAAGTTAACATTCACTTGGCATAAAAAAAAGGACAAACTCAGACCTGGCAAGTTTTTGATAACAGAGTGAATGGTCAAAAAGATTCCCTACAGGCATAGTGTGTATTGTTTTTTTTGGCTAAATGACCATACTACCGGTACTCATTTTTTCTACAAAATCTTGTACACTATTTTGTGTAGATTTGTCTAAGATTTTGAAATGCTCTTTGTTGCCTGTGTCACTTTTTGTAATAACATTTCATGACACAACTTTTATGACTGGGCAAGGGCAGCACTTAAGTTCTCTAACTCTTAAACTCTAAATAAATATGATATCATTTCTAAATGAAGGAATTTAGTTCTGTATTTGTCTGGACATTTACAGATCAAAACATTGTTCAGGAGTTGAACACATGGCTTTATGTCTTTTTAACGTAGATATTTTTTCATGAACTCTCTTACTACTGTTTAATGTTGATGCTTTGTACATTTTTTCTTCTTGAATTTCATCATATGCTAAATGTAAATTAATACTCATATTTTTCCCCTTTTTTTTCAAAGGTATGGCCATTAAAAGAGATCCATCCTTATTTCCATACAGAGCTGGAGGAATGTGTCAATTTTATTGAAATGAAAAATGCATAAACTCTCAGAAAAATTACTGTTACTTTAAAATGCAAAAATTCTCATAAATAGCATTTTAGATTATGTAAAAATACTATAATAAGACCAAGGGTGTCTCTATGTATGTTGTAAATAAGCAGACATATTGTACATGTTTATGGTAACATGCCCCTAAAAAGATATATGAAGTGTTTTGTGTACATGTATGATATGTTTGAAATTAATAAACTATCCATAAAAAACTTTTTTTCCTGGCTTGCAAATCTTAAAGGGCCTAATTATTAACTAACCTTTCTGAATCTCAGGTAATGCTTAGTGGAGTTCAATCATGTTCAAGTCATTGCCCAAGGGAATAGAGTGGGGCCACAATACAGCTTTTTGAAATCTGAAGTACGGCAGGGCCATAATAGTCATACATGTACTAATCTGATTCAACAACAGTATCATTCAAGTTTCTACAAACATGATGATTCCAGGGTTAACATGAGGTGACGGAAGGGAAGCACATATTTAACTTGGAATATTTAGGGGAAATTCTTGAGTGCAGACTCAAGTTAGTTGGGTCAGGACCCCTGGGACTAGAAAGAGAGTTAAGAGACTCAGTGGACTGGAATGTATACATATGCCAGTATTTTACACCTCAACAAAGTTGGGAAAGCCTGTAGTGGAAAGGTGTCAGCTTGACAGGATGTGTGAACGAATTTGGTATTTCTGATATCAAAATAATTTTTTTCATTTGCAAGAGTTATTTTCCTTTGATTTTGTCGTGAAACGCTATTTTTATTCATGAAAAACGACACCTTCTTATGTCTGTTTGCCCAGAACTGACCCCAGAAGCGGGGTTTCAACAAAACTGGGAATGTTGATTATATAGTGAAAATGCATAAATTCTTTAAAAATCTTTACTACACCTGGGTGTTGCCAATGAACTATATACATACATGTAGTTATGAGGAGGATGGATGCTTCTGTGAGATTTGTGAATTTCAGGGCTTCTTGTGTTAGGGCGGGGCTCTAATGTTTATATAGTGAAAATGCATGAATTCTTTTAAAATCTTTTCCTTTGCTCCTGGGTATTATGCCAATGATCTTAGTACATATTTATGTCGAAGAAAGCTGCTTCTTCCAAAATGGTTGATTTCGGGCCCCTGGGACAGAGATACTTGGGGGGGGGGGGGGCAAAGTCTGAAAATAATCTATTGCTTTGAAATGTGCTTTTTGGTATTAATCAACAACATGATGAAATAAAATTTTGAAATATGCAGTCTCAGGGTCAGTGGTTCCAATGGGATAGGTGCACAACAAATGCATTTTCTCTTTGTTACTCAGATCTACCTCTGGGTATTAAGTAATCAAAGTAAGCATGCTAAGTGTATAGTTTTGATAAGCAATGGTGCCTCTTTCAAAATTGTGAATTTCATGGCTTCTGGTTTAAAACACGAATCAAATTCAGTTGTTGGAAAGTTGTTACATGATACTCAGGTGGCCCATAAGGCCCATGGGCCTCTTGTTTTTTTCTGCTTGTCAACGTAATTCCTAGTGAAAGTTATGGATGGCACATTTGTGATAAATTCTTCGAAAGCTCACTGAGCTCATTTTGGTAGGTTAAAACAATAAATTTTTCGCGTGTTATTGCTTATGCATATCATTTCACGAAAGTTTCACGTTATAACGCGAAAACGCGTTTACTCGCGAACGTTTCGCGTCATAACGCGAAAGTTCTGCGTTTTATCGCGAAAGTTCCACGTTGTAACGCGAAAGTTACACGTTATATCGCAAAAGTTTTGCGTTTGTTCGCGAAAGTTCCGCATTATAAAGCGAAAACTTTATTTTTTTAACATACAAAAATGAGCTCAATCGGCTTTCGTAATATTCTATTCTATCAGAAAATAAACCTACATTTTATAAACTTTATACCCCACAATATATAGATTGTTGTTTTTATAAATAGAATGTAGGGTATATAGATTTTGTAAAACGTTTGTTTTGGGTAATTTTTCGAATTGGTATAGATTTTATAAAAATTATGAATTGTGTAAAATCTGATCACCAAATTTTAACCCCTCCTTACTTGAAATACCATTACTGATACAGAAAAAAAAATCCATGCATACAACTAAGAATGTTTGCACGTCAGAATGATTTTGCAGGACCGTAGCATCGATTTTGAAAGTGGGGGGCCAGCCACTGAAATTTTTTTTTTTTACTTACCTGAAAAAGTTGACAAGCAAAAAAAAAAAAAAAAGGAAAAATTGCCCAAAGTCGAAAATCCTATTTTGGGGGGGGGGGGGGGGGGGGGGTGTAGGCAAACTTTTTTCACTACCAATTTAAGCTTACAATACTATATTTCCTTCATATTACTTTACTTTAGTATAAAGTAAGGGGACCAACCAGCCTTTCAATGAACATTTTCAATAGTAAAAGTATTGTTGGCAAAAAAAGTGGGCCCCCCGGTTGCTACGTCCCTGTTTTGTCTAAACTTTTTAGCCCACTCTATCTCTGCGGGTCTATCGTCGGATGCCGTGGGCCATGGTTTGAAAACAAAAGAATCTCAAACTCGAATTCCCTTCGCCTAAAAATGCCTTGTAGCAGTTTTGCCTGACATTGGTTCAGATGTTGAGTGTATTCAAAAGTATACAGAATGACGGACGCCTGTCAAAAGTAGGACGTTTCAGCTCAGGTACCGTATTAGCATATGCTGCTTCTGCACATTCAGTTTTAATTTTTTTTGTAATGTACCTGAACGTGACTTCGAATCGATAATGAAGTTTAACATACAGACTGTCACAAAGTTAAGAGCTAGCTACTGCACGTAGTAGGTACACATTTCAGGTATTAAGTGCATCTAATCACATTAGCAAGGTCATTTGTATGCACCCAGTTAGAGAAAACTCATATAGAGAGCCAGACTATATAAAGATTTCCATATAACAGATCAGATATATTTGAACCGCAATATTCTTGTTACAAGTTATCATTTAATTCATAAATATTTTATACTAGTACAATGTACTACATACAGTTTATGTCCATTAGTACAATGAATTAGTTTATATTTCTTGGAAATTTTAGAAGAAAAGAAGAATAAAGGTCTAAGTTATTGTTGGTGAATTCTCATAAATTAAGCTATTTAGACAGACAACATTTAGATGTAGCCCGCTGAAGAATTAATAAATAACCACGGAAGAAACACGATTATGGCATGGTAATGGCATTCCAAACTTTGCATTTATTATACTTTTTTGTTATTCTTAAAATTTACTTTCTTATTCAAAAGCTTCATGTTCTATAAAACAAGAGGTCCATTGCCCACAAAGCTCACCTGAGTAACCTTGGCCCTTCTGTTTTCACCAGATTTACCCGTTACACCGGTAATACCTATTGTGGCTCCAGTTCCTCCCCGGGGGTTATAATTTGGAGAAAAAAATTAGAATCTTTATCCTGCTGGATGCTACCACACAAGTTTAAGCTTTTTCTGGCCCAGTGATTATTGAGAAGATTTTTTTCTACTATATTATCAATGTAAAATTTGGATTTCCTATTGCCTTACCCATGGGGGTTAGGTTTTGAACAATTTAGAACCTACACTAACCTAGGATGCTTCCACATAATTTTCATCTCAGGTGAGCTAAAAAGTTTCATAAACCAACGTTTTACGTGCCATACAATACAAGATGCTGAACTTTAGCTGATCCCCATCCATAACGTGAAAAAGACATTAACCGACTTTTAAACTGTTACCTAGTATTGGTCGAGTTCAACCACCTTAGGTCGTCTTTCCCCCGTGGTATCAGTAACCTCATTTTTATGTACAAGTTTCCAAACCTTCTTTTAACTGGCTTTGTGACCGATATTACATTCTCAGCATTTCGCGAGTACAATAACCCCTTTTCCCATCTGAACCACTGTGTTATATTTTACTGCTATGAAGTATTCTGCTTGTTGCAATTATTTTTTCAAATATTGCAACTCAAAATAAATGTATTTATTCATTTTTTTAATGAAATTTTAGATCTTAATTCTTATAATGCTGTTAACTACTAAACCTACTGATAATATTAATCTATGGTCTGTACATTACACTCTTGTGCGATAAACTGCATACTAGCATCATGTGTATGAGGCACATGTAGACTTTGGCATGTTATATATATGCACTATATTAAATATGCACAGTTGATAAGCATGTACATTTGTATTCTTTTTATTTTAAATCCCCCTGTCAGAAAAGCCATATCTATTCTAATCATATACTGGACACTAACGACGTATTAAATTAAAAATGAAATTCAAAATTTTTTTTTTTTTTTTTTATTAAAACCCCTTTTTAACTACATGACATATTGTGATTATTGTCTCTAAATCATCATATACAGGGCATTTCACTCTCTGACATTCCTCTGTAGTTTAAAGAACATAAACCAACAGTATAATTCACCGACTTTCTGATAAGTTATATAAGCTTATGTGTAATTATTTACTTAAAAGATTTTAGGTACGATGTTCAAAACTGATATATGACGAGTGATTGCTTATGCACGTATTTTCAAGTTTTCAAGAACTCGCCAAATAAAATATTACAAAAAAGGAAAATAATTAAATTGTATGTTAAGGATTTGTTTTTATAAAATGTACTCAACAATCAACAAATTAAAATAAAATAAGTGCTTCAAACATTTTTTGTTAAATGTGGATGATGTCTAAAGAATCAAGTCAACCAGTTGCAATAGCTGAAAACATGCACGTGTCCTGTTGCGTTTCCAACCCAGAGTTTGCCATCCCGATCTAATCCTAACGAACAAGGTCGTTCTATACCGCAACCTGATTTAACTAGGAACTGAGAAAAGTGTCCAGAAGTGTCCAGCAAGTGGACACGGTCATTATTCCAGTCCGCCACAATAATATTGCCGTATTGGTCGACTTGGGTACCGAGGGGATAGAAAGGGTTTTCCAGTTCGATGTTCGGTTCATTTTTTCCATTGTACGTGTGTAATACTTTGCAGGAACTGTCCATAATTACAAGCTGTCGTTGATTGTTTTTGCTGTAGTCTGAAAAACATAATTTGTCTTCGCTTATTACTCCAATTCGATGAGGATCGTGCGGAGAAATAGTGATGTCCGAGAGCAACGTGCCGTCTGCAGCGAATTTGGCGATCAAATGTCGTCGGTTTCTTTCTACACCACAGACATATATTTCATTGCTATCCGTTACGGCCATGCCCCTTGGAACAAAAGACAAGGTCGCAAATTTTGTAGCAGTTAGTTGTTCGTCAAGACACCAGATTGAGTTACCATTGTAACTAGAGACTAAAACGTTCCCACTTCGAGTTGACACAATATGATCAATAGGAATATCCAATGTCACAGACACTAATACCTCCCCATCCAAATTATAGAGAACCATTTCCTTGCTTCCCCAACCACAGCATATCCACGCCTCGTTCTCCGATATTGGAGCAATGGCGTGGATATTTCCAGTGGTGCCCTTGCATTTAAATTTAGTCTTTAATTCCACACCGATTGTTGGAAAAGTGTCACGTCTATTCTTTCGAATGGGCGAAGGAGGTGTGATACTGAAATTCTGTACCGATCCAAATAAAGAATTCACAAATGATTCATTGACAATTTCTCCGCTTTTGAAGTACAAACTTATATGTTGGATCTCACAAAGCTGCTGTAACCTCGCAAAAGATAGTTTCCTATCACCATTCTGAATTTTGCCAATACTCTCATCTTTGACCTCGACTACATTCTGATTTGATACATCGTTTTGAGAAGACAACGAAGAGATCCAGGTTTTTAGTTCCCCTTCATGGAATTCCATCTTCTTCAACTCACTATCCATAAACCTTTTTGTTTTTAAGAGAAGGCTTTCTTTGACCTTATCAATGGCATCGTGTAAAAGTGCAGCCCTGTTAATGATGTCCGAGGTTGTGACTCTGGCCGAGTCGCACAGTTTGGACTTCTGGGTAACTAATTCTTCTACAGAATACTGTAAAACTGGTACAAAGTTTACAAATTCCATGTTCTTCTTAGTATACTTGAACCTCTCGTGGCGGATCACCTTGAGGATATAAATAAGCCTATTGCTCTCCTACAGTAAATGCCCGTCGGCTCTCGATCGATCTCCTGGGATCTACAAAAGATATACGTACAAAAAGTGGGTATAAAATTGGCAGTGTGGTGTTGATGAAAGCCTTTACAGCGCATATAAATATAATTGCCTTCATTTACCAACACGTTCTCTCGGTATTATTAGAATGTCAACATGCAGTAATACATGTATGAGCAGAGAAAATACAGAATGTAAACAAGGAAATAGGAAGAAAAATCATTTTAAAGAAATTTATATAAAGTTAATACGGACGCGTATACTTACATGCAAAGCACCCCAAGTGTACTGATGTAATGTCCTAACTGGGACAAACTGAAACCATCAATGTATTTATATAGGTGAGTGATGTGACCCACTTACTTAACACGAATTTGGGTGTCCTCCATATTTGATTAGTCTAAGTACTTCAAACGTAATACTTATTAAATGCCATTTACCTACACAAGTAAACTTGTACTTACAAACAAGGTGTGTACAGTAATGCTTTGTTGATTAAGAAAATATCCTTCACTCAGATCTGTTGACATCGTTTGTAAGATGTCAAGCTAACATGTTAAAGTGACCTTTACCTCGTTTAAATATCAAGTGCTTTTTTGTACGGAGTTATGTGTACCCTAAATTTTTTTAAAAATATTCTTTACATAAGAAAATGTCCCATTATTTTATCATTTACGTACTTAAATATACTATCTCAATGACGGGCACTTGACGTTTAAACCACATTTCTCTTATTGATTTTAAAAAAAATCATTAAGTATTATATTTAAACACATTTATGCATAAATATTTTTATTTTTTATAATGATGGTCGGAGAGAAAAGTTTCAGAAGTCAAGTGTCTGTGTTAATAAGATTAAAACACAGTAATAAAATATCTAACAGATCTTTACCATCATATTTATCTGACTTTATTATCTCTATCTCCTACCCTCACCCTCTGTCTCCTATCAGTGGCGTAGCATCGTTTTTGAAAGTGGTGGGGGGGGGGGCAGCCAGAGAAAATTTTTTTTTACTTACCTGAAAAAGTTGACAAGCAAAAAAAAAAAAAAAAAGAAAAAATCCTATTTCGTGCGGGGGGGTGGGGGGGGGGGGTTGGGGGGGGGGGTGGGGGTTAAGGTAAACTTTTTCTCACTCTCAACTACTTTTAGTACCGGGGGGGGGGGGGGGGGGGGGGGGGGGGGGGGACCGCAACTACTTTTAGTACCGGGGGGGGGGGGGGGGGGGGGGTAAGGTAAACTTTTTCTCAGTCTCAACTACTTTTAGTACCAAATCTAATACTACAATTTCGGTACATCGCTAAAAGTGGGGGGGCCAACCAGGCTTTCAATTAACATTTCCTATAGTATAAGTAAGGTTGGGAAAAAAAGTGGGGGGGGCAGGCCCCCCTTGGCCCCCCCGGTTGCTACGCCCCTGCCTATTCTGTTAAAGGTGGATCCAGAATTTTAGGGGTTTATATATCTGTTTTCTTTAATCGGGGAACCGATTTTACATGTCAATTTAGATTTTATTCATGCCTGACGATTCGTTGATTTTAGAATATGAATTCCATGGATAAAGTTGTTTACTTATTGATCGTAGACAACAACCACATCCCTATTTTCGCCCTTGTGACACCAGGTTGTTGTGGTCAAACGAACAACATGTTTACGAAAGAAGTGTATGCTATTAAAGGTCAGATTAGATACGTAGGTATTGACCAATCTGTGACCCAAAGATTTTTAGATTAATTAAAAGATACACATTAAGCATAAAGCTGACCCAAATAAAAGTCCCGGGGGGGGGGGGCTGACAGATACTACTGCTTAACTTTTAGAAATGCTGCTTAAAATCTAATGCAAAGACTAGGATATGTAACCTAGCTTTGATTTACCTTCAGATGACTCTACTCAATGTCCGGGTATCACTGGTCACAGAACAATCTACGTCAGCTGACCATGCGAGCCTTGAAATTCACTGAATGATTCTGACAAGAAATCAAAAGGTATTAGATCTATATACTAAAGGTTCATAGTAAAAAAATCATTCTGCGTATAGTAGGACCATAATATCTGCAAATAAACGGACCTTTATGTTGATGCTAAAATACATGCGTGTATAAGATTAACAAGAAAAATGTCATCAAAATGACTAACCTTGGCATATGATTGTTGTTTTACGTCTTCCTTTTTATATTACCCCAAAAAGAGCTAATGGAGCTAACATAATTATCGAGACTTTTCCCTGATGTTCCATTTTTTTCACCACATGCTCCATACTGTAAATGATAACCATTGAAAGATGACCCCGGAGCGGGGAAGTGCGCAGCTAGCACATATAACTCCTTCCGTGTGCATAATACATAAAATACAAGATTCAAGAGACCAATTGGCCATAATGCTCACCAGTCACTTTGACAAAGTCAATCACGAATCTACACCACATGCAAGCGTTTCCTTTATAAATAATCCATAGTATAATGATAACACAAGATATTTAACCCCGAATAACATTACATTAGTTATCAAAGAAGATAATGACAATAAAAAGTTTACTAGTGCAATTTCTCTAAAAGCGTAAATATTGCGATTGTGCATGGGGAGGGGGTATTCCAATTAATTCGGCGTTAGATATATATTGTGTTATTTTTATACTAAGGGTAGAAAATTTTATAACTGAAACAGATACGCGTGATCTACCCTATCTGAGGATGCTTTACTTATTATATGAATAAGACTAATCTTGGTTTTGTTGTTTTAGTTAAATTTTTAATGTGTTCATATTAATATATATTCTTTGATCAAACTTTGATTGTTTACGGTGATCCCACCCTACCCGTAGAGGGTAGATAGAACAAATGGAACAAACTTGAACCTGCAAAATATTATCAAGTTAGAAATGGATTGGGTCTATTTTAGTCAAACATTTGGATTTCAAAACAGCGGAAAAACGGGAGGAGGTGGGAGGGTATACATGTTCCTTTCCGATCTTGTAATTTGAAAGAAGTTGAAGCTATCACATTCAATGCAATTGTTGGTTTGTTTTCAATAAAAATTAATGTCAAATTCAAATTAAGAAAGAAAGTCAGATTCTGTGTTGTCTTTTATTTCGAGTTCAATGGCAATATTTTTTTAATCTTGAAAGTAGAATAATGTACCTTCGAAAAAATTTCCAAAAGGATTTAGATTTTATCAGCGAAACCTCTTCCCTGCAAGGTTAAATTTATTAGGTTATTATTTCTGAGCCCCAATCTACATAAAAAAAATCACAACAACGTTCATCAATTTAAAAGGCCAGATAATCAATAATAGCGCATGCTCACAAAACAGAAGTATTGCACCATTACATAGCTCTAGATATATAAAGATTAAATCCCCGCATACTACAACGTAGAGCTGGCTCAGTCGAGTGGTTACTTCGTACTTACTTACCTGTGATAATTCTCAATAGAAGAATTGTCAGCTTCCAGAACCACTATGTACCACTGACGCCATCCAGTCAATTTTTATTTTGATAAAAATATTTGGATACAATTTTTTTTTCATTTTTTCATCAATATTTTCTTGTCTCCAGCACTTAATTTATTATAAGTTCCGTTCCCTTTTTTTTAACATACTGGTATTACATAATTTGTATATATATGAGTTTCATCTTTCCTGGCCCTATGGTTCTTGAGAAGAAGATTATTAAAGATTTTCATTATGTATTCCTATGTTAAACTTTGACCCCCCATCATGGCCCCATCATACCCCTGGGGATCATGATTTGAACAAACCTGAATCTACACCACATGAGGATGCCTCCATATAACTGAAGACCAATCATGGCTTTGCTGTTCTTGAAAAGAAGATTTTCAAAGATTTTCTCTATGTATTCCTATGTTAAACTTTGATACCCCATTGTGGCCCCACCATATCCCTGGGGGTCATGATGTGAACAAACCTGAATCTACACTATCTGAGGATGCTTACACATGAGTTTCATTTATCCTGGCCCAGAAGTTCTCGATAAGAAGATTTTTAAAGATTTTCCCTATGTATTCCTATGTTAAACTTTGAACCCCCATTGTGGCCCCACCATATCCCTGAGGTTCATGATTTGAACAAAATTAAATCTACACTACCTGAGGATGCTTCCACATAAGTTCCATTTTTCCTGGCCTAATGGTTCTTTTGAGGAGAAAATTTTTAAAAGATGCCATTAAATTTTCACTAATTTATAATTATCTCCCCTTGGAGGAGGGTGTGGCCCTTCATTTGAACAAACTTGAATCCCCTTCACCTAAGAATACTTTGTGGCAAGTTTGGTTGAAACTGGTCCAGTGGTTCTTGAAAAGAAGATGAAAATATGATAAGATTACAACGACGACAACAACAACGACAGACAACGGATGAATTTTGATCAGAAAAGCTCACTTGAGCCTTCGGATCAGGTGAGCTAATAAGACAGAAACAAGGAAAAGCCGTGAATGATAAAGGGAAAATAAATTGAAGAATAACAAGAGGCGGAACCATGGGCTACCTCGCTCACCTAATTAACTTTGCCCATTCTGTTATTTAAAAAATTTCCCCCCATTTTAATACCTATCTTGACCTTTCCCAATCCCAGAGGGTCACGAACAATTTAGATTCTACATTACTATATGATGCTTCCACATAAGTTTCAGCTTTTCTGGCCCAGTGGTTCTTGAGAAGGAGATTTTCAAAGTTTTTTCCTATATAATTCTATGTAAAACTCGGATTCCCTATTGTGACACCGCCCTACCCCTGGGGGTCAAGATTTGGACAATTTAGATTCTACACAGCCCAGGATGCTTGGACGTGAGTTTCAGCTTTTCTGGCCCTGTGATTCTTAAAAAGAAGATTTTTAAAGTTTTCTTCCTATATACTTCAATGTAAAACTTAAGATTGCCTATTGTGGCATCGCCCTACTCCCGGGGGTCATGGATTAGACAATTTAGAATCAACACAAGCCCTGGATGCTTCCACGTGAGTTTCAGCTTTTCTGACCCAGTGGTTCTTGAGAAGAAGAATTTTGAAGTTTTCTTCCTAAATACTTCAATGTAAAACTTGGATTCCCTATTGTGACCCCGCTCTACCCCAGAGGGTCATGTTTTGGACAATTTAGATTCTACACAAGCCCAGGATGCTTCCACGTGAGTTTCAACTTTTCTAGTCCTGTGTTTCTTGAGAAGATTTTTAAAGTTTTCTTCCTATATACTTCAATGTTTAACTTTGAATCCCTATTGTGGCCCCGCCCTACACCCGGGGATCATGATTTGTATAATTTAGATTATACACTACCCTAGGATGCTTCAACATAAGTTTCAGCTTTTCTGACCCAGTGGTTCTTGAGAAGAAGAATTTTGAAGTTTTGACATATATATTTCTATGTATAACTTGGATTTCCTATTGTGACCCCGTCCTACCCCCGGGGGTTATGATTTGAATAATTTAAATTTTACACTAGTACAGGATGTTTCCACATAAGTTTCAGCTTTTCTGGCCCAGTGGTTCTTGAGAAGAAGATTTTTTATTGACCCCATCCTATTTTTGTATTTTCTTGATTATCTCCCCCTTGGAAGGGGGCCTGGCCCTTTATTTTAACAATTTGATGTGAAAAGTTGACAGACATGAAAATATGAATTAATAGAGGCTATAACAAACGTATATTCATGAGAAAAATAGGGTTATCTTTACCTCAGTAACTAGTATAACAAATTGAACTTGGTTGAATAATAAAGCGATGTGGAAATGTTGCCCTACAATATGGCAGTCATGGGACTCTGTAAGGAACATCAAATAAGATATCAATCTGAAGAAAGCGACAAACAATACAAATCTGTGAGATAGGGCATAAACACAGACCACCCTGGGAAATCAAGAGGTGGGATCAGGTGCCTAGGAGGAGTAAGCATCCCCTTCTGATCAGACAAACATTACACCCGCCGTGAGCCCTATGTACTATTCTAGAAGGCGGAAAATGCTAGTAACGCAATCAAATTCAGTAATTAGAGCACACGTAGTTGTGGAAGAATCTTAAAGAATGAGCGGGGGCTTAAAATACACATGGAAAAGATGGATTGCCCTCCTATTCAGCGACCGACGCAACGCAAAGGGCAACCTGGTAAGACGGAGGAGGAGGTGGTCCAGGAATCTAACCACAGGGTCCAAGCGCCAGTCAACGAGGGAGGCAGCCAAGGAAAAGGGCTAACACCAGAAGAGCAGACACGTGAGCCCAGGTGGCAGCAGGTTGATTCACAGAGGAAAGCAAAGATAAAGTGGCCATCCAAAAGAAATAAGGAAGAATGGGAGAGGTTGACAATGATGTAGATACAATCCTTAACGCATCTCTGGAAGGAGGAATAGACAAAAAGATCGAAGGCATCTAAACGATAAGCAAAAATTTATTTGTAAGTCTTATCTGCTAGGTATAGCCTCTCCACAGTTAAACCTATGTGGCCAAGATATGGTATCCTCCTGGAGGTAGCGGATGGAAATGCATGGCCCAACGGTGAGTGGATACTCCTTGGTGCCTGCAATCCTAGTTCCCAGCAATCATGGGTAAATTGCAATGAATTACTGCTTTGTAGATACCTTTTGGAGAAAGGTTAGGAGTAAACCCTACAGAAATCCTGAGTAAATACCATAAGGCTGTCGGTGTAACCACACTTCCGGCAACTCTGTCCGTTCAACGAAAATGGCCGTCCAGGTGGGGGGTGTTAGCCCGGTAAGGCAGCTCCTAGGAGAAGATAAACTCTTACTTAAAAATCACGGGCAGATCTAGACTTGTCAGCCATGTAAAGCCATAGATCTAGTGGAAGGAAACCATAAGCAAATTTCCCTGGTCCTCCAGGTTAGGGGTTGGGCGCAGGGCTAAAAACCCTGCCTTGTAAAAAGGAGAAAGTTACGGAAACAGCAACAGAAATAACCTTTACTTCAGCGTGTGAAAGGCCTTCCGAGTTCAATGAGACTCGTGTGAATGCTGGCAATCAAAGCCATAAGGACGTTACCAGCAGAATGGGAGACGACCTGGACAAAAACCAAGCTCAGACTAGGGAAGAAGGATTTAATGAAGAACAAATTTATCAAAGTCCATAAAACAATACAAAATAGGAGCAGAGCAAACATTACCTTTACTAGGTGCCATGGAAAGTAGCATTATATCGGCCACACCCGCCGTGTGAATTGTCTTGATCGCGAAAAAAAAATCCGTCGTCAATTCAGTGTATAAATAATGGACTAACAATTGGTATGAAAAACGTCAGTCGGCATTTGACTCAATGTTAAACTGTATTTGCTGACAAGGTCACTTTATCGACCATAGAACT